TCGGTTTTAACATGTGTTGAGTGCACATATTCTCAGAGAGCCAACACAATATTTCCGGAGGTACTTCGGCACTACCAGCCGACAAAATCTTCGGCTTTGATATCTATTGACTACACATAGTCTTTGGGAGGCAACACAATATTTCCGGAGATATTTCGGCACTACCAGCCCATGAAATCTTCGGTTTTAACATGTAATGAATGCACATATTTTCTGGGAGGCAACACAATATTCCCGGAGGTACTTCGGCACTACAAGCCGAGGAAATCTTCGGTTTTAACATGTGTTGAGTGCACATATTCTCAGAGAGCCAACACAATATTTCCGGAGGTACTTCGGCACTACCAGCCGACAAAATCTTCGGCTTTGATCATCTATTGAATGCACATATTCTTTGGGAGGCAACACAATATTTCCGGAGATATTTCGGCACTACCAGCCCATGAAATCTTCGGTTTTAACATGTATTGAATGCACATATTTTTGGGAGGCAACACAATATTTCCGGAGATACTTCGGCACTACCAGCCGAGGAAATCTTCGGTTTTAACATGTGTTGAGTGCACATATTCTCTGAGAGCCAACACAATATTTCCGGAGGTACTTCGGCACTACCAGCCGACAAAATCTTCGGCTTTGATCATCTATTGACTGCACATATTCTTTGGGAGGCAACACAATATTTCCGGAGATATTTCGGCACTACCAGCCCATGAAATCTTCGGTTTTAACATGTAATGAATGCACATATTTTCTGGGAGGCAACACAATATTCCCGGAGGTACTTCGGCACTACAAGCCGAGGAAATCTTCGGTTTTAACATGTGTTGAGTGCACATATTCTCAGAGAGCCAACACAATATTTCCGGTGGTACTTCGGCACTACCAGCCGACAAAATCTTCGGTTTGAACTTTGAATGCACATATTGACAACACAATATTTCCAGAGGTACTTCGGCACTACCAGGCAAAATCACAATATTTCCGGAGATACTTCGGCACTACCAGCCGACGAAATCTTCGGTTTTGACATGTATTAAATGCACATATTTTCGGGGAGGCAAAACAATATTTCTGGAGGTATTTCGGCACTACCAGCTGACAAAATTCTCGGATTTAATATCTATTGACTGCACATAGTCTCCAAGAGGCAACACAATATTCCCGGAGGTACTTCGGCACTACGAGCCGACGAAATCTTCGGTTTTAACACATGTTGAGTGCATATATTCTTTGAGAGCCAACACCATATTTCCGGAGGTACTTCGGCACTACCAGCCAACAAAATCTTCGGTTTTAATATCTATTGAGTGCACATAGTCTTTGGGAGGCAACACAATATTTCCAGAGGGATTTCGGCTCAACCAGCCGATGAAATCTTCGGTTTTAACATGTGTTGAGTGCACATAGTCTCCAAGAGGCAACACAATATTCCCGGAGGTACTTCGGCACTACCAGCCAATGAAATCTTCGGTTTTAATATCTATTGAGTGCACATAGTTTTTGGGAGGCAACACAATATTTCCGGAGGGATTTCGGCACAACCAGCCGATGAAATCTTCTGTTTTAACATGTACTGAGTGCACTCCAGGAGGCAACACAATATTCCAGGAGGTATTGACCTTTAAATGCAAAGAAAGTGTCCTTTATACAGCATGCCTCATGCTATCCCTGCATACAGAGTGGCTGTCACATGTCCGGCTATTATCTATTACCCGAAATGAATTCAAGTGATTAACAGGATTCTAGGCCGATATGGAAATATTGATTTATGGCCTACCTGTGTGCTACTGACGGTATTTGCAAAGTGTATCCCATTTTGTGCTGGAGGCGATGTCATCCGACTGGATTTCGGCTAGACAGGGATTACCAGGGCTAGGGTTATGGTTCCGCCGGATTCGGCATTTGTTACACCGAGCATTGGGCCCAACAATGCAATATAGCCTAATTACATATTGGGCCCAACAATGCAGTATAGCCTAATTAATACCATTGGAATATTGGGCCCAACCTTGGCTGTTGGGAGTTTATCATGGGCCCAATTCTTTTTGTGTATCCCTCATTGGGCCCAATTATGCTTCTCATAGTTTTGTTACCTTGGCCCCAACAATGCCAGCTTAACGTCTCACAGACATTGGGCCAAACTATGCCCAAATGGTGCCAACTACGATTGGGCCCATTGGGGTAGCCCTATGGTACATTGGACAATTGACCATGTGAACTACTATGGTCCCATTGGGTATCTACTGAATGCCCTGATTGATCAACCAACTTCTACTCGGGCTGCAGTCGAAAGGTTTTTTTTTTTTTTTTTTTTTTTTAATGTCAAATTTAAAGTCCATTGGGGCAGGGCCCCACGTCAGACCTTACAACTCAGTAGACTACCTAAGGCCCCTAGTGCCATGTATACCTGACCCCCTTAAGATCACCCCATGCACTGGTGGAGGCACGCCCGCAGCGATTCTTCCCCCACACAGAGTCGAAAGGTTTATCCAAGCTCAAGCTCGAGCCATCTCTATACCTTCACATCGGAAATCACCCAAAGAATGGCCTCAGAGCGCTGGAAAGGAGGACATCAACTTTGACGTTCTAAGTTCAGCAACTCCATCCCCAACTGAAGATGTGCTTGATGTAGCGATCGTCAGACGCGTCTTGTCGGCAATTCGGAAGGTGATGGAAGACCTCAAGGCCGATGCATCTCAAAGACTGCCGGCGAACGAAGCGGCCGCACAACTGCACACAATTTACGACCTTATTTTTTCTAGCAAACGTTCTTGCAAGGCACTTCTCAATTTTCAAGGAGACGATGCTAAAATAGTCCTCAATTCTCTCCAGTGGGTGAGTAGTTTCTCATCCTCAAATCTTTGTCTATGTTGATCACGATTAAAAGTTACTCGACTACCCACAATCAAACTCTACCCAGAGGAGCAGGCTGCTTTCAGCCTTGCTTCGTCTATCCCGCAAAAGTGGGTTATACCCAGAGTGTATCATACTAAAAGACATTGTACGCGAAGACGATTGTGCCGTTGCCTCGGGGCACTTTGGGGAGGTTTGGAAGGGGAAGTTTCGCGATCAACAAGTCTGTCTCAAGGTCGTCAAGATATATAAGCAATCTCATGTTGATCACCTCTTGAAAGTGTGTTTCTCTATTTTTCATGCAACAATCATTATTTTGACTTCAACTATTTTAGGTTTTTGCTAAGGAAGCAATTTTGTGGAGCCGGCTTTCGCATCGAAACTTGCTTCCATTTTACGGTATATATTATCTCACAGATGGTCACGGCAGAGTATGTCTGGTCTCTCCATGGATGAATAATGGAAACGTAAAGGAGTATCTCCTCGAAAATCCACAGGTGGATCGTGTCCTCCTGGTGCGTTTTTGTTGTGATAAGGAAAACAAATCACTCTGATTTGATGAAGGTGTCCGATGTTGCCGCTGGGGTGTTGTACCTGCATCAAAAAGCAAAAATTGTTCATGGAGATTTAAAGGGGGTGAATATTCATTTTTCTATGTTCCGGAAAACACCGTTCAATTGATTAACAGGTAAACATCCTTGTAACAGAATCCGGGAAAGCCTGTCTTGCAGACTTCGGTCTCTCTAATCACGCCGATGCTGAAATGCTAACGTGGACATCCGAAAGTTCTGCAAATATCGGTGGGACTGTTCGTTGGCAAGCTCCGGAATTATTCGATTCGAAAAACGAGAACTCCAAGCCAACAAAAGAGACCGATGTTTATGCCTTTTCTTGTGTATGTTATGAAGTACGTGTAATATGTCAGGCGCTGGCTTTCTTGACAGTTAACACATTTTATAAAGATCTTCACCTGTCAGGTTCCGTTTCATGAGATATCCCGAGAGTCCATCGTCATGATGAAAGTCATGGAGGACAAACGGCCTTCTCGCCCGGCGAAGGATAGTGTGCCCTTCATTGAATGGGGACTCACAGATTCTATGTGGAGGTTGATGGAGCGGTGCTGGGATCGAGACTCGGAGAATCGTCCTACGATGGAAAGTATTTCCCGGAAGGCCTTTCTTTCTTCGCTTGTTGACGATAGACCCTCGGGAAGGGGTGAAGCTCTTTCACCACCACAATTCCGTGGAGCCATGCATGGATTTTTATAAATATTTCCTGTTGCCCAGATGATACAATTTTACGTGTGGTAGTTAGCGCCGAAACAAACAGAATTTCATTCAACGATTGAATAGATCTACAACGGTCAACCTTCGATGGTCCACTGGGGAGTAGGGAAGAAATAGATACCAGAAATGCAGCGGTAGTGGTAGCGGCGCAGCAGCAGTGGACGTGAATGGATGTGGGTGCGAAGTGAGTGTCCAAGACGAACATCACCACGAAAACACCGTCTCCTCCCACATCGCCTGACCCCACTCATACTCACAAACATCTCCTTGTGCGCCGTTGGTGCCCAGGTAGAGTCATCTTTACAAGAAAGGAAACGGCAGTCGTGTCGGCAGACCTGAAAGTAATCGACAGAGGGGGAGAGGGAGAAGAGAGAAGAGAGAAGAGAGAAGGACGAAAAACAGACCTTGCTCAACTCCTTGCTTGTCCCAGTTTCCTGCTCAAACCAGAGGGTTATATAGGTAGATGAAAGAATGAAGGGTGAAGGGAGTGAACGCACCACGCTGGGCAGAAGCTCCCTGACCTCATCCTCTGAACCGATCTTGATTGCTTTGCCAATGGTTGCGAGGTGAAGGGTCACGTAGGTGGCTGTCAGCCTCTTCAACGCCCGTGCATCTCCGACGGCTTGGCTGATCAGGCCCAAGCTTTTCTCCTGTCACGGAATGGGTTAGACGGGGTAGAGTGGAACATCAAGGACTTACTTAGAGCGGAGAAGGTCTACCTCTCTTTATCGGATACCTCATGAAGCAATCTGGTGCTTTGGGGGTATGCGCTGATGAAGGCGAGACACGAGGTGCCCCCTGCAACGCTGAGGGATATTAGGTACCCAGGCTGGTCACGCAGATCTCAAAGTACTCTTCGGCTTCATGCCAGCGTTTCAGTGCGGCGAGCGGTGTAACTTGTAAGCGCTGTAATCGGTCGAATACCCCGCTGTCAGCTTCTTCAACGCCCGTGCGTTTTCGACGGCTTGGCTGATCGGGCCCAAGCTTTTCTCCTGTCAGGGAATGGGTTAGACAAGGTAGAGCGGAACATCAAGGACTTACATAGAGCGGAGAAGGTCTTCCTTTCTTTATCATGAACAGTCCGGTGCTTTGGGGGTAGGCGCTGACGAAGGCTATATACGAGGTGCTATCTGCAACGCCGAGGGATATTAGGTGCCCAGGCTGGTCACACAGATCTTGAAGTACTCTTCGGCTTCATGCCAGCGTTTCAATGCGGCGAGCGTTGTCAGATCTGAAACGTTGATGTCGACTTAACGAGGATGATCATTTAGTATGATGAGAAGCTGTTTTATGGCTATAGACACATACCGCGATCTGGCGCCACACGAGCTTGTTCTAGGCTAAAGTTCCTGCAGGCTGCGGCGCCCCTTGGAATGTCATACGTGCGGCGCTACCTGATTATCAGATATACGGTCTTTTGGTAGGCCATTGCGTAGAGTAGTAAGATTGAGGGCCGAAATGCTTTTGGCCGTCGTGATTTGATGTATACATTTCTGAGAAGAGATGCGTCACTTTTGAGATTCCGCCGAAAACCTTATTGCTCGAAATGGTAAAACGTCACATGACCTGGGGAAACACGACGCGAAACAAACAAATGATCTTTCTGCCACCAGCTCTCAAACTCCCCCGCCAATGTCGCAAGCCCTGCAACTCAAGACCACTCCGGCGTTGGTATCACAAACGGAAATACCGCCCCGACCACACAAAGCACACCCAGCGAGGGCACGAAGGTGAGCCCAACAACGACAAGTGCCCGGCGCCGACAGTACAATGAAAGCCGCCAACGGTGAAGCACAAGCAAGCTACGGCCTACGAGCATGACACCACTTAGGCATGGCCCCATCCGCACGAGCCCGACGCCAACGGCAAACATCCCTCGGGTGGATTTCAGGGCGGGGGAATATCCAAGCGACCCACGACACGGAGCTTCGCTCCTCACATCATCGCTCATCTGCAAGCGCCTGACGCAACTCTCATCCGCGCGAGTCCCACACCAACGACAAACATACGGGGTAGATTTCAGGGCGGGATGCAGATGGCGGGGCGCGAAACGACACCTCCAGGTGGGCGCGATTGTTAGTTGCCACTGATTACTTACCCACTGTCCCAAAAGGTGTATTAGTATCAATATATACGGCTTTGCTTTAGTTGGCATCATAGAACTTAGGGTGCATTTACTATATATTCTGTCCATTGAGCAATTCCCTCCTGAAATGCAAAACCAAGGACTTAGTAACTTCCGCGAGTTCGCGACCGTGCCTTGTTTCCGGCATCACATGATATCGCTCCTTTTTAAGAATAAGGTTTTCGGCGGAAAGTGAACAACTGAGATGCGTCAGATTCTTTTCAGATTCCGGTTTGCTAAACTTTTTCAAAATTGAAACTCCGCGGACTGAAAGAGAGTCTGATGAGCACAGACTCATCGTTGGTGCCCGAAGGCGCAGTTACGCTTTATTATCCACCTTTATCCCCTGGCACAACCACCAACGACCCATCCGAAACGAAACAATGTTCAGTACGAGGCTGCACCCTCCTCCTACCGCTCTCAAGCTCACACAAGATGTGCGAGACGTGTAGAGGGAGGCATCGGGTTTATGCGAGTACGAAGAGGGCACGGAGGAAGATGGAGAAGGCTGCCGTTGCTGGTGTTGTTGCTGCGCGTGCTAGGGTTGGTGAGGTGGGAGGCGATGAGGGAGACAGTGGAGATGTTACTGCTGTTTGGATGCCTTTGAGTGTTGCTGATCAAACCGAGGTTTGTGTCGTGTTTTTTTCTTGTTTCTTTCGGAACGAGGCTTATGACGTTTGTAGATCCACCAGGGTACCCAAGCCCAAGCAGGGCAGCAAGACCAGCAAGCGCAAGGATGGGACCACGCGATCGATCCGCGGCTTTTTCAAGTCCCGGGTCAGGGTGCTACTGTGCCTCCTTCTTCGTCGACGAGTTCGCCTCTACACCCGCATCTTGTGACCACGACGTCCGAGTTGGCTAATGCACTGACGTTGCCGGTGACTGTGTCGAGTTATGCCGGGTATGCACAGCGGGAGGAAGAGCGATTTCAACAGCCTGTCGCGTCGAGTACGCAGGAGGATCAAGGGACGATGCCTACCCCGGCCTCGGATGATATGCAGAGTCCCCACAGTGAAGATCAACCACAAGGGCAAGAGCAAGAGCAACACGAAGAAGAAGAAGAGGACGACCCGACCGTACCGACGCGGAGGTGCTCAGTCAAGGGGTGTAAGAAGGTTATTCGTGGTGTGTTCTCATTTTCTTTTTTCTGCCAAAGTACGCAAGTATACAAGGGATGGTATACGCCCAAACTCGCATCCTCCCTCTTCCTCCTTTCCCATCTTTTTTCTCACTCCTCACTTCTCTTCTCGTTTTCACTCCAACTAACACCCCAAACAGGCACCTACGAATACAAAATGTGTCCCCCCTGCCGAACGCGTTATAGGACCTACGGAATCACGAAACGAGCCAAATGGAAAGCGGAGCGCGAGGCGTTTGATAGGGAGATGGCGGGGCTTAGGTTGAAGGAGGATGAGAGGAGACGGGGGGTTGGGTTGGGTGTGAGTTTTTTTGTTTTGTTTCTCTTCCTGGGTTTTTTTTATTACGTTTTTACGTTTTTGTGTTCGTCTCTTTCCTTCCCGCGTCGTTTGCCTTTCGTCCTTCCTCCCAATGCCCCCCCCTCCTTCCTCCAGATGTTTTCCACTCCTTTTGCCAAATGATCTCTCTCGTTGCTTTCCCTTTGAATTCTTCTTCCTTCCTTCCTTCCTCCGCTTCCCTGAATTATTCAAGTCGTCCGCCTTCTGTCCTCCGATTTTTTTCTTATTTCATTCCTCCCCCCCTTTCCCGCCCGTTTTGACTCCCTCCTCCTTGGATGCTCACCTCATTTCATTTGTTCTTTCCTCTGGCTTTTTCGTTTCATATTTAGGCTGCGTTCGTTCGCCTGCCTTACTGCCCCCTTCCTGCGCCCGTCCTCCGTTTCGATCCCTTCCCTTCTCCTTTTTCCCTCTAGATGTTTCGTTTCTCTCTTTCGGCTGCGTTCGTTTGCTCCTCTCTTCCTGCGTCGTCTGCCTTCCTTCCTCCCCCTTCCTGCGTCGTTTGCCTCCTCCGTTTTGATCCCTTCCCTCCTCCTTCCTCTCTTTATTTGTTCGTTCCTCTGGATTTTTCGTTTTCTCTCTAGGTTGCGTTCGTTTGCCTGCCTTCCTTCCCCCTTCTTGCGTCGACTACCCTCCTTCCTCCCCTGTTCCTGCGTTGTCGGCCCTTTTTCTTTCCCCGTTCCTGCGTCGTTTGCCTTCTTCCCTTCTGATCCCTTCCCTCCTCCCCTCGTTTGTTCGTTCCTACGGCTTTTTCGTTTTCTCCCTGGGCTTCATTTGTTTCATTCTACTTTTTCCTTGCTCTTATGTTCGTTTCTTTTTCCCTTTTTCTTTTTACTCTTGATCACATACTTTTCGTGCGTGCTTCGTTGTGCTTGGTTAAACTAATTTTCCATCTGTTGAATAATTCCTTCCTTCTTGCTTTCATTGCTTCTCTTTTCTGGGGATTTCTATACACTCCTTTCTCTTTGTTCATTGCGTTTGTTGCCCTTTCTTCTCCGTCCTCCGTCCCGCCATTCCTTCGATCAACAATAACGTTATCTTTCTACGTTCATCTTGTTCCTTTTCTTTTGACGTTTCCTTATTTTCTTCCTCCTGTGTCATCGTTTGAGCTGTTGACTAACTTTGATCAATCATTCTAGCCACTCTTAGACTCCCCGGAAGAGCTCCACGCATGGGAGATCTCGATAATCGACGAAAAGGTTCCACTCCATGCATCCATGGCAAGTGCGTTGGCTGGTAGCCCCATGAGTGTCGAGATGTACCCTAACGCATCTACGGGAGTCTACACGCAAGATGGCATGGGTACGCATTTCACCCCTTCTTCTCCTCGTCAAAGTCGCTTATCCTTTTAAACCAGGTACGATACCACCTACCCCGGCACGGATGTGCACCGTCTCGCACTGTCACCAGATCCTGCCGGGTTTCTATCGGTTCAAGAGGTGTGAACAGCACAGGTTGCAGAATCGGTATCATAGCAAGCTGAAGAGGGTGAGGGAAAAGGTCGATGGCGATAAGCCGGATGACAAGGAGGAGGGGGTGGAGATTCCGCGGCATATGATGGAGAATGGATTGGAGATCAAGGGGGGAGAGGAGGGCGGGGATGGAGATGTGGGGGGCCAAGAGGGTTTCTTGGTTATCAACCCTCTGGAAGGATCTGGAAAGGCGGAGAATAAGGTAACTTTCTCTTATCTCAAGCTTGAATGATAACTTACCGCTGTGCTGTCTAATGATAGAAACGGAGCACACATACGTGCGCGACGGATGGCTGCAACAACTTCCTTTCGCCTGGGATGCGCTGGCGGATGTGTGATGTGTGCAGGACGGCTGAGAGGTTGCGCAAGTGGCATGCTAGGCAGGGGGCGCACAAGGGCTCTGCTGCGACTGGGAAAGGCTTGACAGGAGTCTACACTAGCTCGGCTGGTAGCGAAGTCCAGGGCGCGTCTGGTATCGACAGCTCGACAGGAGTCTACATTGGAGGCTACACTAACTCCGCTGGCAACGAAGGGCCGACCGGCAACAGACACGAGGACATGTCCGGCAGCGGACATACATCGCTCGAACAACCACGGCAATCATCGCAGATCAACCACGAGGAGGATGATGGTGATGATAACGTTGCAGATGCCGGTGTTACTGCTCCTGCTGGCCCTGCTGCCGTTGTCGGGGCTATTTCATGGTCTACATCTACTTCCATGGGCACTACCACGGCCACCGGCACGACTGCTCCTGCCAGTTCTACAGCCAACTTGATAATGCTCGACGACCCCCTGGCGTTCCGCCCCTACAAGCCCAAGACGGCGACTTCCACGATTGGAAAGATCTCGGCTAAGACCCCGCATCTTGGGATAGAGGTGTTCACTGATTTGTTGTTACCGCCTGGGACTCAGGTATGTGTGCTTGCGTTGGAATGCGTATCATCGATGACTGACGAAAGTGATGTAGAATGGATCCACGTCTACGACGACGAAGACTCCACCTCAGGAAAGCGCTGTTCCCGCGCCAACTATCCCGCAATTTACGCCTTTTGTGCATCAGCCGCCTCCGAAGCACGGGAATGGGGATCCGCAGGGGAGCAATGGTGGAACCGAGCAGCTACAATCACAACCCCCAGCGTCTCCGCCCCCAGTCGAGATTCCACGCAAACGTGCTCGAACAAAAGCAAAGAAGGCACCACCCACCACTCCAGCAACTCCCGCGCACTTCCCAGCTACTTCTCCGTATGGCTCATATCCCTACGGTCAGTACCCCTACCCCTATCCCTACTACTTGCCGCCACCCTACGGGATGCCTCCCTACGCCTATCCACCCCCTCTTCCTACTGGAACTGGACAAGACGCAAACGCTGTTGCATCATCCTTGTCCACCTCTCCCCCTTATCCTTACCCATACCCATACGCCCAACAACCCTATGGGTATCCGCCCCCTCAGCCTCCACCTTCAGGCTACCAACCTCCACCACCCCCGCCGTCCGGATATCATCTTCCTCACCCGCCTTACTCGGGACAGACGTTTATTTCGACGTCGTTTGGACCCAATGGGCAGCAACAGACTTATGTAATGCCCGCATATGGTGTTCCCCATCATCAACATCCGCCTCCACCAGCTCCTCCTCCTCCAACTTCTTCTGCTGCTGCTCCCCCACCTACGACGCCTACCGCGCCTCCGAAGCCGAGTGAGCCATCAGTGCCCAAGGTCACCAAGTTTAGTTATTACCATTATGGAGTGGGGCAATCGGATTCACCGACTACCGCGAACGTAAGTCATTTCGTTTACTTTGATGATGGTGTTTGTTGACGTGGATGGTTAAGACGAGGAAGAGAAGAAAAGTGGATCCGGCATATTTAGAGAGGGAGAGGCTAAAGTTGCAGGCGGAGAAAGCTGCTGCGGCACGCGAGCTGGGTTCGTATTCGTTGGGAGCAGGCGGGACGACTCAGCCGCAGCAGTATGCGAATGGGACGCAGCTGTATGGGGGCACGAATGGCATTGTGCCGATTATGGCGAATGTTGCCCCGCTAACCGTTTCGGCTGGGCAAGGGAGTGGGACCTTTGAACAAGACCAGGATGTTACCAGCCAGGGCGGGGACAGTGTTGGTCAGGGCAAGGAGATCGCCAATGCCAGTCCGGGAAGTGTGGAAGAGGACAGAGTCAAATCGCAACCGCACCCTGTAAGCAGACCTTCCAAGTCGTGTTCTCTCTCCGTTGCTGAATGTCTTCCTCACAATAGCAACGGCAATGCGCAAACAAGTCGTGTCGTCGATCTATTCCCACGAACGCAACGCACACGTTGTGTGAAAAGTGCAAGTTGCGTTTCAAGAAACATCAGGTGAAGACGAAGCAAAAGTTCAAATTGGAGCCAAAGAAGCTGGTGTTGCCTCGACGGCGTGGTGATGTGGGGAATGAAGCAGGGTGAGATGGGGATGGGTCATGGGGTAATTTATTCTTAATGATTTGATGTGAGTCCAGACCTGTTGATGTGTGTCGTTTCAGCTATGAAGGAGTCCCCTTACCATGTCGCATTTTACGCGCTGTCGAAATTAACGTATAGCTGGCTTTGCTTGTCACTCCCGCAACTTATGAAATTAAGGTTGAGACTGAAGCACGAGCCAGCACGCTGGTGCCTCGATGCTAACTAGGACCCATACCATTTCTCTCACTCGCGTAGACTGGCATCCCACTCTTTCCCGACATTCTTATCTACGATGGATGACAGCGTTCAAGATGACATTGAGCAAGGTTCAGTCGTCGAAGTATCTCAAGAGGCAGTGGACGCCCATCCGGGGCCTTTTTCAGGTATCAGATACTATCACTAATTCCTCACATTAACCTCAATAAAATCAATACCAGACAACGTGCAAGGAATCCACAACGCATTGCAAGAACTTCAATCTGAGCTTGGAGACTTTCTAACGCAACATCTCACAAGGATCACGTCCTTACGACAGCAGGTCCAGAACCCCACCTCGGACGGGGACGTCACTCCGAAACTGCCACACAAGGCTCATGGTAGGACTCGCATTCACCCATGTTGCCCACGTCGGTTCACGTCCTCTGTTCATTCCTAGCAGTAGGCGAAGTGGATCAGAAAGCGACGGCTGGACTGCCATCAGGTGGAAACGTTTCGTCTTGGATTGAACATGACAGCAGAGCAACACAGCTTGAACACACGCGGTCATCGAATGCGTCATCAGTTCTCTACCCGCCACCACCAGCAGCGGTCCTGAGTCCGCAGATAGACGCTCATATGCGACATATGCAACAGTTTCTGCAGACGCATATGGACAATGTTCACGCCCTGCAGAAATCGCTTGGGCAACCCCATGTTACGGTTATCGCACCTAAAGATAGCGTTAAGCAGAGAGGAGTAAATTCCGGAACGAGCTTTGCTGGAGAGTGGGATGCGCTTTCTCAACACTTTAGTTTGAGCGTTTTGGCCGTACGTCTTCATCGACTTTCCGAAGGAAATTATAGCTGGTTAAAATTATCTGCATCCAGTCGACTTTCGCTGGGGCACTTATCGTGGTTTTTCTATCGCTCGTTAGGCTTATCAACATCTCCAATCAGCACCGAACGACATTCAGCTTCGGCATGCTCTTCGCATTTTGGGCCCTCGCGACCCACCTGCTCAATATCTTCGTTGCGGGGCGGGGCGCAGCTATCTGCATTGCACCCCTTCGCGTGGGCCGCCAACAACAGCCACCTAACCCTGCGGATATCGGCCAATACCTTTCCCTCTCTGAACAACTCCAGTTCGCTGCTACCCTTCTATTTATTCTACCCGTTGCGGTGCTGAGTTTTATTGTTTTCACCAATTTGGGTTTTCCGTTGGTTTTTCTGATCTTCTCGCTTCTGGCTGCTCTTGTTGTGTTTGGAAGCGTGTATTGGAGGGTGGAGTTGTCCTTGGGGGGCCTTGGGTTTATTTTTCGTCACCGGAGGTGGCGACCTTCGAGTGGTTTAACTCACTCATGGGGTAGCAGATAGGTAGGATTGACCTCCTGGTATTTATTTGTTTCGGCAGCATTACACGCTCTTTTCTGCTTGGATATAACTATGTTGTAGCATTTGCAAATATCCTGCCCAGTACGAGGCGAATATTTGTGAGCACTCAGCGGTATTGAAAAACACACATACTCAAGGATGATAAATATGAGACGGAGAGCGTCGTGCCTCAGGAAGCCATAGGTGCTATTGAATCATCAGGTATGATTTGACCTCCCTAAAACTATTATATTGGTGAAATCTTTGCGTGAAAAAATTTGAGTGCGACATCTCCAGCTTTTAAATCTCTTAGTTATTTAGAAGTTCGGCCCAGTTCCTGGCACCTCTCTAAAATGCTTCAAAAATCTCCCCCAAATGACCTCGCCCTTCTCCCCTTTTGCAATAGGCCACAACACTCTTCCGGCCCCGTCTTCCCACCCGATCGGGCACTTCTCCCCTTTCCTCCCCACAATTTCTTGCCACACCGGATCGGCACTCATGTACCCTGGATCCACCGAATTCACCGCAACCTTACATTTTTTCCATGCAGTGGAGGCTTCCGTCTCGGTCAACATGTTCAAGGCGGCTTTGGACATGTTAGTGTGAACATGCCGCCCAGCCTTGTATGGATGTTTTGGTTCGTTCTCAAAAATTCCCTCACGCGAGGAGACGTTGATAACGTAGCCCGATGGATTTAGTGTAGGTTTCCCGATGCTTGGAGCATCCGATTTAATCGACATTAGAGGGAGTAATTCGCGGAGCAGGATGAATGGCACAAATGTGTTGACGCTAAGCGCAGAGACAACGTCCTCGTAAGGGATTTCATTGATCCTTTGGACCCAGGATGAATCTCCGAGCGCGTTGGTGTTGACAGAAACCGCGAGCTTGCTGTCTAATTCCCCTTCCGCGCTTTTCAACATTAATCCCTCCCGGGAAGGAAGTTCGATATGGTATCCCTGCACCCCGCCTCTCACTCTTGCCCTATAATTCGCGTCAACCACCACCCCCTGCTCACCCAAGTTACTCAATCCCTCCTCCAATAAAATATTCTGACCTTCCGTTTCCACGGCGTCCGTGAGCGTTTGCGCTGCATTGTTGATCAATATGTCCAGCTTCCCATAAGACGTCACATCGCCCTCAGTCGCAGCCCACTCCTCCAAGCACGACTTCAGGGCCTTGACAAGCCCGAAAACATCCTTGGCAGTCCTAAAATCGGCCCCAACAATCTTCAGCCTCCCTTTCCACTTCTCAGCGTCTTCCTCTCCCAAATAACGCGTTTGCGCATCGAAAGGATACCGTGTAGATACGACCACATTCGCCCCACAGCGTAAAAGTCGCAATGCCGTGTAATAACCGAGGTTTACGCGGCCCCCTGTGACTAACGCGGTCTTCCCTTTCAGATCAAGGTTGGGGGGAAGAGATTGCTCTGAAGAAGAGATATTAAACTCCCCGCATGGGTTACAGAGCGCTGCGTAGAATTTGTGTGGAGAATGAATGTTGTACTGGCACATGTAGCAACGCCTTTTGGTAATTTTTTTGCGTGAGGCGTGTCGGAGATCAGAGCCCAGCAAGAGTTGTGTCTGGATGACCTCAGTTACTTGCCGTAGCGGCGTCAGTGGATCGGGAAGCGCTTTAATGTGGGGTAATCGGAGGTAAGCCAGGACTTTCAGCGCTGCATTAAAATCAGCGTCGGTGGGGATCATATGTTCGGGGATTTCGAGCGTATCCGTTGACTCCCATGAAGGGAGTTCAACGAGGTACGATTTTATTCCGGAGACGATGCTGGCGAACCTCATGCGCGCAATGGGCATGGGGACTTTGAGATCGGCATCATTCAAAGCTCGTATTATGTGGTCAGAGTCCTGGGGCAGGCAATAGACAAGGGGGGATGGAACACCGCCAGATCGACAAAGATCTTGGTCGTGGAGGAGTTGATCGGCGATTTCCGAGGCGGGTTGGGTGGTTAGGAATTTGTGGCATGCTGAAAGACTGTTCAGCTGTGGTAGAGACATTCGTAGAAAGTTTTCCCAAGTTGAGTCTCTGATCGTTATTTGGAGCTTGACAAAGTTGTGACAAAATTGGCTTGACCGCAGATGACTTGGATGGCCGGATCAATCTACTCAGAAGCCCCCTTTCCCACCGTCAGGGACAGCTTGCATAAATGATATGTAAACCCATATTGTCTCAGCCTGCCATTAACGCCATGGTTCGAGCCCGTTATTCCTCTGTTGCGGGGAGACTTCCCAAACTCCCTCGAGAACTCGTCCACAAAATTCTCGACGACATCTCTCTTGTCAAAGTCTTGGAACTAGTCAGCAGCCATGATATCGCATACATCGATCAATGTGTGTCTACTCACTTCCATCTTCGCCAACTCTTGCCACCAGATGTCCTCCCTGAAGCTAAATCATATTTTTTGCTGTACAACACCCTCTGCGAGCGCCGTCGCCGACAACCTCTCCCCAATCTTCCGCAGTTGGCCCACGATGCCCAAGTCCTCTTAAAGGCTAAACTAAGCCAACGAGTGGATATTATTGCCATCATCAAGGTTGAGATCCTGAAAGATCTCGAGGCTTACGCCCCCTTTTTCCCCATTCTCCGATACTTCTGTGATCCAAAACTTAGTATTCCGGATCGCGTGTTCTGGGATGTCTCGTCAGTGACGTGGTTATGGGATCTCTTCAACATCATCGATGCGGCAGAGAAGAAACTCAACGCTGTCAAATCCGACCAATTGAAGAGGATGGCAGATCTGATGGTGGAATACCCTGGGATGCTCCGCGAATACCAGGATTTTTCGCAAGAGCAGCGAAGGAATGCTGATCATAAGATTGCAGAATTGCTTCTACTATCGGAGCGAATCAAGCGTCCTCAGATTTTGTCGAGGAAGTTCGTTGGGAGGTACATATTTAGCCAACACAATTTTCATCTTGTTCCTTACGATAGGTAAGTTTTCAAAATAATGAAGAAGACAAGATCCATCTCACCGCAACGCAATCAGATATCTGCGAGCCTTTTTGAAGGTGCTTGACCGTTTCCCCTCGGACGACGACGCTCTTATGAAGGAGTCTATCCCCCACTGGAAGCGCAAAGAGATAAAAGACAGAAATCGGACCCGGATCCCCCACAAGTATCCCAAGTAGCTGAGCACCGCCATTGCAGGACTGGGCGTAATCTACCTGTTCACCCCGCAGGTCCGGTTTGCAGGGTCCAGAACGATGTTCACCAAATATTCCGGAAAGGATCTTCGTTCGAATAAGGGTTTCCAGCAACCGAGGTTCTGTCTTCGCACGGACAAATCGCTTGCGACGCCTCCGCTTGGCGTTGTTGGAGATACGTCGTTGTTACCGGCAAGTGAGAAAGAGGTTGAATGGTTGGAGGCATTTTTGGTGATTTGCAAGCATATGTCGGAGATGGAGGAAGAATGGAAGGCAGGGGAGACCGTGGGCGAATATTGGAAAGCACATGTGGGCGAAATGTCCGTGGTGGAAATGGACGTAGGTGAGGTGTAGGGTAAGGGGAGTTGAGATTTTGTAGAATTGTTGAGTCGGTGTTCTTGAAATTTGGTCATGGCGGGCTCCAACACATCAACCAGAAACACGTAAGTAACGGAAAATCCGGGGAATACGACGTAACCGTTGAACGTTGAAGGATCGAATTACATATAATAAATAAACTTTCGGGGTTTAGAAACAATCGGGACAACGCGAAACTTGATCCAAAATTTGTCCAAAATTGAGAAACGCAACGTAAATTCGTTCCCCATGCGCTTTCATAGAGGGAGGGCATTCGCCACATTTTTAGAAAAATAGAAAATGGATTAGCTTTTCTCAAAAAGAAGTGACACCATACGTAGCCAACGATATGCTGCACCTCTCGGAAACCCCATCCTCCATCCGCGTGATTAAAAACGTTACAATGTCACGTTGCCCGCTGACTTCGACCGGTCAACGACCCCAGTCTCCCGTCTTTAAGAAAGTTGGTAAGTATTCTTTTTGCTTACCGCCGTCTGCGAGGTTATTTTGACTAGTATGAAAGTGTTCACGCGTTTACGTCCATATACAAATTTACCGGTTCAACAAAAATCAGCTAAGTAATTCTACTGGAGGGCTGAGAAGAGAAAATTGGCGCCTGCACCAAACCTCTGATGTCGCTTGAAATCCATGTTCCGTCAAACTGACTCCTTGGCCTTGCGATTGAATAACGACTTTCGTTTAGATCTGTAAGACCAATTAGGTTCATCTAACAAGAGACAAAGGAGAGGGAGAATAGTCACCAACTTCTTTTTCTCTGTAGGCTCGTCCGCTTCTTCCTCCAGCTCCTCTTCATCGAGCCAGGGCGGCGAAGCCTCAGGCAATGGCGGGTCGACTTCATCATCACCGCCCCTCATCCCTGACGAGACCTCCTTATCAACCAAAGACACGAGCCTGAACAACGGGGTAAAAACGCGTTTGCCGTCCTTATTAACCTTGCTTTTGAAATTCCCTGCGCTTGAACTGCGGACCCATTTGGCATTAACAGTGCCTGAGACGGCACCAGAAACAGGAGGCTCGACGCTAAGTCCGATAGCAACGTTTGAGGTTCCTTCGGCTGTGAGGAGGCGGGCGAAGGAGGAAGACTTGTGGGCCTCTGAGACGATGACAAGGCCTTTCATCGACTCGTCGTCAAGGAGACGGCGGAGAACGCCAGGGGGATCGATGGTTGTGACTGTGTCGTTATCCATAACCAGGATCGCACCTTGGCCGGACGTGACTTTGAAAGAGGCTTTGACCTTGCATTGCGCAAGCGCAGGCGTTTGCCTGATGAGGATGATACGTCAATGTAAATCCCTCCGAGGAATTTTAACATACCCTCCTGCCGCGACGTCAACATCCGTTTCACGGGCATTCTTCGAAGTGACCCATGTTTGCCCCTCATTCGACTCAGTGCCATGTTCCTTGGGAGCTGGAATCTTCCACTTCTCGGCCTGGCCGTCGGTGTATATGTTCCCTTCTTTCAAAAACGTGCCCTGCTCGTGCCGCCAAAACGTTAACCAACTTTTGTGTCCGGTAGTGATGCGGCCGTAGTCGCCGACTTCAACGGTGACCTCTGGATCCCAATTGGCGTACTTTTTGCTGGCGCGGAAGACGAGATCAACGTAGAGGCGTTCTGGATCGACCATTGTGGAATGTGATGAGGAACGGTGTTTAGTCTGCGGGTCTTTTGTAGGACATGCGGTCTCTGTAGTCACAGGGTTACACGGGTCCTAGAAGGCCAAGTCCGCGCGTGAAAAGCTTGAGGGATGAACTGGTCCGCCCATCTGGAAGGGACTGGGTGATCGGAGGGTATACGACATGCGCTCCTCATCTATCTTTATATTCCATGAACGATCAAGGTGAAACAACCTTCAGTGCTGGAGTGCAGTAAAGATCATCGATAACACACCTTCACCTCTCCAAGATTTCAGCTCACTCGATGAGGTATCAAAACCCGAAAAATTACAACGTAGCATTCAATCTCTGAAGGACCAACATCACCGAGTTAATCCCATGTAGAACAACATCAACGTCCTCCGGAGCCACCTTTGCGACGACCACGGTCATCTTGTCCGGGTGCCAGCGTAATAATGAACTTCGCACTCGTTCCTTCTTCGTGACGCCATAACCCCGAACCTTTAAAACGCCAAGAAGAAATTCCTCCACGTTCTCGGGCGTCAAAAGTTGAAGCGACAAAGGGCTCTTGTCCGTCAAGTCTATCGGCCAGGGTATGTCGCGAAATTTAATGGTCCTGCTAGGACTCAATTTCGCCTGTTCTAGCAACTTTGCCCAGTCCGCTTCATAGCGCTTCCAGCGGTCCATTAATGACTTCTCCTCCTCACGGAGTTTCAATTCATCTCGTATAGCTTGTGTCCGCACCATATCCCTTCTTCCATTTGTGTCGCGTAGAATGCCTCCACTGCGGACCCAACTTTCCTCTCCCCGCCTTGCTTCCTCCGCCTCGCGTGCACGAAGCTGCAAACGCCTCTCTTCCTCCAGCTGCCATTCCCGATCCAGCTCTTCGTCGCGTTTCTTCTGCTCTGCTTCATCTCGTAAACGTCGTTCCTCCGCTTGTTTGGCTAAGGAGGCATCTTCCGAATTAAATGAAGGCTCCACGTCAACAACTGGAGCAAAGGCAAAATAGCCTAGACCGTTCTGCGGATGGGTTGGTAATTTAAGGCCACGTTTGCTTGTTGCTGGCTTGGGGGTTCCAAAAAGCAGGGAATTGGGTGTCCAGTAGTTATGGGGTTCCATGTTTGCGTCCTTGATGTGGTATAAGGTATTGATTGCGCCAAAGATGAGGGCGCTAGGAGAGTGGGAGAAAAGGATAACAATGCCGTATTTCTAAGTACATTTTTTTTCTAGTCATGTGGGTGTTTAGGGCAGGGAAATACGCGTCAAATTACTCGCACTGATCAAAAAGTTTGCGACTCCTCGGCTCGAGGACGCAGGCTAAGTTACAGGTAACTTCAAACTACTTCCAAGCTCAAACATTCAGAATGATAGGAATAGCAGTTGAACATGCCTTGTGCAGGTGCAGTGAACGAGGTAAGTTTGAGGTTGGTTTGAGGTAAGTACTACATTTGGGACAATGGACGACTATACATCCCTCGATTGGAAAATCAAGACCACGATAGGTATCAGATATGTATGTAACTGATATCGATCCAAAGAGGTCAATGACAAGAAAGTATCTCCACCTCATCTCATCTAATACAACACATAAACGTTCATAAACCCTATCTTGCATCCATCTAATCGTCCACAAGCCTCTAAACATCATCTTCCCAACTATCCGGAACAGGAACCGAACTCGACGCCCGATCAACAGGCGTCTCCCTCTTCAGAGTCAAAGCGCTGCTGGAATGAGTAGGAGTAGGGGTCCGCGCAAGGCCACCACCCAAACTCGCCGCAGACAACCCACCAAGAGATGTGGTCGGTTTCGGTGCCACCAGAGGCGTCGCTGACGATGGTCTAGCTACCACAGACGTCCACCCACGCGGAGGGCCTCCAGAACTGGACTGAGGAACGGGCTTGGGCGCAGCTGGTCTCCATGATGGTGATTGGGCTCCGGCACTCTTCAGAGCTCGAAGATCGGCTAGCTTGCCAAGACTAGGTGGTGGTGCAGATGTGCCTATTATGGTTGAAAGAAGAGGGGTTGGGACGCGGGTATCGACGCGTCGGAGGAGTTGTACACTGATTAGATTGAGTAGGGTTAGCACGACAAAGAGAACGTGGCAGGGCAAACGGACCTTCTGTGAGGCTCTTGGTCTACCATCTGCGTGTCCATTCGATAAACGCTTGCAAGCTAGAAAGAGACATCGTCATCAACCGTGCAACCAGTAAGCTAGTAAAGCCACTCACGTCATGCACAAACTTCCGTCTCTCCGGAGGCATATGCGGCAGCACCTGCGTCCTCTTATCCGAAGAGATGAACCTACAAAACATCAGCAAATCATCCATAAAAACAAGTAACAACCCAAAAGCAACCAACGTACTCTGCAAAAGCCTTCTCAACAACCTGCACAAACTTGACATTCCCCCTCCCAAACACAACAACCTGCTCATGATACGCAACGCCCCCAGCCTTATCCTTCACATCCGTCCTAATGCCCAACGCATCAGCCAACTGCGCATTCCGCTTCACAATCTGGCATTCAGAGGTACATTTCAACGCAGCGTGTTGGTGTCCCGAGGCATGTGATGCTTGTCGACCACAGGGCACAAATTGCTTGATTCGCTCGCAAGGGCAGGTGAGGGTTACTGTAGCCATGCATGGTTCGCTTTCGGGACATGCGGAGGGGGCGTGGCAGGGTTGGGTGCATGGGTGTTGGTTGGGTAAACTGCGGAACGGTTGAGTTTTAAAGGTAAAAGGAAATGGAATGAAAAAAGGGAGGCGTACCAGAGTTTCCGATGTTTCCCACAGGGCGCCGTACAAGGCCCACAATCATCAGCATGACAAAGGTTCTCGCACAAGTGGAATCCACAAGCCATCAACCTAAAATTTATTAGAAAAAGGAGACAAGTGAAAAAAAAAAAAAAGAACACAAACTTTCCACACGCAGTCCCACACGAAACCCTCTCCAACGAGCACCTAACATTAGCCACCATCTTCTTCCCACACGCACACTGCTTGCTCGTCAAAAACGGACACGGAGGACACGGTAAAGGGTCTTCATGACACGAATGCGTCGTCCCTGCGTGCCCACACGGTAAAGGCGGCCTCGAGCACGGATAATGGCAGCGAATCTGGGTACCGCACGATATAGGGGGTTCGAGCACCGTGCGACCGCAGTAACAAGCCATCTACACAACATGAACACACGTCCAGAACCAAGAGAACGAAGACACACACACACCTCTTCAAACGAGCTCCGAAGACAAGGCGGACACCCACCTCTATGATCCCGCTCTTCACACCGGTGGTTCCCACAAGACAACACCTTCTCGCAGATCAACTCACACTCGTGTAACCCCCCGCGCTCTTCCCCAATCCCATCTCCCTCCCCTCCTGGCCCAACGCGTTTCTTCCCCTTCTTCCCAGAGGATGAAGCTAACGCCGCAAGCGGACAACACACCCTCCGGCATTGATGTCTCCCACACGCACGGAGAACCGTACACGGGCGATCGCATAGGATCTCGTTCTCTTCCCCTGCTGTGGTGTGGATTTGGTGACACGGAAGACTGCGCGTCGTCCCTCCACATCTACACGGACGCGTGATCTCAATCGTACATGGGGGGCAGGGCCCAGTGTGGCAGTTCGCTTGACACGCATGGGAGCATGCCGTATGGGGTCTCAAACATGGGTATGAAGGGCAGGTGGGGATAGGATCTGTGCAGGAAGTACGTGCCGCAAACGTATACGTATTCTCAGCAGCAGCAGCAGCGGAAGAGGGAGACGGTGCAATGGTGCTGTTCCCACAAGGACAATGCGTAACACGAGATGGGGACTGTGGGCATTCGGATGGTTGTGGGGAAGGACGATGGCATTGTTTCTCGCATTTGTGGATACCGCAGTCGAAGAACCTGGAACAGACAGTATCGCATCCATACCTCCCCACCCACGGCGTCTCCCCCTCCACGAAACAATCGATGGGTTCGCCGATACCACATCCCACCTCCTTCTCCTCCTTCCCACACCAGCATCGAACGGATTCACGCACTTCACATGGAGCACACTCCCCCTCGTGGCAAAATGCTGCGCAGGTGTGTTTACCGCACCCCAAGGTCCGGCCACAGATGTTCCCGCAGGTAAGATCCCGTTTCGCCTTGCCCTTCCCCTTGTTGCCATCGGTTGTTCCACAACGGAATGAAAGGACTTTTTTGCGGGGGCAGTAGCATTCTAGCCGCGTTGTGACTTGGCATGGGGGACATGGTCCGGGGTGGCATTGGAGCGGACAGGCGTGCCCACATCCACTCTCACGAACGCGAGAGCACGAACCACCGCATGAGTGGGGTGTAGAGAGTCGACCGGGTTTTGGCTCTGGCGTCGAGTTGCAGAAACACCTTTGTTTGAACGATTTAATTAGTTTTGTGTTAAATACGTGAAGAATGAGTTTGAATGTACCAATAGCCTGTTGGCACCGTTTCTCGTCTAGATTGACACCCAGGACACCGCCAATCTCCGCTCCGTTCTTCGCCGCGAGCTCGCCAGGCATCAGCAATGTCCTTGACACTCTTGCTCGCCCAGGATCTAATGCACTTCACATGGAACGTCGTCCAGCAATACTGTACCTCCTCGTTCTCGCCAACGATAGTCGGACTAGAAGGCGAGCAGGACCATGTCGGTTGAGCAGGGTGTATCGATGAGAAGCAGATGGGACAATCGGGGTATGGAGGTGTGCTGAGAGCGCGAATGAGCGTTGACGCTAGATCGTCGCCGATGGGGCCGACTTTGGATTTGGATTTGTCGGCTGGACGCGTCTCGGTCGTTGATTCGGGATGGGTAAGCTTGCCACCGAATTTGGCCCCACGTCTTGGTGCAGGTTGATTCGGGACAACAGAAGATGATGCGGTGTTTTCTTGATTGGTTGGTCGTGGCCTCTGCTGTCTGGGGTTGCGAAGACGTGGTCGAGTAGAAAGCGCATCGTCTACAGCGCCAGGAGGTGCAGTCGGTTGTTGATCTGATGCAGGTGAGAAGACGGTCGAGGAAGGGGTGCTTGTTCCAATTGCTTGGTCAGTTAGCTGTGGCTTTGGTCGCCTGCGATTGCGAGATCGGTGGTTATCTCTTTGAGAAGAAAGTGCGCCGTTCACAACGGCTGGAGGCGCCGTTGCATGATGTTCTGATTGACCTGAGACGCCAGTTGAGGTTGAAGGCATGCTAGCTCCGCTTCCTTGCTGGTTCAAATTCTGCTTCCGTTGTCTGTAGCTGCGAGACCCAGAATCATCTGTTTGGATAGGATGGGCATCATCTACAACACCTGGTGCTCTCCAAGACGCGGCGGATGCAGCTGTTGGATCCCGTTGGTTTGAGGATCGGCCATCCCTCGGAGATGGGTAACGCGAGTCACCGCTTGCACCAGAATGGCCTTGTTGCTGCTCTGCATTGCGTTTTGGCCGTCGCCACGGTCGTTTCCCTTGATCTGTACTCCCCCTCTGTTGATCGGTAGTTGGTAGTGTTGGCTCGTTTCCAGCTCCTGAGGTACTTGCAATTTCCATGCAATGGCTTAGGGGAGTAATAAAGGTGACCGTTTGCAGTGGCAAAGACGAGCTGGGGGATGTTGGTAATGGACAACCGGAAGGAAGAAGAAACGAAATTTATCGCGGCAGTTCCGTGTTTACACCTGTTTATTACGGCTAGCACCTCTTGACTCAGCACCACGACGACCTCGACGAATTCTGAGTCATTCTGGTCCCTGGAGCTAGGTACTTGACGATTTCAGAGAGCCAAGTGTCAATTTTTTTTGGCTATGCAACCTTTATAACACAGCTATTTTGGCGTTCATCCGGGTCCTATCCTCCGAGGGCCACTTCGGCTTGCCGCTTCGGAGAATTCCTACAGTACTAGTAAGGGTCTCGCGGTCTTGAAATCGACACTTTTGGTTTACGTCGACTTGAACCATAAGTAACTGTTTGGCTTCAGATTTCAGACTCCAGAGCCTGCCAGTCCTTCGCACTGGACTCATCTCTAAATCAAACTACAAGGTCTGGAACGCACCTTTTCTCTTGCTCGTGTTGGCTTCGCGGTCCAAATCAAATCCATCAAGAGATTCATCGCAAACAACCTTTCGTGTCTTTCGAACCCCCAGTTACTGTAACAACACCAGGGGAGCACAGGCCATATAACCCCCGAAGAATTCCTGGTGAGGTTTTCACGTTCTAAGGAAGCGACAGTGAGGTCCCTGTATCTTTGGACCCGTTGACACAGGCTATCTGCATATGTATCGATGACAGGATGTCGGGAAAATCAAAATTAGGATATATGTAGAGACATGAAGAGATCAGCACATATCAGTCCGTCACCTTTTCGGGGGAAAAATATGGCTCAGTAATCATTTATATCGGATTGTGAGAATGATCACCATGATATCTATTGACCAGCGTGATTATTTCTGACAAGGGCGATTACCCGGTGAAAATGATCAACACTGGCAATAGTGACGACAACGGCCACCAGAGTCAACATCGACGGGGAGGGTTTGGGATAATTTGGGGTCGTACGTTATCCAATTAATAATATGGCAGTCATATGAAGGTAACGGAATAGTTTTGTGATTATACCAAGATTATACCAAGATTATACCAAGATTATACATTGATATCTACATGCCAGTGCTACTAGACTCCAGATAATTCCCGAACATACGCAAGAACCACCGCTTCCGGACCAGAGTTTAATATCTCACCTTGCCAGGCCCACGCCGTGCCGATGTGCTAGCCTCTATTGTTCGATACGATTCCGAATCCTAGTCCCAAGTCCGGTGTTTGGCGGGTGACATTGTGATTGAGAGGGCCTTGGCTCAACCTTGGCTCTTTGCTGAGTGAGGAACATCATTCGGAGTGTCTCCAAACTACTGGAGAACGGCGACGAGGATGAGGACGGTTACGTGGAGGAGAAGGAGAAGAGTTGGGTGTGCTCCTGAATATTCGGATTGGCGGAAAGTCTTGGTCGGTCTGCTCGTCGCATCCTGACCCAATGTGAGTCTGATGAGGAGAGGGTGAGAATAAAGTGGGATGAGACGAAGCTGAGGATTCATGGCAGAATTCACTCACAGTGTTTGCACATTATATACGTTTGAGGGCAACAGGAACGAGGTTGGAGCATGACGACTGCCACTCCAATGATGTGGAGTATGTTCTCTCCAACACTCCTGAACTCCACAGGAGTTCAAACAGCACAATTGGAGACCACATTGCACCGGACATCGCAAGGTATGGCTGCCCAGCACTGCGGTATTACGGGTGGCGATGGACAGTTGAAAACGACGAAGAGATTAGACAGAGGGACTCTGTCGTTGATGGGTTCCAGACAGTTCGGACGTTTACGATGGAAATAATTTGCCGTGATGCGATAACTTTGTTGGGAATGCTTGTCAGATCATGATCAAATCATGATAGCGGTCAGCACTGAAAACGATATGACCTCGGCACCTCAGATATGATATCCCTCCTCCTCGTAGGCTGGACAAGACTTGTTAGAGGTACCAGAGATGATGTGAGGTGATAACCTTCTGATATGCTTGCCAGGAAAAAACTTATTACATACTGGTTGTTCGGACCAGCAGCTTACCAGTGGTGACATGATCTAATAGCGGACTGAAAAGGCTGCCCGCAAGAAGCTGATCAGTTCGCATATGTTCATCAGCTGCCGCAACCACTGATATGCTAATTTCGATTTTTCCGACAGAGGTGAACCATCGACAACTTTGTGTTGACCCACCCACTCCATCTTTCAGGAGTTATTTTTTTGAACGAAACTCAGGCGCGATATAAACCGTCTCTGTGCCCTTCACACACGATATCGGCTCATTTTTTTGAAGCGCTTTCGTAAAACTAATACACTCCTGTCAACCTTGGAACCCCTGTTATTGCGTCTCGAGAATCTGGAGCAACTCGCCATGAACGACATATACCTCTAGATCTGCAGTCTTTTTTTCCAGTTCCACCGCATCACACGAATCATTCCAAGAAGAGGTTTCAATCTTTTTATTCTTCTTCCTTTTGTTACATTTATGTAAACCAAAGCCGAGAGATGTAAGTATCCGAAAGTGCTATAATACAATGACGATTTGAATTCCTAAAGAGTCTCAGAAAGCAGGAGAAATAAAAACAAGATAAGTGAGATCTATGGCGACAAGAGATGCCAGAAGGCGCGTAGAACGATGTCTACCAAAGCGGTAAAGAGCATATGCTACAGTGACGAAAAAAGGACAGGACGCAGCGCGTCGGCGCTTGCGAGATTTGTTTGATAAAGCAGAATGAGGGTGAGTGTGGATGACCACGAATAAGGATATCTTGGTAGAGTCGGCCAAACGCCATGTGGGCCTCTGTTATCGGGGGATAGCGCAACGAGGGTGGGTGTGAAGTGTGCGGATGTGCCGCCAATAATCTTTGGTTGAGTTTGTGGGCGCGGTTGAATATCGGGGGCTCAGAGCCACGATAAGTGAATGGGTGTCGCGAGGTTTAGAAGCACCCAAATACACTACATCCTCGAGCGATAGCTTCATCGGATACCTAGATATTTTATGTGAGCGTGAAGCGCATCAACCGATTGAAACAGCAGACGTACGTCGACCCCCCTCACTTCTGCTTCTGCCACTGCCACTGCGACCGGAATCGGTGAAGATGACACAAGAACTGTCACTAGACGAGGGAGAAAAAAAATTATATGATAAGCGGGCGCTCGAGCTCAGATTATTTTCGAAAGACTTACTGCAAGCGACGAGCAAAGAGGTAATGAGTGTGAACTGCATTTTTGAAGGCGGTTGCTCGGATCGAGGCAGTGAGTGTGCGGAGGATGTGGTTTTGAAAGTGAGTCGACACTGGGTACGACAATTTCCTCCCTTTGGCGGCTCCATTTCTTAAATACAACACCAGGTATACGGACAAACCAACACCTATAAGCGGCAACTGAAAAGGTGAAGTGAGTGAAGGCGGACATAATTAATCAATGATCCTCCAGGGATCACCTGTGTCGTCCCATCACCGCATCAGCGAGTTCCCCTGCTGCTCGTCCAGGAGAAGGTGATGGAGGAAGGACAAGCACACTTCTGAAAATGGACCGTGACTTTGTGCCGGATTAGGGAATGTGCTTGTTGTTGTTGGTTGTGAAGAGCCTTCGCGTATGAACGTCTCACGACTCATCGGCTTGCCGTACTGGCCGCCACCGCGCCACCAGCGTTGGAATTTCCAAACTCCAGCTAGCTAACGTTCCCCCAGAATTGGAGGGACATCCGGCTTCAAATCTATTTTAATAGTTAAATTTTGAGGTTGGGATTCGAATGAAAGCCAGATTTTGGCAGACTATCCAGAAACCTACTACTTTAAGTAGCTTATAGGTATGTGGCACTACGTTCAGAAAACGTTGTTCCAGTCTACAGCTGTGGTCTGTGTTCACTTGGGACTTGGCGCCTCGGGATAGTCATTGCCACAGAGGGACCGATCGTTTGGAAAACTCCCGAGGCCGAGATAAGCAATGATGTAGTGATCGGAAGTATAACGGAAGTATATCTCCGATGGAAATTGTGGAAATGTGTTTATGTGGTAGATTCTAGAAACCTCCACCACCATGTGAAGACATTGTAAAGGTCCTCTAATTTCTAACGGTCGGAGACGGATAGACAACGAGCTATTGCATTTTAATCACCTTCTGTTAACAAATTCTCACATTGTGCTGCGCAAGCACTTGTCTGGCCCGAGAAATAATATGCGCCATTTGGGAATAATACCAATACCGGTGGGCGAGTCGGCAATGAAAGTCGGGCATCTGATAGAATATTTCAGTTGACTTTTGGTTACGGTTCTTGGCCATTCGCAGTGCCACAGGCACCTTCGTTCACACCTGGGCCTTAGGCGCCCTGGTTGAGGGTTCACGGACATATGTAGACATATGTACTTGAACGTTGCATGCAGAGTTGGAAGTTCAAAACTCAGACGGAGAAAGGGCGTGGATTGACTCATACAGTACGCATGGGATATCCTTCCCACAAGCGTTCGCCGAAAAGAAGAAAGGATATAGCTTCGTCATTCGCGTTGAGCAATTGACTCTTCAATTTGAAATGTCTTCTTGATACATAGACACTGCATGTCCTTGAACAAAGGGAACGACGTCTGAGGTATTTTGAATACCACCAGCCGGCTACATAGAAAATTTGCCCGGAGCCAAGACGGCGCACACATTCCCTGCTTCCTCGGCACATTATCAAACAAATTAGGGCTCGAAATTTTTTGTGCGCCGCTCTGGTATTAGGGAGGGATTACAATGCGTTGTCTATGTCCAGAAATAATTTTGCCGCAGAATAAGCTGTACGCGTATCAATTAAGCCGAGGGCCATGACAAACAGAACGACGGATTAGACGAACTCAATTTTAGAACGTAAGCCATGAGGCAGTTTCCCGCTGAATGATATGCTGTTGTTCCGCCGTTGCCCTGAGGTCGGGCTTGTTGCTTGCTTATCTTATAACCCCAAATTTACGAGCATAACGGCGGCGTCCCGGACATCTGCAAATTTTCCCTTTGTTCAGCTGCCAATATTCATTCCAGAACTTGGATACAAATTAAATGGCACTCACTTTTATGGGCTGTATTTCACAAGTATTAAAATCTGTCAGTGGTGTTATGTACGTTTTCAAACTCCAAGCCGAAGAGTCAAGTTCAAACGTTCAAGGGTACGAAGGCCGAAGTCCGGGGCGGCACTTTATCTGGATATATATATCCACTTGTCGTAGCGCCCACAAGTGGCGTGTTTCCAGGACCCTGGAAATTCATGTCAAATGCCTGATCCATATCCGGAGGAAATTTTGAAAAAAATCCGGATAGGCCTCAGGCCTATCCGGAGGAAAATCGAAGAAATTTAGGCAAATGCCTGAGTTGAATGTCCGGATAAAAATTGCCTAAGCTAAGGGGGGCCTGATCTAAGTCCGGATAAAAATTGGACAAAATGAATATATTTCGTACGTCTGCAGTGCCTGCACCCTGGATTAAAATAATGACGTTGAAATGGGAACAGATGATGAGGAAGATTAGATATGATTGTTACATCGAAATTCAAGCGCCAAGAGCCTTGCCTGCGCAGCCAAAAAAAAAATCAAACATATACTATGCCTGAGGTAATGTCCGGATAAAATTTGGCAAAATCCTATGTCTGATCCCATATCCGGAGGAATTTTGGGAAATTCTGTCCGGAGGAAAATTGCGAAATTTAATGATTTTTGGATCAGGCATTTGACATGAATTTCCAGGGTCCTGTGTTTCCAGGTAAGCCGACGATTGAACACCTTTGAACACACCCTTCGGATGACCAAGTGCGATTATGTTCGTGAAGGCCCTGATAAAAACTTGTCGCAGGTTGGAATATATCGAGGTTAATTTTGTAAGAGATACGAGCGGGTAAAACCTGCCGAAAGATGGGGCCTATCAAGTTCGGGGGTAACCTTTGTTCCCTCTCCAATAACGGTTCAGGAAGCAGGATTTGAATGGAGTAGGAGAGAAAGGGAAACTCACCTTTGGTTGGTCAGCGGTATGTGCATCCCACGGCCAAGGAAAACCTGTCCTCATTTTATGAAACCAACCGTCAAGAATCGGACTTTTCTTACATCTGTCACATTGTCCCTTCCCTGAAAAATCCCAGATATCCGTGATAAATTACAGCCTAAGGAAAACACACGGTCAAGGGTCCAATATCTAAGAGGATGAGGGAGGACGCTCGCTAGGTTGCATCACTCACTTCTAAATCTTTACTGAGGTCTAAATGTAGCCCTGGTAATAACCCAACCAGATGGTTCTTCAGCCCAGCTTCGAACACCACCATCCAGCTAATTTCCCAAAAGCAAGGACGAAGTGTCGATATCCAATAAGCGAAGCACCCGGGGGTCCGAAAGGTGTGAGTCCAAATCACCCCTCACAGACGCACGAAACGAAGAAGGCGACACCAGCACCCCCGCGGTGCCCGCCATCTTACGCCTCCTAGGCTTCCGAGGCAACCGATGCACAATATCTTGAGTGGTCGGCCTCTCTCTTGGATCACTAACCCAGCAATCTTCCATCAGCTCCCAAAGATCGCGGGTCATCCCCTTCTCTTGGAACGCCGGGTCGTTCGCGGGAGGACGCGATGGTCGCTCGCCGCTTGCTATCTTGAACATGACGGTCTGGTCTCGCCGGATTTCGAAAAATGGTACGTGTCCTGTGTATATCTACGCCAAAGTGTTGTACTCGTTATTGCCCACAGAGGTCACTGCGGAGAGACATTACGGTACCTCATAGCAGACACAAGCATATGCGTAAATGTCGCTGGCCATGCTATTGTGTATTTCATCATTTGGATCCAAAAGTTCTGGAGCCATCCAGCGAATCGTCCCACCGCCGTGTCCCGCAGAGGAAGTAGACAGATGTACGACGTCAGGGTCTCGTATAGTTGAAAGGCCAAAGTCAGCAACACAAGCGCTTAGTGATGCGTTTACCAGAATGTTGGCCTATTTTCTTCAGTGAAAAAAATAATATACTCAAGGAAGCGCTTACCCCTTTCAAGTCGCCATGTACGACGTTTTTGTCGTGCAGGTAGGCTATCCCAGCAGCGATGTCCGAAATCTGGAAGCGGTTTTAGATACTGACAACAAATGAACTTTCAGACGCACCAGATAAATTCGCGGAAAGTCGGGCTCCTTTTCCAAGAAATCATTCACATTTCCGTGTTCCATCCAGGGAGAGACGAGGCAGATTCTGCGATGGGTATCTTCAAGGTGGTATATTCCATAGAACGGCAGTAAATTGCTGTGTGACAGCTGTCCCCAGAGAACAGCCTCGCGGGAAAAAGCCTTGAGCTCATTTCAAAAAAAAATCTTAAATCGGATACTTAGGATATCACCTTGAGTAGTTGGTGCATCTGTGAATCCCTGTATGCCCTTACAATCTTAAGGGAGACGCGCTGGTCTTGGAATCTCCCTTTCCAAACCTCTCCAAACCGGCCTGATGATGCTGCATACTCACCTTCCATTTCCACTCCGCGAAGCGTGAAACTTTCGGGTATGAGTGCAGATCTTTCTGAAAGCCTCTGAATTGCGACGACGAGTTCGCGTTGAACTTTTCGTTCTATTTTAGGGTAGTCCAGCAACTGTGCGGAGGATGAGATATAGGGTACCTGGCAAACTGAGGTACGATACTGACTGCCTGTAGGAGATTGAGGATGGCTTGCGCTTCTTGATCGCGATAACCAATAAAGACCTTGTACCGAGAACGGTTTTCAAAAATATTCATCAACATGGAGCAGACTCGGGCGGCATGCGGATTATCTGCAACAATGTCCTCCGAAGCGCCGGAATGTGTAAATAATGTTCTTGGCCTAAAAAGCTGGGCGCGGTGATAGTCCGTGTCGTTGCCACTGGCCTCTGATTCACTCGCTGGGCCGTTTACCAAGACAAAGTGGGCTGGTGGGGTATCGGAATAATCCTTCTCTGTGACGTCATTGCCCTACTTCCCAGTTACAAAAAAAAAGGTAAAGTAAGATATGAATTGTCACTCACCTCATCAGTCGAGGAATGCGTGGATATCAGTCCACGTTGTGATATCTCTTGGCAAATATCGTAGCACATCTTCTCAAATTGGTACAGAGGCAGGCTCGCCATCTTCTGGCGCCCAATATTCCGCAAGTCGCTCAGATCCGAGCTCGTTGGTAGACTTGAAGCGCCTGTCAAAGCTCAATCAATCATCACGCAGATGGATAAGAGAGAGAATCGGAACTTGTCTGCATTTTCCGGCGAAGCATTTCTTCATTTACATCGGATGCCAGGTAGAAAACTTGGTCATCAGTCAGGCGAGCCAGCGATTTCTGTGACTGGCTGCGGTCACCGAGTGATGCCGCTGCAGAAGGAGCACATAGATTGATATTGAAAGTCGCATTGATGCAGACTAGACGTACATGGAGGTAAGTTGGAGGTCAAATAGTCCCATACTCTCTGTAGACTCTGAGATGGAGACTGGATTGCAGGGGAGGACACTGCGCGCAGTAAGTCGGCGAAGATAGCAAGTTGAGAATCAAGCGCTGGTCGCTCACTTCAAAACACCTATCTCTCGCGAGTACTAGTGTTTTGGCGCCTTCGCATTGACAAACAAACTGGGGAGAATCGGCTAGAAAGAAGAATCAGAGAAGCTGCACAGTAGTTAGTAGTCGTTAGATACACAATAGACGAGTTGATAATCATGTGCGGAAAAGGGAGTTACTCAGAAGCCCTTGGTAAACAGAGCCACACAGGCCAAAAGATTTTGCAACCGGGCCATTCATTGCCGGGTCACAAAATGTAAATCCACTGCCAAGCTCTCTACTTAAGCTTGACCACCACTACACACCATGTCCTCACCGCCAAAGCCTTGGGAGACAAACGGCGCCGGACCATCTTCAAAATTGAGCTCGCTACCGCAACTCCCAACGTCGAGCTCACCGTCGTCGTCATCACAATTGCAAATCCCCGAACGGCCTGCACCCTTCGGTTCATTACCAACAACATCATTGGGCGTTGCGGGACAGTACCCTTCATATGGGGCTCCTCCTTACTCAGGAGTCGGGACCGCAGGATATGGCGGTCTTGGATCGTACGGCGGTTTTGGAGCTTCTTATGGGGGCGGTTTGGGATCATACGGCGGAATGGGCTCTTACGGTGGGATGGGCTCCTATGGTGGTGCGGGCTCATATGGGGGGATTGGTTCGTATGGAATGGGTTCATACGGTGGGATGAACTCATACACTGGCATGGGTCCGTACAGTGGCTACGGGCAGGGCATGGGCATGGGGCGTCTTAACCCAGACGGCACGCCCTCTCTCACACAAACCGTCGAAGCCACCACACAAAGCACATTCACTCTCATACAATCTATCGTGCAAACCTTCACTGGCGTTGCGCAGATGCTCGAATCCACATTTATGGCGACGCACTCATCATTCTTTGCAATGATAGGTGTGATAGACCAGTTTGCAAAGCTGCGCGACGCGCTTGGCGGGGTCCTAAGCCTTTATGGGGCCGTAAGGTGGTTAAAGGCTACGCTTACCGGTCGACCGACTGGAACGGGGGGTTTCAACCACCATGAATTCCGCGAATTTATCAACGGGAAACAGGTGCAAAAACCTACGCAGAAAGCGAGCAAAAAGCCGCTAATTTTGTTCCTACTCGTCGTCGTGGGTATACCATACGCTGTTACGAAATTAATGAAGGTGCTACAGGAGCGCGCGGTGGCGAATGGCGGTGCGCTTCCAGGACAGCTGCCGCCACTCGATCCTGCATCTCTTACATTCGTGAGGGCGAAATACGCCTTCAAGCCATCAAATCCGAACGAGCTAGAGTTGAAGGAGGACGAGATAGTTGCGGTCATGGGGAAGATGGACCAACGGACTGGGGCGGAGGTCGATCCGCGGCTTGAAGTTGAGGGTGAGTGGTGGAAAGGCAGGACGAGGGAGGGAAGGGAGGGATGGTTCCCAAAAAAGTGGGTTGAGGTTTTGGAGAGGAGGATTAAGGCGGTCGACTAGGATTTAGATGTTTCGTTTTCGCGGTAACGTTGGGCTTTTTTCTTGGCTCGGATACCTACACACATCTATTTATCATCTTGCTCTCAATAGGACTTCTATTCCTTTGTGGTCTTTTCTTATCATGGCTGCTGAGGAAAAGAGGACGCTGATGCTGAGCCAACGCACACAGGCAGCCCTTCTCTACTGCATTTTCACTTCGACAGATTCACCTCGCCGTCCGCAGCAAAGTCCAAATTTACGACACGCCTGCGTGCACTTGCACAGGTTTGAGCTGGCTTAACTGCTCAAAAAAAACTTATGTCTGGGATTGAAGAACTGCTGTTGTGGTTCGCATGAACTGTCCTGGTCGTCCTTGCTCTGAGGCTAACAGAACCGGTGATCATAAAAGTGTCAATAATTGGTCCCTATTGCCGTCTCAACTCAATCTATGTATATCAATAGCTAACTCAAACTTAGGGTCAATTCCTGACGAGGGAGTCCTGTCGAAACTATCAGTCAGTCTGACGACTATGAATCTCGAAGGGAATAAACTTACCAAGGCGAGGGACTACAGATTCAATCACCACCACCCTTGCCAGATGGTTTGGGAGCTCGGCGGGCTACAATAGGTGAGTAGACAATCAGCCTTCAGTCCCAACCACTGTGATCCAAACATGCCTTGAGTAGGCGACGGATACCTCGGTGCGAGAGGAGGGAATCCAGCAGCCATGCGGGCAGCGTTGGTCTTCAGATCACGACCAATGTTAGCATTGGGTCCCGGCAGGTCGCGCTTGGAGGGAGCATTCATCATAGCGTCGCGGCGCATGACACGGATGGGTTCCGCGAACGTCAATTGAGCCATGAGGAGAAAGAAAACGATGAAGACGCTTCCTAGGTAAGTCATGCGGTTGTTAGCCATGAGTGAGCGTCAGGCGGAAGAAACAACAGAGGGGCGCGGGGAAAGAAAAGAGGCAGGGAGAAACCTACGGGACCTTGTATTTCATCAGCCCATTATATATCAGCACAAATTAAATTTTCTATGTCAAAGGTATGTCAAAGGTATGTCAAAGGTTTGTATACCCTTGTATACCTCGATCACTGTACGTATAAGCTATTTATAAACATCATTGTTCGGGACTCCGCCAGATACCGCTCCAAGAACAAGAGGATTGGATGCTTCGGATCGTTTGGGTGAAGTTGGTGAGCACTGTTCAGGGGATCTACATTGTAGAGGGAAATACGTGAAGGAAGCTTTCGTGTACAGAGAAATGTTTTGCCTCCTCCCAACCTCCTCCAGTTAACGTGTAAGCTGCATGTTGCCAAGTCAGAGGTTTTCGGCGCCTATGATGACATGATGGCTCATCAAGGGCGCCTCAACTCGCTCCCACCAACAAACGTGTTACTGTCTGTGTACTTATTCTGACGCGTATAAAAATGTATACGTATTTGAATTGAAAGGACACCGGGGACACTTGATTATTATCTCCAAGTACCTAGGACTCGCATAATACTTGTTGTTGGGAGCTGCAAGTGAATTGATTGGCAGGGAAGGGCCCGAAGTTAGACTATTTAAGTAGCCCCGATTGATGATAATTATACTTAACTGGGGTATATCCTCGCACCCAGAATCCCACACTCTGACATGAATGGGAATCCCGCCAAGCCTAGGCCCGCAAGGCCAGGGTCAGCGCAACCTGCCGATGCGAATGGAACGTTCGGTAGGTGGTGTAATACCTGAACCTGAGAGTACTGATATTGCCGTTGACCATGAGGGACGGCCTGGGACGGCGTAATACTTATCGTGGGCATACCATTGGCTACGCGGTTATGAAACTAATGACAGAGGATGCCAAGGAGATACAGGAGCGCGCGGTGGCGAATGGTGGTGCGATTCCGGGACAGCTGCCACCGCTCGATCCTCTGTCCCCCAGATTTGTGAGGGCGAGATACGCCTTTACGCCATCAAATCCGAACGAGCTGGAACGAGATAGTTGCGGTCATGGGTAAGTTGGACCAACGGACTGGGGCGGAGGTCGATCCGCGGCTTGAAGTTAAGGGTGAGTGGTGGAGAAGCAGGACGAGGGTAGGAAGGGAGAGATGGTTTTTTAAAAAAGTGGGTTGCTGAGGTTCTGGAGGGGGGAAAGCCTGCGGAATTAAAGACGGTGGGCTAAGTAGGAGGATTTGGATGCCTCAATTTTGCGGTACGTTGGGCTTTTTTTGGCTTTCAATTACATACACACATCTATTTATCACTCTACTCTCAATAGGACTTTTTCTGGCCTATTCTTATTATGATTATTGAGGAAAAGAGAACGCTGATCATACCAAAAATTGAATAGTCAAGGCAAACGGGCAGTTTCACTGCATTTTTCACGTCGACAGTTCTAACTCGCCGTCGAAAGATCTATGCTAACGCGCTCGCGGAAACTGGCACAGATTTTGAGCTGCCTTGCCTAGGTCAGTTATACAAGCTTCCATGCGTATTTCTAATCGCCCAAAAAGAACTTATGTATGCAATTGAAGAACCGATGTTGTGCCACATGAAGCGCCCGTCCTGGTCCTGCTTGCTCAAAAGCTAGCAGAACCGGTGAAATTGTAGATAATTGATTCGTAAAGTTGTCGTCTCTCTGCAATCTGCTACGAGTTTGTTGCCATTGAACTATCAGATACGGAGATGACTGGGGCTGTCACAAATAACGGTGCAGTGTCGTAACTGAAAAGCGACCAAGTCAAGCGTCGAGCGACAAGAGAGACGAGTTAAATTCAAAATAGAGGGAAATAGGCGCTTTTTTAACGATCCTAACAGGTTGTCTGCATCCTAATGTGCGTTTTGGCAGAGGTACAATAACCTCTCAAGGCTCCGTCGGCAATCATTGGCGGCCATACGTTGGGGAAAGGAGAGCGATAACGTCGGGAAGACCGCATGAAGATGATGGGCGATGGGTATCGGGTCCCGACCTGCAATGATGCCGCCAACGTGCAGGTAATTGAGGTTGTGCGATGCACGAATACATGGTGTATAAAGCGAGAGATTGGATAGGTCTATGGGCATTTCTAGTCTTTGTAATTGAGGTAGGCCCTTTGCAATATGTTTTAGGGCTTCCACGGTAGCGAATCGCCCGTTATTGTTAGCAGTGCGCACGTATCCAACCAAGCGCAGTATTTGAAGATCAGGCCAAACTGAGATCATATGCAGGATATCGCTGTCGGACCAAAGTGATGCTAGGTCGTTGTCCACTACGAGTTTTCGAAGCCGACACTTGTCAAGAAGTGGCTTCAAGTACGAGATACCCGTGACTTGTGTGCTATGTTCTTTTCGAACTAGGTGTGAGAACGAGATTTCGCACAACTTATTGCCCCACTGTCCGACACTGCTCACTATCTCCCGCCATACTTCCAATGACCCTCGGTGGCTCTCTGTCTGAAGGGAAAGGACCAGGATTCGGAGAGAGTCGAAGAAGCAGGCCTTGAAAAATGAAAGGACCACATTCGAGGGTACTTCGAGAGTCAGAGATTGTAAATCCCCGAATGTTTGCATATCCGCTGGAAGGGGAAACGCGGAAGCTTTCCAGAGTGAGAGTGAGAGCTCCTGTAGTGAATCCATCGATGCGATAGGTTCTAATTGAAAGATACAGGGTTCATGTTGACGAATGCTGAGGCGACGCAGAGACGAGGCATATTTCAAAATTTGGTACGATTGCTCCGATAGAGAACCACAATACGTGAAGTTCTGGATGGCAGGGCACCCATCGAAAATGCTCTGGAGTAACGCTGCTTCTGGGATGCTGTTACCTCCAAGAATTTCTACTTTGAGTAAAGTCGGAGAAAGAAAGATGGGTAGGATTTGAAGGCATGATGTGACTGATAGGGATGAAAGTTGGTGAAGGAGGGGACGTCCGCAAAGATACTGCGCTATGCGTAGGTAAACGAAATCATGGACATTGTCCAAAGACTTGTCTGTGATCCCTGATAGCCTTCGAATCCGACATGCATAGCTTCCAAATCTTAGCCAGTGATCATGCTTGATAACGTTTAGGAAGGTCTAGATAGACCAGGTTATTGGGGTTGCTTGGATTAATAAAAGAGAGAACTGACGTATTTCCTGTTCTCGGAACCGGGGGGTAAACCAAAACTTGGTATGACCTTGAAAAGCGGCAAAATGGAGGTCATATCTCTCCATAAGAAGTCCAAGGCTTGAGATGAAACAATTTTGGTGCAAGAGGCAACGGCAAAAAGTGTAGTCCTTCTTTGCCGCTCCAAGGCGAAACTTTTTTCGGGTACGGCAAAGTGATCAAGAATGAGTCGGGATATCTCTGGGATACTGAATATATTGCGGGGCGCCATCTGTGATGATTGTGTGGGCCAAGTTGCGATAAGCTTGTTTGTGATGATATGTCACTGCCAAACAACTAATTATGTAAGTAAATTTGCTATTCCTATGCACTCTACGACCAATCTACGACGATGTCGGAGTTCTCTAAGCTAAAGGCAGCACGAAAATTGCGAGAAACAAAGTCGTACGTTGGGTCAAAGTCACCTGGATCTGTAGCGTCGAGTTCATCGGACGTCGTTCCAACCACAGATTCCCCTACAAAAATCTTTGACGCAGAAACATCGCAGGCGGTGACAACAGTTGTCGAAATGGGCGAACTTTATAGGTCTTTGAACTCAGCACTAGAAGTAAGAGTAACGAACGACGAGAAGGGAAGGTACCGAGGGGTGTTCAACAAGTTTCTCCGGAAGCCTGGCGAGTTTTTTTGGGGGTTTCCGTGAATTTCTATTTACCCACATTACAACGCTAGGCGACGTTCTTCTTTCTGTAAAACCCAACGTCGCAGCCCTTTCAATTCAACACTTGGAAGATTACTGCTCGAACTGCTTTGGTCCTGGTTCTGAGCCGTTAAAGAGATGTACCATCTGCAAAGTTGTGCACTATTGCGATTCAGTAGGTCTCAAATACGGAGCTGTTCTCTACTCTATCACTAACTTGAGCTCCCAGAAGTGTCAATCGGCAGATTGGATCTTTCACAAACAGGAATGTGTCGCTTTGCAGAGATGGGTTTCCAATCGGTCCGCCGCGGCCGAACCCTCTTCGTCTCTCTCGGATTCATCGCCTCCGCTGCCTCGCGTTCCCAACGATGCTATCCGATGTCTGGCTCGGATTCTCTGGAGAAGACAAAAGATGGGTGACGCTAGTATCTGGGTATGCCGGTTTTGCGCTGGTTAGCTCAATTGTTTGAATGCTTACCACCTTTGTGACTTTAGGCTAGGGAAATTGACGCTATGCAATCTCGTGGGTCCCCCTCCTTGCACCTCATCAGGACCTTTGATAATTACTCCCCACGATAAGACCGGACATCGTTGTCAAAAGACCCAAATGCTCGAGACTCACAGCTCCATACGTTTCTGGCCCATTCCCTGGTTCGCTATCTGGGCCTCTCATCTCTAGAAGAGCTCGCAGCTTTCGGTATGCAGAATACGTCTGATCTAGTGGACCTAATCTCTCGGGTATGTTTTTCTTTTCTGTCTGCCTCACGAGTACGTTCTTACTTGACCTCTCAGTTCACCACTAATACTTTTACGATCACATCTCCGACCCTAGCCCCGCTTGGAGCCTGTGTATCCCCCTCTGTGGCACTGATAAACCATTCTTGCGATCCCAACGCAGCGGTCGTGTTTCCCCGCTCGGCGAAGGAGGGTGAGCCCCTTATGCAAGTTGTTGCACTCAAGTACATCGGTCCAGATGAGGAGGTGTGTTTTGCTTCTTTCCAGGCTCAGCGATAACCCTGTTAATAAAGTGTTTCAGATTCTTACTGCCTATATTGACACCACACTGCCCACGGGATTGAGACAGCAAGCTCTGAAGGAGACGTACCACTTCGTCTGCGAATGTCCCTTGTGCTCACCCCCGCCAACGAGCTCTGTTGACTGGAGAGAAGCGATGTGGTGCCCAAAGAAATGTGGCGGGGTATGTAGGGTGCCCACGGAGGGTTGGTGGCTTGTTACAATCTTTTAACGTGAGCTGACAGTCGTCGCCGCAGGAAACAGCCTGACACGATGCGAAAAATGTAAAGCGCCGGTCAAAGATACCGACGCTGTTTTGGACGCGCTACGGGTTGGTCAAGAAGGGTTAGACAAAGCTGAGAAAGTGCAGTTTTCAGGTTTGCTCTTCTGCTCGATCTGGTAGCTCCCTATCTTGATGAGTTTTACAGACCCAGCGAAAGCTTTGCAACTCACAACGAACCTCATACCCATTCTGATCTCCGCTGGCCTTGTCCCAGCTTCTCACCCCCTCCTCGGCCTTTCGAGGCTACACACCTCTTTCCTCATCGCCAACCTGGGCTCTTCGCCCCTGTCCGCTGCCGGCTCAGATGAAGAGATACAATCCCCGCAAGTTCAAGCTGAGGCCACACCAGCTCGAGCGCAAGAGGAGCTAGACGAAGCTATCAGAGCCGCTACGCGTTCCAGCACAGGGCTCTGTCAGATCCTGGTACACGGGCACCCTGTGAGGGGCGTTGCACTTGCTGAGCTTGGCAAGCTTCTCAGCGTCGACGAACCCGCGCCTAAGCACGTTGTTCAAGCTGGTCAAGACACACCATCCTCGTCTGGGATGCCTCAAGCGGCGGTGTACCCTCCTTCAGGGCCAGCTCGGCTGAAGTTGGCATATGACACGTTGGTGAGGACGAGAGGGGAGGTGATGGTTGGGTTTGGAGCTGTGAGTGGAGGAGGAGAGTTGGGGACTCTGGTTAGGACCGCCATTGTGGACCTGGAAAAGGAGTTGGGGGCTTGGAGCACGGGTCTGAGGAACGTGAGGGAGGTTGAGATGAAGGGGGGTAGGTGAGGGGCTGTATGCAGTTCGTGCATGCGCGTCTGACAGGTCTAACGTATTAGGGACCAATGTCATCTTCCTTCCGAACTTTTAGCTTGATGAGGTACATCTGGAATCTGCAGTGAATCGCAGTTTGACTCGCCACCGCGATGACTCTGTGCCTTGGTATTCATTCAGAACAACTTCGTCCTCATCCATCCCTCTTCTCGTGGTTCTTTCCATACCATATTTCACATCTACGCCAGCCTATTCAGTGGCCCAACAGACATTGGCGGATGAACAACTTGTTGCCCAAGCTTGGGAAGCCGTCTTTTTTGGCATATCGTCTCGAGGACTTGCCGAATCCCATTGCAAATGCTAGGGCAAAGATATGTTTCTAGTACATTCCCAGGACATCTAAGAGATTCTAATGATTCTTAACTTTAGCCGGCCAATGTCGTCCCGCCGGCGGTGACTGGAGGCCAAAATTCATGGAGTCACGATCATCTGCCCAAAGTCGAGCCCACTCTAAGCACAGTCGGTAGACGTAGACTGGATCGTCGTCGGTAAAGTCAGCCTCACTACTGCAAGTCGAAACGAGTGACTTACCCTCCATATCTAACGTCCGACCAATGGTTTTCTTCCAACGCTTTCCGGCAGTGGCGATCCGACGCAAGTACTCGTCGCCCCTCAGTGGGGGTGCCCGCTTCTCGTTTGAAGAGGGGATAGTCATGTCTGTAAAGTTCACTGCTTTGGAAACAGCCAATGTTGGCCCAGAGAAATACATGTAGATGTTGTAGACTTCTTGGTATGTTGGTGACAAAGGAATGAAGTGATACCTGCCGTGCTCATAAGCTTCTCATATTGTAGGTAGAAGGCCTGTGCGTACCAAGGCTGAATCCAATCGGAGAAGAACTCGTCATATACAGTGGCTTTGAGAGGCACACTGTCACTAGCAAGGAAGGCAAGAAATCTACCGCTGTAGCTCATCCCGTCCATATCGACCAGGTACTTGTATGTCCAATGTTTTCCCAATGGGACAGAAGTCGCGAAGCGGTGTGCAGCCATAAGTGCTGTGCGGCCGCCAGGATACTCTCCTGTTAATTTAACGAAAGCAGCGTCCATGATCTCCTCGTTCAGTTGGCCAATTGGAACGGAAACAGGAACGAAACCCGTAGAATTAGGTTTTGCAACGAGGACTGTGCGTTTAGTTTCCGATTTATCTGAGGCCATTCGTAGAAATCTGAAAGAGTCAGGATATGGGCACCCTTACACAGCTGCGAGGAACGCACCTGTGCCTTTGAAAATTAGGCGTGAAGCCGGGTGGGTGATTTCCGCCTCCCGTGGTCGCACCTCTCCAGAAAATCTTGTCGATTTTGTCTTCCCATAGAACTTCCATAGCGTCCACCTCCACCAGCTTCTTCTTGTCAGTGTCCCAACCATAGGTATACTCTTTCGTGCTTCCGTAATAATAATGACTGGGAATTCTGATATCTAGAAATCCTCTGGTCTTGGCTGGACTGAATATCGGGTACAGCGCCGGTATTGTTCGCCAGTCGGAGAAGAAGTGGCCTTGAAGGACATGTGAGTGGGGTTCATCGCAGTAATTGACAAGAGAAGACGTGGTTGGTGAGAAGCCAAAATCATAACCGCCACTTGGAGCAACGGACTCGGAGGTCAAGTAGGCTTTTCCTTGATAAACGACTTGATGAGTCCGTCGAGAGGAATAAAGGCGGCGAGCGGGACTGTCTGGAGGACAGGTTCGACGCCACGAGTCCCAAACGTTGCCGTCTGTACCCCAATCTGGCTTGAACTTCCCGCCCAGCATTGAGTCAATACCACCTGTCAAGGGGTGTTAACGGGGTGGAAGGATTAATTAGCGTGACGTACCTGTAGAATTTTGCAGCGTGAGATTAGGGTAACGTTGATGCTCCCAAGGCACGATAACTCTGCCTTCTGCCTTAGCATTAATCGGAAACTCCATGTCTGGAAGCTAGAGAGTGATTTAGAAACGAAGGGGGACTGACAATCTGAAGAGACGCACCTTTTTCACAAATTTCGCAAGCATAGAACGGAATCCACGAGCTCGAGCACTGATTTCCGAGTCATTGAACCTTCCATGGCCATTTTCGATCGTGATCTTTCTGTCCTTTATGCGAAGCAAATCAATCGATGACAGTTGGCCAACCTTGAAGATGAGAGTGAACAACAGTTGTCGTTGAAATATATTGAACTAACCTGGGCAGCACGGCGGCGTACTTCTTCACCAGAAAGTTCGAAAAATGGAGCCAAATCCGCCATCAACCCGTCGTACTCATCTACCATCTTCACGTTGTGCTTTTGCGCGAAATCCCACCACTCGTCGAAGCCCTTGGGCGGTGCCCGTCTATATCGTCTTCTGTACTCTTCCACTGCATCCTCTAGGCTCTTACTCTGCCGTTGCAGCTTTTCCTCGTATTTCGATTCAGCCTCCTCTATCAGCTTTGGTATGGGGTGCTCTTCAGGCTTAATAACGACAAAAGGTTCTTGATGCGTGTTTTTCCATATACCAGCCCTTTTCGACGGCCAGGACGTTTCTTGAGAGGGAAGGAAAAAGTTCATTGAATCGGATTTGAGAAATCGAAAGGTGCCTGCACCATAGACTCGGATGATGATGAAGATGGAACCCAGAGCGAGATATAAGCAATAGGTTCGAACGGACCTGGATATTTTCCGCATCTTGAACGCCCTCACCATGGGCATTTGCAGTACGGAAGGAGTTTTGGGATCGTTGCGGACCGCTCGTCAAAGGCCATGGATCGGAGCGCTTCATAATGAATGATTCTGGTGTCAGGTACGAGAAACCCCGAAAATACAGAGACATGACAGCTGGGGTCGAAGTTAGCCCTACACCAAAGGCGCAGCTTTTTTGACGTGCCGGTGGACCTTGGGGGGCTCTTCTTTTGATAGGGAGTAATGGGCCTTCATGAGCCCGCCGGCAAATTACCATAATTACCCTGCGATTGATGGAGATTGCACCTGGTCGAGACAGCGACTCACTTTGCAGTCGCTGGTCAGTTGCAGTTGCCCTCTAGTCAGCTATTGCTGCGGTTCTAAAATAGATCAGCTTGATATAAGAGTAAAAACGAATGGGTAAGTAAAAATAGAAATTACTGTGAACAACACCCTGATCCGTGTATTTCCCGCCCGTGGATGGGATAAGCCATGGTATCTCAGATAATCCACGGGCAACAGTGACGTTTGACAGCGGTAGATACTTCAAAAGTGAAAGGTATCAGTTCATTATGAATTAGAGCGAACAGCAGTTCCACACCTGTGGCCATCCGCAATGCACTAGAAGAGGACTAAGGTATTGGCTGATGCAGTATCATTTTGAACAGCAGGGTTTCCCACTCATATTGAGATTGAGCTGATATATTTTACACGCCCTTGCTTGAGAGCGCCTCTTCCAGCGTCTTCTACAAAAGATGTTCCAAGACGGTTGAAGGTTGTCAGTACTTATTCGAAAACCATCCTTCACGTCGACCTCTCCAAAACGGCGTTCGCATGGGCAGCGAACTCGTTTGGAAGCCAGAACGCCCTTAGATTCACCGGCTGCTTCGCTTGCTATCTCCATGCATTGATAGTTAGGGAGACGCCGTGGGATACGATGGGGAAGCTTAGCCTTGAGCGCAGGGTCTGATTGGAGCTCGCCGCAGGCCATAAGCGAGAAGCTGCGTGTAGTGAGGTGCAGTCAGGCTGAGCTAGATGTGATGACAACGGGCAAAACTCAAATAAGATGCAGGCAAAGGGAGCAAAGCCGAGACTCTATAAATTCGGGAGTGGCGCCGTCGGCCATAGAGGAACGTCCGAGCGCGGGTGAAAAAGGCGAATATTTGGATGTGGAACTTGGTGGTCTGTTTTGGTTTGTAACTTGGCCGGATGATACACTGGAGAATCATTGGGCCATTGATAAAATGACGAGAAATTGTATTATCAGAGTAAGTTTGTGTTATGATGCGGTATCAAAGAACAGTGGGGCCGAAATTCGAAGATGGATCGAGCAGTTACTAGAGAACGTTCTTGATCCTCCTGGTCTAACGAAAAAAAGGCGATTTGGGTGACAAGAGCTTTCGTTGTGAGGGTTTCGATGTAGTAACATCGGATGGTAAGCCGAAGAATCCGCGCAGCAGACGACAATTGCGCCCTCTGCTCTCCAGCAACAGTCGACCTGGTTACACATCAACACTCGAAGCAAGGGGAGCGTAAGTGAAGGAACATACGCCCATATCCAACTGTAAGTAGTCGCTGCATTTTGTCATGCGGGGATATTGGGCCCTGAAGAGGAACGTTACGGTGTACCGGTCAGCTGCGCAAGTCGATAAATCTGTGCCGCTGTGAGTCCGCCTGAGTGCCAGGATGGGTGTGGGGTGGGACAGACCGCGACGGGCTTCGGGCTCAGAAAGGCCCGGATGAAAGAAGAACCGTAGGTATTGTCGTAACGCTGCACTGAAAATTCTGCTAATCCAAAGTGGATCAAGATGTGGGACCTAGAAACAAGATAAGAAGATTAACTTTTCGCATTGTAGAACTACGGTCTGTTCTCATGGCGAAAAACTTCAAGGTTCTAGCAAGATTTAAACCGAAGAAATCGCCGTCTATGTTGAGCGAGGAAAGCAAGAGCACATCGGTCGGCTTCAATGAGTGAGTAGCTGGTAGGAGAGGCGGTTGTATTGTTGGTGGCAAGTTGGTGGTTAAGAGAAAAGATGGAAGTCCACCTTGTGACTGTTGCGCCTTTCAATCTAGGTCTCATACCACCACCATCAGAAAATTTCTTGAACACGACGATAGAGCAACATCTACGCACCATACTCATGACTAAAGTGTTCAAGGGAAGAAGGGGGGTAGCGTTCGGTTTCAACCCATACATATGCGTAGAACGGTGACTAATTGCCTCAAAAACTGTCCAGGACGTTCTCGGAATCTCTTGACTGAAATACTCGCTGGTGCTGGGGGCCATTCGTCGCCTGAAGCAATTCTGAGGTGCGCTTACTTATCATGGTCCTCAAGACTGTTGATGTTTACCTCGCACATCCGTAGAACTCATGCCACCCTACCTTACGTACCCACAACGACGCGGCTCGTGAACAACGGGGACGACGGGATTCGAGAAGATACCAACGTGGAATAAAAGATTTGTCTTGGTCAGACCCGAAAGATGAGCGCAAGGAGAGAGAACCCCGGAAGACTTCTCAATGGCGCAATCGTCAGCGATGAGGGCGGTTAATGTTTCTAGGATCATGGTACGTTTGCATGTCTAGTTTAAGTGTTGTTAAATGGGAGCGACTGACCTTTTTATCAGACTTCATACATAGAAATCGAGCCAGCTAGACAATCCAGCAACGTGGGTGCACATGGAAGGCGATGGGCAAGGTCGCGATGCTGAGTTGACAATCACCACATAGGTGAGTTTGGTGAGGTTGAGATTTGACGCCGGGTAGACTGACATGTTTCCTGCACAGGATCTCAACGCATTACAACCCAAGGAAATGTCTTTTCTCTTCCTCAACGATCTCAACACTGCTTGGAAGATGTTCGCCAGTCGACCCAAAAGGCTCCAGCCGACTTGACCTTCCTCTATCCCACCATACGACCATCGCCTCATCGCTCGTGCGGGTATAATCCACGGAAGCTGCTTTCGTCGTCTATGCCATCCCATCTTGTTTCTGGAATTAATCAAGCATCCTGTCCAAAGAAAGCAACGGCAACTTCTCAAAGTCGTTACGTGACAACCCTCGATAATCTCTGTCTTTCTTCAGACCCACTTTCACCGCTATCCATCACATCCTCTTTTTATGGTGCCGTCACCACCTGGACCTAGATCATCGACGAACCCCCCATTTTCCTCCCACCTTTCTCCCACTTTGCACGCTCCGACCACGACATATACACAACTCTGTTGCCACCTTAAGCAGTTTAGGCTCGACGTTGGAACACCATTTCCACGGCTTTTCTCATCGCGGACTCTGACTCGTCTAAAGTTCAGGACGTGCGAAATTCACGTTCCAAAGGTTTCCTTTCCTTACGGGCACTGGCCTCCGAAACCTGCTATGCGCCAAGGGATGCAACGATGGCCGTGGGTTTGTCACTCAAGGGAGGCGTGGCGGTACACGATGACCCATGTCAGCGAACGTTCAGATGTTGTCGAGAGGAGGGTCAACATGGTCATGACGGGAGATTCGTCGGGGTCATGCATGGGAGGTAAAAGTCTTTCCGAATCTAGGAAAGATAATACATCTTCTGATCAGACTTTCTCAGATAACGAAGCCAGCTACGGACGATTTGCCATTAGAACCCGTCGCCCTTGTCACAATCTGACGAAGTCGGGGTCAGTCGCAACCCGGACGTATACATGAGTCGCATCGTCCACCACTTCCCTCACCACATCCTCCTTGTTGCTTCCTCCCAACTCTCGTTGCCGTTGTGTCAGCCATAAATGCTTCCCTCACGTCTTCACCTTGTGTCTCCACGCGCAGGACATACTAATTCGGGAACAGGAACCTTAGTACCGTCCTCTCGTCATCGCGAGCAAGGGGTCAAATTGGCAGATAGCTTCGAACGAGACACACGGGCTGTTCGTGAGCTTACGCGGGGGTTCTTCATCGTCCCGGGGATTGTCTGGCTTGCTGCAGAATGCTGCGGCTACAAGGGCAGAGATGGAGGAAAAGGAGGGCTTGAAATTCACGAGAGGTTTGTTCATCTACATTTCTTTGTCACCCAATGCTTTGAGTATTGACGTGTTACCAGATAGATCGGACCTTGGGGGAGAGGCCGTTGTGCACCCGATCTTCGAGATGCTACGCAAGAGTTGTTGTCCATGGGGGGGAATCATTCGGGAAATCCGCACATGCTTCCGTTGACCCTACCCCTATGAAATTCTTCAAATCCTTGTTTCAAACCATCCCCCGAGCGGAGACTTTAACCTTCGCCTTGGCGTAGGTCATTGATGTCCTGCAGACTAGGGTCGGCTACCAGAAGAGTTTGGTTGAAGGTGTAAGCTAGTGATGATATGGAACGCAGCAGTAGTAAAAGCTTACTCGGAATATGGTCTTCGACGTGACTAGACTTTGTAGTTCCATTCGTCGAGTGTACAACTGGATAGCTGAGAATCAGCGACAGATTTTCCAAGAAAATGACAAGGGCATGGTGCTTGCAATGGCATGTCTCGTTTAGGAAGTCAGTTCACGGTTGCCCTTCGACCACAACAACTTCTGCGCGCCTTACTGATCTCTCGAAACCTACAGACTCTTAAGCTTCTCAATCGCTCTATTAAGACACTTTATTGCACATGGAGTCTTCGCCATCAGCCGCAGTCCTCCAAAACGCTAGGGGAACCAGCATCTCTGGAAATGCGCAGGTCATCACCGCTGGCCGCGACGTTGTTGTTCAACATGGTCTTTCCCCTACCGGTATGTAAACTCTGCATTTTCTTCATCATCGTCGTACATTCATGGCCCTCTAGGTCTCCCAGGCATATTCAGGCCTGTCAGCAATGCCACACACACTCGCTCAGGCCCTGTTGCCAGATGCGACGTTGGGACTCGCCTGCAGGTTATTGCTACGATCGAACAGTGGCTCGATGGTCCCGACAAGGAGCCTGCTGTCTGCTGGTCGAATGGACCGGCTGGTTATGGGAAATCGGCGCTATCGCAAACTATCGCGGAACGCTATGCCGCCGAGGGCAGGCTTCTAGGGAGTTTCTTTTTCCTTCGAGGCGCTGGTGAACAGAGTCACATTTCTCGTCTCATCCCTACTCTTGCACATCAGATCTCCCTCTCCATTCCTGCTACGAAGCCATTGCTGGAGAAGGCTCTTCGAGATGAGCCAGCTATACTGGAACCGTCGGTCGCTATGGCTCATCAATTTCAAAGGCTGATTATAGGCCCTATCCATTCCACCACCTCCGGATCCTTTTCTGCTTTCCAGATATTCTCTCGTCTTACCAAGCGATGGATCCTTATTATTGACGCTCTTGAGTGATACATCCAGAAATGGCCTTCCCTTCCGATTGCTCCTCACCAATCGAGTGGAGAAGCATATTCGGAAGAAGTTTGATGATTCTAGGCAAATTCTAGGGCCGAGTCGTTTGTGTACCCTCTGGACTTTGGGGATTTTGATGCTCGGCCTGATATCCAGATTTATTTGGAATGGGAATTTGGCCATGTCTACAACGGTTCAAGAAGCTCTTGCGCTCACCATGGGCACATGCGGTTAGTGGATTGTCGATAGAAGCTACCATGATTTCGTTCATCTAGAGAGCATGGGGGCGAAGATGCGCCATTGGCTCTTCATGGGTGAGACATCTCCTTCCGCTCTATTTTGGATCGCAAGGACTAAAGACCATCAAATTTCAGGGCATCTTACGAGTTGTCTTCGTATCCACTGATGATCTCACGCAAAGGCTACGCAGCGTCAATGCTATAAAACCCATATCATTTTGGAGTTCGTAAGATACATAGAGGTTAGTTACATCAGAGGTGGTATTACAGGTTGAAGAAGAAATGGGGAAGGCTTTTGATATAGTGCGTGTCTACTCATAGATGAATGCATCGCCTCAGTCCTCGACGAATCGGTCTCTATGAGCTATAATCAAGTCCGCCGTTTCCTTCGAGCGAGGCTTGATGGTGCACTTAAACGGTGCAGGTCGCCTATTTCCACAATAATCAATGACAGTGCCCAAGGAAAGACATTGTTAACACGTCGCACTGAGGGCTTTTTCTATGAACTCACATTATAAGACCCGTGATGTACTCAAGTCCGGGTTCGATCTCTTTGCCAGATTCATCGAGGGCCTTGGTGATGTTAAACGTCGCCAGTATCGACGCAGCAACGAGCCACAGGGTTGAATACGCAATGTGACTTCCCGGGCAAATCCTACGCGAGCGTATGTTAGCAAAGCCTGGGGGTGGAAAATGTGCATGTAAGGGAATGTGCTCAGAGAACCAAGATGTGGTGCGAGAAGAAACGAGGCATAAAGCGTTCAAAAAATTTACGCACCTTCGGCCGAAGCCAAACGCGATGCGAGCTGGATCCATAACATTAGGGTCAAGCTTCCCATCTTTGTCGAGGAACCGATCGGGATTGAACGTCTCTGGTTCGGGATAGTCGTTTTCGTCATGTAGCATCGCCCTACGCGAAGTATTAGCACGAAGTCCAAGGTTTGAAGGCGCGTCTTTACCAAGCATTTCCAACCACGATGGACCCTTTCGGTATGTGATATCCTTCATACACATCATCCTCGCTGAGGAGGTGAGGAACCCCTACATTGAAAGGAGCATGAGTACACCGCAATACTACCTGAGAGGAATTGACGTACCAAGCGGCACAGAGGGCCGGAACCTTTCAAGACAAATGATGAATGCGAAGATTAATATCAAAATGGCCAACAGACCTCAAAACCTCTTTCAGGACAGCAGCAAGATACGGAAGATCAGCTTCATCCGAGAAGTCAGGTAACCTGCCTCGTCCAACAACTCGATCTACTTCTGCTTGTGCCTTGAGTTGAAGTTCAGGAAAGTTGACCATTGCAAGGAGGAAAGTCTCCATTGCGGACAATGTCGTGTCAGCCCCAGCTGTGGAGTAACGATCAACTAGGGAAACAGAATATGTGGATTATGCGCATACCAGCAAAAACCATCGCAGATGTATCCTGTATAACCTCTCGCTGGTGTTCAGGATCCCCCGCTTTTCCGTCGACATTCTCAATGCACTCGGATGTGAAGCATGGTTGGACGGTGCCTGCCACCTGTATCAAAGGCGTAAGCGACCCCATTACCCGATGCAAAATGGTAATTACCATTTCCTTCAGGCAATCATCAAACGGCCGCTCCCTGAACCGCTTTTGCAAACCAAACCAAATCCTCGCTTGCCTTTTAAAACCCGCGCCAGGCATCCATTCCGGGATGTACTTGAGGAAGGGGATGAGATTCACAAATACCCGACTGCTTACAGTCACTTGGGCTATCCCTCCCAAAGCTTCCTCTGCGATGCGAATGTATGGATCTTCACGGGGTAACACTTTGATTCCGTACGCTAGGGAGAGGGCCATGCCGCCTATGGCGCTAGTCACGGCGAAATCAATTTCTTCCGATGAAAAGAGGATGATTGTACAATACGCACTGTTTGAGAGCGTCCGCGAAGTTTCCAGGATTAGCTAGAAGCAGCGGGAGCAACATCCCACGGATATATTCGCGTTGTCTTGAATGATGCGTCATTTGCTTTCCCGGGTGGAAGTAAGATTGGAATAAGCGGCGGCGTTCTCTCCAGGATTCACCATATGGCATAGACGACATGAGCCAACCCCATCCCATTCTTCGACAGAAGACATAATGAGTGTGAATATTGAGATGTACAGGGACGTCAGGATACTTACAATTCGGCAGTCATAGTCCACTTGAATCTGTGAACCACAGCGGTTCATGAGTTTAAGATGGCACAATACAAAAGACAATGTCACCCACCGACTAGAGTAGGTTGCCGAGCGCTTATCCAAGAGCTCGTTTGCGACCTTGAACGAATTAAGTACAACGATATTCATTCCTATAGCTTTGACGTAGAGGATGTCCGAATCTAATTACGCTATCAGGATAACAAAAGATGAAAGGTTTGTGTACAAACCATAATCCTTTGTCCACTGAGCGTAAGTGAGCCACTCGTGATTGGAAGGTATATCAAACAAGTTTCCAAGAAGCGGCAGTTTCTTCGGACCAGGTGGAGTCGGCAAGGACGTCGCATTGTATTTCTTCAGGATCCCCCATAGCGCAATAGATACTGCAATACCAGTGAACACCACTTCCAAGGGATGCATCCTTTCGAGCGATGGGCAAAAGAGGCAGAGGGGAGCGGCGTGGGGACATGCGTCGCCTTACATGCTGTTGAGCACCTGCTCAGAGCTGAGTTACAACTTGATGACACCGACGCCCACAGAACTTCAGTAGAATTGCTGAAAAGAACGGCGACTGCCTAAATTGGATTGGACTAGGGTCGCATTTCTGAAATGTCAACTGAGAGAGTCGAGACCATGCGAGTCGGACACTGACAAACAAGCAATGTGCCATGTGGGCACGTTCTGCCATAAACAGGATACTGTGAGTGATACCTCGTTTCTACCTATCTTTTCTGTTAAAACGTCTTGAATGAAAAAATCAACACAGTTGAAAATGACTCACGGGTAGATGCCTGAGCTTCAATAATGGTTGGAACCGGGAAATTGAATCCTGGTGAAAGGACGAGCCACCGCATGATGATTGTGGACACCCGGGGACATTATTCAAGAATCAAGCATTGAACATTAAAGGTCAAGATGGTTGAATTTCGAAGCAGGGGGGAGGCGCGGTGGGCGCGGTGCGTCTAAAGCAAAAATAAGATCGTTGGTTCAGTCCGAAACCACGATATGGCTGGGTTCTGCGATGTTTTGCAAAGATAAGGACATTGCTGATCCGACCGACATGAAGCAGCGCCATTCGAGTGCCGTTCCGAATTGATATTGAAGCAGCAGATCAGCTGAGTTTGCAAGGAGCGTTGTGAAGAGGTTGTTGTTTGTTACTATTTGTCAAAATTTACGACGCAATTCCTCCGCTACCGCCAAGTCTTGGCCAAGTCCTCGTGGCACACCCATGGCTTTTTACTCTATATATCTCGCGTCACTTTCTGCGAATAAGTACAGTCGTTTTTAAGACTCGGCGTTCGTCTCATGACAAAATTCACTTTGTCTAGTACAGAGTTTCAATTGCGTTCGGAATGATGTTTACACCAACACAGGGCCGAGGACCTCACGCAGAGCCAAAGTCATTCTGATTAGATGTCGGTAAACACTACCTATTTTTTTAAAAAGCCTATCGGACCGGAGGAGAGGGTTCTGAGGCCCTTCTAGTCCCGGAGCATCAGAACACTGGCACAGTGTGCTACTCGGTGAGTTCTCCCCATACTCCACTCATGATCTAATGTATCACTTCTGCTTCTCCCCATGTTTTCAGCTTTTGAACCGTCCAACTGCCTGCTGGTCAACCTTATGAGTTGGTAAATAAATGACCACCGAATGTGGTCCCGCGCCTCACGGAGGAGGAGAAGATAAAACACCAGTTTTGCCCCCTCCTTCACAACAGAACGGCAGAGTCCGCCAGAAAAGACACCAGTTCTCAAGATTGGCACGTCTTTCCCACCCGGAGATGGCGTGCTGGACTCTGGGATGCAATCCACTTTTTGCCTTCCACAATCTTCCAAATCATTATTCCAGCAGTCCCCAGACGTCGAATCAACGTCAAATACTGACGAAGAACTCATGCGATTTCCCCCCCCCCCACAGGCCCACTACTAACGTAGCGGGAATGTGAGGTCCATTTTCGCGACTTTTCAAGGACAGAAAATGGTGTGAGCTTTATGGGGCCTGCTAAAATGTTCGCTTTATAGATTTTTGGGGGGCTAACATGAGCGTGGTGCAGAGAACTACGTGGGACTGAAGTTGGCTCGAGCTCGGTGCCCAGCGTTGGTCGCTTGAACTTTCGGTCTATCGAAAGTGAATATTCTAGCGAGTCAATTATTACCATCACCATTAAATCGTTAATACTTATAGACTTTTCTTGGATTTTTCCGTGCTCTGAATGGACTTTGAATTTCGACAGTTGCAGTTAGTAAGGTGCTACCATACCGCTGGCATAAGATATATTTACCGGCAGGATAAATGGTATTAGGTGGGGATTCGGGCACGTTCACTCCTATCTAATCCGCTAATACGTTCACCACAACTACCGTCGGGCCGATGCTAGTAGATCCCAAAAACCCTCAATTTCCCGAGTTGTTCATGTTCTATAATCCAGTCTACAAAAAAAAACGCACATTCTCGAACAAGTAGAAGTTCAATATTGGAAATCTACTCGGAAAACTGGTTCTAAACGCTTGGCGATGTCGGGAATTGTTGTCCGGAAGACCGAGGGAAGCCGAAACTCTCACGGTTACGGTCCGGTTACTCGGTGCCAATCGCATTGACGTCTTTATCATCGACCACCTCCAACGACCTCTACACACCTCCGAACAATGAGTGGCAACTTGGCTTCAGGTAAGTACACGTCGTCGAGCATGGCGAGCACGCTCCAACCGCAGAACAGAATACTCGGCCTGGAAGGACCTCCAGAGCATCTATGACGCAGATCACTCCAAGATTGTGCTCAAGGAGCTCTTTGCCCAAGATCCTCAGCGATTCTCCAAATTTTCCCGGGAATATGCGTCTACCAGCGGTCCCGACGTCACCCTCCTCCTCGATTTCTCGAAAAATCTCATCACGGAGCCTATCCTGAACAAGCTTCTCGCTTTGGTCCGTGAAGCCAAAGTGGAAGAGTACCGCGACAAAATGTTCGCGGGCGAGCACATCAACACCTCTGAGGACCGCGCCGTTCTGCACGTCGCCTTGCGCAACTTTAACGACTTCAACATCTCCGAAGCTGGTGTAGACGAAGTCAGTGGCGTCCTTAACCACATAAAAGAGTTCTCCGACGCTGTTAGGAGCGGCGAGTGGAAGGGGTACACCGGCAAGACTATCAACACTATCGTCAACATTGGGATCGGCGGATCTGATTTGGGCCCCGTCATGGTCACTGAGGCGCTGAGGGCGTATGCCAAGCGCGATCTCAAAGCGCATTTTGTGTCCAACATTGACGGAACACATATCGCTGAGACGCTTCGCGAGTGTGACCCTGAGCGAACGCTCTTCATTATCGCCAGCAAGACCTTCACCACTCAGGAGACCATTACCAACGCTGAGAGCGCGCGTAGCTGGTTCCTCGCCACGGCCAAGGATAAATCTCACGTCGCGAAGCACTTTGTCGCGCTCAGCACGAACACCAAGGCGGTTACGGCGTTTGGTATTTCAGAGTCAAACATGTTCCAGTTCTGGGACTGGGTTGGTGGGCGATACAGTTTGTGGAGTGCGATCGGATTGTCGATCGCGTTGGTGATTGGGTATGAGAACTTTGAGGCGTTGCTCAAGGGAGCCCATGGAATGGACAAGCATTTCAAAGAGACGCCTCTCGAGAACAACTTGCCCGTTCTTTTGGCCGCCATCGGTATCTGGTACAACGACTTTTACGGTGAGTAACGTTTCAAGCTTTAGAACAATTTACTTACAGCCCATAAAGGCGCTCAAACCCTCGCTCTCCTTCCTTATGACCAATACCTCCATAAATTCGCGGACTACTTCCAGCAGGTACGCCTTTATCTATTCTTATCATTCCGCCATTGACTCTGCGAACCACTATATCCCAGGGAGATATGGAATCCAATGGCAAATTCATCACCAAGAATGGCCATCGCGTTAACTATCAGACTGGGGTACGTCCTCCAGTTCATCATCAGAACGCCGCTGATCCTACTTCCTTCCCCAAAAACAGCCCATCATCTGGGGTGCCTCCGGTACCAACGGCCAACACTCCTTCTACCAGCTTGTGCACCAAGGCACCAAGCTCATCCCGGCAGATTTCATCGCCCCAGCAACGACGCACAACCCCATCGAAAACTCGAAACATCACCGCATCCTCCTGTCCAACTTTTTCGCGCAGCCTGAGGCGCTTGCGTTTGGGAAAACTGAGGAAGAGGTCCGGAAGGAGTTGGGCGCTGGTGCGAGTGAGACTTTGATTAAGAGTAAGGTGTTTGAGGGGAATAGGCCCAGTAACAGCATTATGTTCCCCTTGCTGACACCTGCTACGCTTGGTCAGTGTTTCGGTCTTACCGTTCTGGATATTTTGCTGACAGGGCTTTGTGGTATAGGTGCTTTAATCGCGTTGTATGAGCACAAGATCTTTGTGCAAGGTGTTGTTTGGGGTATCAACTCGTTTGGTATGTTACGTCTTCTGCCCACTCTCACCAGCTGATTTATGTATTGTAAAGATCAAATGGGCGTCGAGCTTGGAAAGGTCCTCGCTAAAAACATCTTGGCCCAACTCGGCAAGCCAGAGGATGTCAAGGGCCATGACAGCTCCGTGCGTATAATCTCTCCTCGCGTTGAACAGATTCATTAACCCGAAGTAATAGACGACTGGGCTTATCCACTACTACCAAAAATTCAGGAAGGAATGAATTCGAATAGAGGAGGTGACGCGGCGCGTTCGGCTTTGATTATCCGACAGACATCGAAGGAAAAGAAAGGTGTAAGATATGAATAAAGTATCCAGCAGTTTGAGAAGGTCTTTTGTTGTTTATTCGATAGGTTTTAGAACGTCGACACATGTCACACATTCTGAATTTCTTGATCCTCGATGAGAGGTTGACCCCTTGAGGATCACTCGGTCCGGAGCATTTGTTTTCACTGATTAATGATCCGTCATGTTATCCGTGCATCCGCTCAGGTACATACACCGGAATGATATTGCAGGGCATCGGGACCTGATGCACACATGTCGACAGATGTCGACGCGCTCCAGATAGGACTTTTGAGGCAAAACACTCCGGTGTGCCAAGGTCAACAATCGAAACGAAACAGAACGGAAGCTGGCTTGATGTTGCCCGAACTTGACACTTGTATGGATGGCCGAACGCTCAGCGCTCAAGCCTCGCAGTGTCCGACGGATGCGCACTCCAGGCACCAGGCTATGTAAGTCCTGCATCTTCCTGCATCCGTTGAAATAGACTTTTGCATCAGAGTTTGATCCATCATCTATGTTTCTTTCGGGTTTGTCCCAATCTTTATGAGGGTAAAAAAAATCGATGGCAACGCAACTCGACCTCAACTCGACCTCAACTCGACCTCGCTAGACAAAGTGAACTGATTACGCAAAAATTACAATGACGCATATCCATGACTAACTACCCCAAAACTACCCGATGCACGAAACGGTTTGCAGAGAAACAAAAAGGAGAAGTGCGCATGTGATCTTCATTCACATGACTGTCCACCTGAGCAAAGTTTCCTAGTTTGGCCGGCCCACAAAACTTACTAACGTTACATTTTAGAATATACGACGGAGTGCGAGAGGATTGATCGTTTTGACAATTTCGAGTAAGTAGGCGCAGGGAGCTGATTATGCAAGCCCTACTCCACCATTCTAGTAAGGGTTTCCTCAGTTCCCCACGTGGCTTTTCTTTCAGACAGCAAGCCACGGTGCTTGGATTGAACTGCGACCAAACTGCGACAGCAGGCTCTGCAAGCTCTACGAAAACTTACATTCTCTCATGGATTGTAATACTTAAACTGCGAACCCGAGCTTGTATACAGGTTTACACGGAGTGGTGCAGACGCGTGGTTCAGGTAAGTTCCATTTCAGTAAGCACCCGCGCTGGCTCGATGATGCGCATGACGGTGCAATGGTACCAGAGGGCTCAGGCGACACCGTTTACAAACGTTCAAACGTCGGAAAGGCAAGGGAGATAGTCGCGGATCAAACCTCTGCAGACATGATTGTCGAAAACTCAGGTCTAGGGATCTATCATCTAAGCTGCTACTAGTGAATCTCTGGGGTTTGCGAAAGAGTTTCGGTAACGCAGAATAAATCATCAAGACGTGAGCAACTCAATATCTGCCCCTTAGTAACACTGTGCGATTCTTTAAACAGCACTTGATGTTCTGTGTCGATCCATTCGGCAATTTACATAAATACATGCATTGAAAGGGAGAAATCGGTTATAAATTCCAACGAGTGTTGACGTCAAACTGGAGCCCACTTGGGACAATGTTCAAGAGTGCCCACTTGTGAACAATGTTCAAGTGTACGCAGCTATGGCTGCGGTGAAGGCATTGACTACCCTATCTCTGAGATTGGTTGCGGCATCGACGAGATCGGCCTAAAGAATTCTGAATAAACAACAAGGATGTGTGTTAAATTTTTCGTACCGGGGCTGTAGAAATAAGAGCATCCGAGAATGAGACGGTTTTGTCGTTTAGATTCTTCAAGTCTTGAAGGATAAGTGCCGGAAGACCACCAATCGGCAAGGCTGACCATCCCACTATTAAACAGAGGAACACGGCAGCTTTCTGAGACCACGCACCTTTGAAAGCTGGCTGTTTAACGACAATTTGTTGCAGCGCATCGCCAATTATGGGCTCTATCGCCAGTACGGCATTCAAAATATCCGATCCATCTTGCTCCTCGAGAGGGCCAGTTGCCTTCATGCGGCGGATAAGTCACGTCAACGTTAATCGCGTCACGACTAACCGTCACATCGGTCGTCGCTGTCGCCAGAGTAGTCACTAAAGCCGTTGCGCTGCTGTGTATACCCTGCGCAAAAAAAAATATGATGTCTCCTTATACAAAGGGATAAGGGCGTTGGACGTACTAAGGCTGCCAAGAGTGTACCGCCAGTCATTGGGAATGCATTGATAGCGTTGTCCAAAGTGGTAACCTTGGTCGAGATATCAGCGACATCAGCCTTGACCTGGTCGATGGTGCGCTTCAGGGGAGTAGACAAGCCAAGTGCAACGCAGGAAATCAGAACAAAAAATCTTGAAGCGATTTGAACCATTGAAAATGCAAGAGATCAGGAAGACGATGAAGCCCAATGCATGTGAGGGAGCTCTTTTATAAGAAAATATGATGCCACGATACGATCTAGGAAGGATTAGTCGATATCACCTCAAAAGGCAGAACCTCCAGTACTCCGAAGGAGCGCTGACGGCCGCCATGTTTGAACAGTATGTTGATCTGGACACAAGACCAGAAAAATAGCTCAAACCATCCTCCAACCATGTGGTGTATTGATGGCGCACATGCCAGACGCAAAAGGGAGGCCACACGAGATGTTGGTATATACGAGATCAGAAACCATCGTGCAGAGTTATACCCAACAGAATTGTTCTTGGAATGAGCGTTGGGAACGGAGAGCCTTCACAGTGAAAGGCAATCACAAGAAAAGGTCTGTCTCGCTACTTTGGAAGTTTGTGTTTGCCTCGTGATCGCTGCTTATTGTGATCGCGCCCTAGAAGACTGAAGCGCGAAAACACATGAATTTCGGTTCACAGGTCATGGGATCGTTTCTACCGAGATATCGACAGTCCTAGCGACAGATGGGGAGGAAATCTTAAAAATCGGAAGATTATACTCCGTTTCCTGGTTATATTTTGTCAGGATGCGGTCATCTGGCAGAATAACATTCACAACGCTTTCGTTGACGTGAGTGGACGAAAAACAAATGTATCCACAGACCGGGAGGGCACTTTTTACGAGTGGGAGTCGAGAGAGAGCATGTCTAGGTGTCGATAGGAAGATAGAGTTCTAAAAGAAACAGAAGGCATAGACATAGACATAGTATATTACGGCGCGCTGACAATGGGAAGAACACAAGCCGAAGTCCGAGCACTAGATGACAAACGCATAGCGATGGAGGAACGTTCGATGAACTGGTACCTGAGAAGTTATACCCCGTGTAAGAATGGTTGGTAGATATAGCGAGAGAGCTTCGATAGTGATACAGAGGCATCTTGAAGGGATAGAAAGCATAATTATCCCGAGGAGCTTGAAATGAATTAAAGGGGACAAGGGAACCACGATGATTTGATCAAAGGAAAGAACCACCCGGCAGGTGAAAAGAGTGTATGTCGCGAGGATAGATCGCGAAGTTGGTATTAGCAGAAGGAATGAGTGTCGGGTCGGATTGCAAGGATATAATTTCAGCGGGGTGAAATCTTTGCAACACAGAAGGCATAGCGTTCAGAGAGGACGATTAAGGGGAAGGTCCGATCGAGGGTAATCACGGATGACATGAGGATAGACCAGGCGGTAAGAGAAGGAATGCGTTTGAGGATCCAGAGGAACAGCGTAAGACGCAGAAAGCAGAGGTACTTGTGAAGAAAGGGGGAGGCGACTGGGCCGACGACCCGATAATTCGGTCTAGTCGAGGTGAACATAACACTAGACAATGAGATATTAACGCCTTCCATCGAGGAAGGGGGAGGAGGTTCCCGACTTATGTTCCACTTTCGCGGGGAAGGCAGGGAATGGATGACGGTGGCGAGCCGACGATAATTGCATGGCCTACCTGTTAAAAGTAGACGAGCAAGCTAGATTTATATTTGAACTTTTCGAGGATCCATGGCTACGAGAAGCGGTGTGCCCAGGCTACTGTAAATAAGGTGAGATGCCGTCGATTGGCGGAGTGCAAGTAGATATGCAGGTGCCCTCTAAGGAAGTAGTTGTTTGACTACGTGATTGAGGGGTGTGGTGGCTTCGAATTGAAGACCAGGTGCCCGAGGTATCATTGGTGTAGCGATGAGGTGAGTCGTATTGGTGAGCAAGGAGAAGGGAGACATCGAAGAGAAACTGTGGTGTCATATGAACGAAAAGTGTGAAGTCGAAAGTTATAAAAACAAAAGGTTTTGCGCACCCAACTATTTCCGGGTATCGTTTACAGTCTCGCTACAGGCTTTGATTGCTTCTTTTTCGTCAACTTCGACTGGAACGCTTTCGACATCCAGGACGCGGACCGCGAAACAATGTCGGCAGCCATGTTTTTGGGCGGAAGAAGATGAGGGGGAAGGTTTGGAGAGCGGCGATGTGGAGCAGCTTTGTGGGAATGTCGAATGACGGGCATGACTTCCACAGACTTATCAACGACCTGCGATGGAGGCGCCAGGGCACTATCCATGCGAGGTTGGGTGCCACGAAGGTGGGGTAGAGCCACTAGTCGTTTACGGAATTGGTCGTTTATCAAGACGACATTCTGGATATCCCGGAGGTCATCAGCTTCAGAGTTGTAGGGTCGATCCTTGACGATGATGGGGACGGGGTGGGTTGGGTTGAAATAAAATCCAGGAAGCGGGTCCTGGCCTTTCTTGTAAGGTCTTCCGACGGTGACGACAGCTTCTTCCTCTTCGACGGCTTGTGGAATGTGGTTCTCAGATGGAGCCCAAGGCGGTGGGATCTGTCGGACCTTCATGCGCTCCCAGTCACTACGCGGGAGAACATCAGCATTGAATCGACGTCCCGAAGGGAGACGACACTAACATCCCATCAAAGTAGGGATGCCTGGGCAAATCAATCTCAACTCTCAAGCGCTCTGATGGATGCTTCATCAGCATCTATAAGCGAAAGGTCAGCCGAGCTCAGAGGCGGGAACAACTACGAACTTGTTGAATAAAATCTTTTGCGACAGCGCTAATATTTTCTTGTGGTGCGGGTGTCCATTGAACTGGACATATAACAACCTGAATGTTGAGCGGACATGGGTTTTGTTCATCCCAACCGAAGGGAGTCTAGAAAAGGCGCATTAGGGCAACACAATCAAATCCTCGGAACCACTCACTCGGCCAGTGAGCATGCTGAAGAGCACGACAGTAGCGGCCCAGTAATCGACCCCGAAAGAGTATGGAAGGCCACGAATAATTTCTGGCGCCATAAACAATGTAGTCCCGCACCTGTCGTAGGCGACAAAGGGCAGATCGCGGGGGTTGCGATACGGGGTGGTCGTGCTGATCTCGTCGCCCTTAGCAAACGGCCAGAATGGCTGGTAAACGCGCTCCGCCAGTAAGGGAATTTTTCCAAAATCCTTTATAAGTCCGACGTCGGCAATGACAAGATGTCCAGTGACGTCGATGAGAAGGTTGGCGGGTTTGATGTCGCGGTGTATCATTCCCCGCTTGTGGAGTTCTTGAAGGCCAATTACCTGAAGAAAGGGGTTAGAGAGAGCCATCACCTGTATGATCGACGCACAAGTTCGACCATATAAAATCGGGCATGCTCTGGGTCAAGCGCTCCCCCAGCTCGCCAAATCACCTCGTCTAGAGGCGTAGGGCAGTACGTCTGCATTCATTTTGGGGTTTGTGAGAGAAAGTGCAAAGAGAGGGGAGAAAACGCACTGTTGCCAAATAGAAATTGGCGTCGTCATGCCACGAAGCCTCCAGACGCGTGAACCAAGGCGAATCGCGAAGACTGAGGAGGGCTGCCTTCTCTTCCACCGCCGCATCGATCGTCATAAAACTGAGAGCCGATTTCTTGATTACTTTTACTGCCGCCTTTGCCCCCGTCACCCTGTTCTTGGTGACATACACCTTTCCATACGTTCCCCCTCCAATGAATTTGACAATTTCATGCGTGCCTATGAAGCTGACTGACTTGGGAAGGGCCGAAATCTTATCGCATTCGAAAGGGGTCTGAAGGGAATTGAGGTTGATGTCTGCAAAAGCCATGCGGCGACGATGCTGGAGGAGTGCTAGATGCTACGGGGGCCGTCAAGAAACCTACCTGCAGGAAGAAAAAGACATACATCAAGCGGGGAATCGAGGCCGAACACGACGGGTTGTTGGATATCGAGGACAGAGGAGTGGTGGAATGCATCTGATATAATCCCGAGGGCCTTGAGGTCGTCGTTGTCCTAGGGTATATGAGCATCCATTTGATAGGGGAAATGGCTGCACTCACCTCCGCCTTGTCGGGGGTCGAGGTAATAGCCTTAACAGTAGTGGCGACAGCAAAAGGCGTGTCGCTCTAGATGTAAGGGGTTAGAAATAGTATAGGGGAATGACGTCGTTGGGCTCACGTTCTTCTTAGCTTTCTGCAGCATTTTGCCGAGAGCCTTCTTGATAGTGATAAATTTGATGAACATGGTGATTGTCGATGCTGAAAGTGGGTGACTTGTCGGCAACGTAGCGCTGTGAATGTAGTTGAAGATAAGGAGAAAAAAGATCATACAGACCGTATAAATACCATTTCGATGAGGACTGAGCGACCCGATCATGAGTCAAACTTCAAATATTGGCGACCAGCGGGATTCTTTCGTAGCATAAAAAAGGTCGCGTGGGGTGGTATAGAATAGATCGATATACCAAACTTGTGTCGTTTTTTTGATTCGCGATTCTGCTGCTGGGAGGGAGAAGCCATAGGAAATATTTGAGATTCGTATCCTATTTGTACGTCAACATGTAGTCTTCTTATGAGTTTTCCACGACTTACTTTTGTGTCCTTTATTCTACCAAATGCCGTGAGATGGAGTGGGCCTTTGGTTGGGTCAAGTGTGTTGGCTCAAGAAACACGAACGTCACATCTGGCCGTTACTTCGTGACACAACCTCTTCTTGCAAACTTGCAAGCATCTCGAAGATACTTAACCACTGAAAATGAATAGGTTCGTCGTGAACGGCGGGAAGAGTTTACTAACTCGCTAATTATCTATCTATCTATCTGTCACAGAGGACCAATCGTACTTGTGAGTTTCCTTTTATGTCGCCAGTAACATAATAACATTGCAAGATTGGCTCGGATAGACCATCGACGAAGCAGAGGTGCGACGTTGCGACTACTCAGATGCCCAATCCTGCGGACGCTGATGGTTCTCTTCAAGTACCTTATAGATCAGCTGGTAAGACGCGCAATTAGCAATGAAGCCTTCCCACCGACACTGAGAGACTATGCTACTCCAGCCGGCTCCGTCGCCTGATGACGACGAAATTTTGAGAAAACTTAGAATAAGGTTACAGGATTTCCTCACGGAGTTGCGCAAGGGTGCCGAAGGAACAAGGTCGGACGCGTAATGAACGGCGATTGAAGGGATGGTCTATAGCAGATCCACGATTCGATTCTAGAGTAACCTTACACGTTTCAAGAACAATTTGAGCTTTGACATACGAGCTCTGTATAGACCATAGGCGATCCCTTTGTGAGACATATCGAGGACGGTAAGGAGTCTATTCTGCATGTATAACAAGAGTGGGATGCGCGCAGCGATATAAGTCTGGTCAGATTTAAGCCGCTCTGAAGGCGCGATGTAGTCACTTCGGGTTTCTCCCCTAGTCATGAAGTGAAGCCATAAGCTGGCATCGCAAAGCTAATGATCCCCAGCCTTCCCCTCTGGCTTCCTCGTCTTGAAAAGCCCCCTTTTCTTAACATCCTCAACAATCGCACGAACACTGTCAAGGGCCCATTCAGGCCGTACGACGCCCAGTCGTTTGCGACCCAAAGATACATAAACGCCATCAGCACGAGATAGAGCAGAAAGAACGACGCAACAACACACCAACAACTGCCCAATTCCTCGTACTGGGAATCCTCAACGTCTCACACTCCACGGCCCACCCGCAGTGCACACTCAGCGTTGCCAGCCAGATGCGATACATCGAATACGAGCTACCGTTGCTCCCATCCCCACCAAGGTTAAGGCTCTCGACGAACTGCTCCATCGTCATCCCAATACCCTCGGGCAGGGGATACCCAGATGAACTGGCCCTCTCGAATTTAGCATCGAACTTCCACGTACAGCACGGGATGGAGAGGTACCCAGCTGCATCGTGCAGCGTTGCCAGGACTGGGACCCAGGGCGTTAGTTCGTCGGCGTGATTGCCAATGATGAACGCGTTTCTGAGGCTGATGAAGGATGGATCCAGAGCGTCGTCAGTGGGGTCGAAAGCGTGGACGTGCAGCTGGGCTTGAGTTTCAACGGGGTAGTGTGACCAGGACGCACGTGCCCGAAGATCAACGCCTGAGCCCACGTAGCCTTCTGCTGTGAGGATGTGCGTGAGGAGTCCATTTCCGCATCTACCACGGAAAAGTCAGCAAGGGAGTGAATGAAAGACGGGGAAATTGTACCCCAGATCTAAGAAGCCCCCAGGTGGTCGCGGCCAGCTCTTCCATGGTTCTTCAGCCGAATCGACCACAGTTGATCCCGAAGTCGAGAAGGTATCCTTCCACAAGAGCATCAAGTACGTTGCGATCCCAATATCCTACACTGGTACATTAGGTACGATCCATACAGGAAGAACTGAACACACACCTCAAAAACATGCTTCAACGGATCCGTAACTTCCTGCCACGTATCCACCAGCCCTTTGTGTCGCTCCCTCATAACCAGGTACAAATCCTGATAAGCCTCCCGCGAGACTAAGCAGTCGTGCTGGACCCGTTTCTTGTAATTCGTCATCGCACCCCATCCGTATCGGTGGAGCGTGTCTAGGAGGGCTAGGCAGGTGCGGTACAATCGGGAGTTTAGATCCGTTGGGGTATCCGGCAGAGGGAGCGCTTCGATGCGCAGTCTGGGGGATGTATCGGTGTTCATGGGCGAATGGATGTAGCGGAATGCAAGGTGCGATACGGAGGGATGGTAGTAGGGTAGGGACGCGCCTGGTGCCAAAATGGGGGTAAGGATAAGCGTGTGTGGGTTTCCGGACTCGGAAGCATGCAGGGAACAGTATTGCTCCAAAGCCGCATCTCTTCCTGGTCTTCTTGGAAGCAGTCGGCGATGAATACATTGGACAGGGTGGTATCCCTCCAAACGTGGAACCGCCTCCACGAAATCTGACTCTGTCTCTTCAACAACTTCCGATCTCAAGATCAAAGTCGAGTTGTATTCGGGATGGTGGATGAGCTGCGAGATGGCTATTTCGAACTAGGATTTTGGACGTGGTTATTTCAGAAAGACTTTGCAGGTTAAGACGAGTACCTTACGAGGTCGATCGGGAAATTGATGGGGCAAGAAATGATGGGGGTCCAAGTTGTACCATCGTGCATCAAGGCTGGGGTAAAGTCTTCCGTTGGATCGTACTGCACGGGCTCGAACCGGGGTCTTTGGGCGGCCTCGCTGCCCGACATCGTCAGCAGTCTACACCAAGGTTAGCGTCACCGTGCCCCCTTTGTGAAGCCCCAAAAAACGTACATGTAGAACGGGTATATTCCAGGCAACAATGTAGAATACCGGGAACTGAGTATTCGTCACGTAGGCCTCTGGTAGTTGTTACGGTACGAGATAGCGGTGGAGGGCCAAATGGTGGTGGTTGTAGACAGAAAAATTCGACATAATGATCTTGACATCATCGGTTCCCACGTCTTCACAGAATTCCAACCGCTGCCTCAAATAATCTTCACAGTAATTCTCTATATTTCAGAGGATATGGACTGTCGTTGTGCGTTGAACTACAAAATACAGCTGTATCATCGAATAGTCGCATTTTGGGCAAAATAATTTTATGTAAGTTGCCCGTTGCACCCATGTTCAATCTTCAAGTTGCCTCTCAAAGTCAATTGCCAAAGGACCGCCTCTCAGCTGAGGAAGTGTTGCAGATGCCAAAGCGATGCGCGACTTCCTAACCGACAACACAGGCCAACCGTGCTAATATTATCCACGCGTTTCGAGAACTCCAAACCGATCCACGTATCAAAACAGGCGACCCATCTTGATTTTCTTTGCCGGTCACGGCTGCGAGACAAAGGCTCTCCTGGTGGATAACAAGATTCAGACGATTCTTCCACAGGATTACAACGCGAAGCAGAAGAAGCAGGGTCATGGGACTCCAGATTGTACCCTCGGCCCCCTGATCAATGGCATCGCGAAAGCGAAAGGGGGTGATATTGTACGTATATTACTTATTCCATTACTGAAACTCACGGACTGACAAAACTAGAATGTAATTTTCGATTGCTGCCATTTCGGCTCTGGAACACGAAATGAGACCGCGATGAAATAGCAACACTCTCGAAGATGGCATTAATGTCGACGTCGGCTTTTGATGCTCTTCGTTACCTCGAAGAGCATCAACCTTTCTATGATCCCGCAATAATCGCCTTTTATTGGAGGAACGAAACAAACCCAAGTCTCTCCCCCTCAAACGCTGTCATTCCGATCGTCCAACGCCAACGTCGATAGGGAGATCATCAAGTGAAGACTGGTTAAATGTGAATAATTTGGGAGGTTAGTTTTGGGTTGGTTGCCTTCACCGGTCGTATTCGATATGCGTTTTCTCCATGATTTGATATCGGATGCCCTCTTCCCAGACTCGTCCCTGTGAAGCCGCATAATCAGAGATCAACGAAGCCCGACGAACGCCAGAGCCCAGTCCAACCAAGGGTGCAAAATCGCCACATCCGTCACTCTCGTAGGACGATCCTTCCAAAATAGGTGTTTCTACTGGCAGGGGTAATTGCTACCTGTCACCAGTCAGTAGAAGCGCCGGAGAATCCTAGGCCTCCCGGGCGGCGGTCCTAACTACTATCACTTGACTTACTCGATTTGAAAGGTCGATCAACATACTGACAAACGTTCCATACAGAAGACATGCATTGACCAAAACGAAACAATCACGGATGTACAAAAAGGCTAGTAGAGGGGTTGCCGTTGTTCACCAGAGGCGAGAACTCGACATGCTTTCCAAGCTGCTTAGGAAGCACACACACGAGAACACCTGCTTACTGGAAGTTGACCCTGCTAACAATATCATGGAACGCCTTGCCCTGAATCTCCGCAATCTCGAGTTCGAGTGGAGATGGCTGGCGCGCGCCGGTTGGTCCTGCGAATGTACCCGCTCCCCAGGGTGATCCTAAAGATAGGCAGAGTTAGTCGGTGAAATATATTGATACGAGGAAAAAGCGATGAGCAAGCGACAATGCCACGGTCACAAAAAATGACGACAACGTGAGGGAGGAAAGAAGCCTACGTACCTCCATGAACCTCCTCCAAGTTCGCGAGCAGAGGGAAAGCATGCGAGTACCCAAACGGCACGTAAAGGATACCGTGATGCGCGAGCGTAGACATGGTAGCGATCACAGTCGATTCTTGACCTCCACCATGCCCAGCAGTCGATACAAACACGCCGGCATACTTGCCTGCGAGCTTGCCAGTAGCCCACAGCTGACCAGTAGCGTCCCATAGAGCCTGTAATTAATCGCCGTCATTAGATTGATGATACAGAAGATACGAAAGACGGACCTTCCACTGAGCAGGCATGTTACCATACCGAGTAGGGATACCAAAGAGGAACGCATTGTACTGTGTCAAGACGTCGGGCGTTGCGATGGGGAAATCTCCCTTGGCAGGTGCATACATCTTGGTGAGGATTTCTTCGGGTAGGGTCTCTGGGACTCTACAGACATACACGCGCGTCAGCATGGTTTCACTTGAGAGGGCTAAGACAGTGAGACATACTGGTAAATGGTAGCTTTGCCCCCTGCTTTCTCGACGCCGGCTTTCTCAGCTTCAGCCACTAGTCGTCAGTCGATAGGTTAGTACGACGATGGGCGATGAAGTAGTAAGAGAAACGTACGCTTGACGACGTGGCCGTACATGCTGTAGATGATGATAGCTACGTTAACAGGAGCCATAGTAGTCTGCTGTGTTATTTCTGAGACGTCAAAAGGTTTGTGTGGTTGTGTAGACGAGGAAGGGAGGGTAGAAGCAGCGATGATGGGAGGTGGGGATTGTTTTTGGGAAAGGAGCGGTTGTGCTTCAGTCGCTTTTGTACCAGTCGTCGCACCATTTTGGGGTGGTTTCGTTTGGGGCTGCGTGTTTGGCCCGTCTGTAAAGTTGGAGCCCTGCTTTTTCGTTCCAAAGCACATGTCGATGTTCGGGATTAATGGTGATTACCGCTCTATAGATCCGTGATATTCGTTCGTAGGTCTTTTACTTATAAAAGAGGAGAGTGGTGAGGTTGGATACGCCGTGTGGGTTCCCGTGGGATGAAAAGGATCGATCGGTTTGTCGAGCATGACGATTATATCCAAGACATGTCGCGTGGCGGAGCGTTACAAAGCTGCGCATCATCCCATTTACGAGGACGTTGTCAGCGTTTGGCGGGGTGCAGACCTGCAAGAAGATTCACCCAGAGATGACTAACTCCTACCTATCTCCATTTGGGATACTTTTTCGCACAGGAATTGAAATTCAGCCATTGGCACCAAGTTAATGGATGACAAGAGACATGTATAGGTTCTATTTCGATAAGCGACGAGATGCTATTGAAAAGGTGAGTAATATGAGGCCTTGAGGTCACTCTGTCCCTTGTACGACGTCCGAGATACCCATCGCAGCGCTGTCTTGTCGTAGAAAATCAAGCAATTCTCCGAATTTCCAGAATGAATTTCAGGAAATCCGATCATCGATTTCTTGGATGGTGCATGTGGGACCGCTCGGTCTCCCAATATGGCAGAAATACCACATACTAGTTATTTTTGGCTGGGCGTCCATAAGCAATTGAGCTTCAGGATCGCTTTTATACGTCATCCTTGTTCGTACTCGTCAGGGGGTGGCTGAATGGATTCCCATGGACTCCAAATTTTATGGTGCATGTAAATGTTCTTACTTCAGCTTTCCAATCAACTCTCTTTCTAAGCCATTGCAGCCAACTCCCATCACCCCATCTATCGCTCCCCTCCACCTCGGCGTTCATCTCGGTAGAATTCTTCGTTTTCGGAGTACAGACTCACACGCATCAGTGAGTACGGGAAGCCAAATTTGGTGTATCTAGAAATATGTGTAGCGAGGGATACTATCCTTCCGGCGGTGATCGATGATCCATATGTACCTTCCAGAAAACTGGTTTTCTGGACGTACTATCTGTGAGTTTGAAGATTGCATTGGGGCTTGGCTGGAGCGGGAATTGGACAAGGGGGTAGCGGGACGTGGATCCCGAACCAAGGGTTGGGGGGGGGGGTGCTCGGCCGAAGGCCGAAAAAAAAGAGTGACACCCATCAATTTGGTGGCAGAAGTGGTCAGTGACCTGCCTGTTGCGACGTTGGATCGTTCTAGTAGATGTCCTAGCTGCTGTAGATACTTACTTGGCCATAGTAGACAGCGAGAAGCAATTTTGAACCCCCCAACATGTGGTGAAGAAATCACGGTAATGAATTTAACAAAAACATAGACCATGGGTACTATTGCTAATTGAGGTTGAAATAAGAGTCAAATTACGGCCAACAGCTTCATTGTGCAGAGTGTAATACAGATGTGCATGTTGGTGCCGGTGGGATGAGTAACTTGAACATGCATCGAGACTAGAAAACATGCAGAGAGAACAAGGCCGCCAACACGCGACCCCCACAAAAGAAAGAGAAGTCCTCAGCTTTTTTAACCAGAAAACCATACAACAAAATACCCCTCGAGTCTCACGGCAGGGGAAAAGGAAGAGAGAACTGTGGTTGGGTGGTGATGTGCAAAGCGCGAGGTTGCAAAACAGGCTGCCAGGTGCGTGCGCCGTGAGATTTGTCAAATGTTTTCGCGTTTTATGTAGAAAAAAATTTCTGAAAACATAAGCATGGGAAAAACATACTTGATTAGGAAGGTAGGGGTAGGTATGCTGTTAGAAGTGGTAAATAAATCGACGCGAAAAAAAACGCTTTGCGCGAGCAAGAAAAAAAAACACGAGCAGAAAAAAAGAAGGCATGTTAGATATGGGTGTAAGCCTTTTGGTAGTACTTTCCTTTGCGTTCCTTATAATTTCTTAAGAAAGTGAGGGCTAAAAAAGTACATAGACTTTGTTCAAATGGGCTTGAGGTATTGAACCTTTTGAAAAATTTGGGCTTGACATAGGATTGAACTTGTGGCTTCCGGAAGTAGGCACACCACATGTTATACTCAGAATGCAGCCCATTAGACCGTTACACCATAGCCGCATTGGATATCATAGAACATAGTTCAATACGTTACCACGAGTCAAGCTTGCTTTGTTTGGCGTGTCTGACTCCGTTGAATGTGTTCGAACTTTGGATCCTGTCTCAGTCTCGTCCTCCTACCTTGCACAATTCTGTTCAGCTCTTCTCAAGCAATGAAGGCATAATTTGACTAACAAAAGGTTCGTTCTCCACTTTGCATTTTCTAATTGGCGAGTCCCCTTAAGCGATACTTATAGTAACTTCTATCGAGGATAAGGCTACCATCTACTCAAACAACTTTGTTGTATTCTTGATGATCCAACGATCCTGGATGAGATACTCCAAGTCATCAAAGTCATCTCCTCCCAGGAAGCCGAGAGGTTGGCTCTCCTGTGGTTGCATTATCGGGCAGGTCTCATAAGCAACTCCAGATTTCAGGTTCCTGGATGTCGAGGCAACCGGTGTGTCTGGATCTAATTTAGCCTTCTTGCTAGGTCCGGCAGTAGGCATTGGTGACAGGGGTGCTACAGGATTCTCTTCCACATTGTCGTCCAAGTCCCAAAAGAGCCTTGTGGATGAGCGCTTGGTGGATGAGCGCTTGGTAGCAGCCTGGCTATCTGGAGCATTGTCCTGAGAGCTCTCATCTGGACCACTCTCGTGGTGGGTTTCATCGCGGGCATCGAACCAGGTTGTTGTATCGCTTGTCATCGTTGCAGTCACGTTGACTTCTTCTTTGCTCAATGGTCAGGCCCCCATCAAAGCGATACAAGAACTGCCCACCTTCATCAGAGCTCACCACAACAATGTCGGCCTTTCCTTTACCCTTTTTCAAGCCTGAGTGACAAGTGCTGTAAGTATCTTCTTGAAGATAGTGACTGTTATCTTACTGAGCCTTTTTGAGTGACGTTGCTTGCGCGTTGCTTCTTGTGCAATGTTCCCATCACTAATGTCGCTAATATCTTCGTTCAACACTTGCGCAAAGTCAGAGTCCTCGGCATTATCTGTTTCCGCCTCGTTGATGGGCTTCCCTAGCAGTAAATGTAAGTTCAATAATGTGTCATGTCGCTGTGAACTAAGCATACCGATGTCAGAAGCTGAATGATAATTTTTTTCTTTTATGCTCTTGCGTGTCCCTATCGGTAGGTGTAAAATTCTTTGTCAATCACCTTCTATAAAATCGAACGTACCGATCCAGATGTATGCCACATTTGGGGATACTCCCAGGCTTCCGCGGTTTTGATATGCCCGGGCACCTGTGAGCACTTGATCAGGAACGACGCTCAAGGTCCTCGCTTTTTTGGAAAGGAGGACATATGGGAAGCGAGGTGGGTTCTCAGCATTGTTGTCGACATCATCGATGGTTAAAACCCAGGGATCTTCTTTTGCCAGGATCTTGAAGAGGCCCGGCAGCTTCTCACGCAGGAAGGCATTCATCTTCTTCGGTCCCCATGCGAGGTTAAACCTATGGAGTCCAGCGCCACTTCCGAATGTAACTGCCAACCCATATTTTGCCTCAAGCTCCTGTTGGGCAGTCATGTCAGGTGCTCGGGTTTGCTTGAGTTGTCCGTCGCTCTAGGTCTCTTTTCAGCACATTTCAGCACTTCACACTCAGAACTTACATCTAGCCCATAGGTCACTGCAACGATGTTTCCAACTGCAGCTTTCTCATCATCGTCGACCTGTGCTGCTTTCTTTTTCTGTTGTGGTCGGACATTATCTTCCACAATTACTTCAGGTTCAAGTCCACATACCTTAGGTGCCACCGATCCTGATCGATTAGTTCGAAATCCCTTGGTTGCCTCCTCCTTGGCTGACTTGATAACATGTGCACCGACCATAGTTTCAAAGATCTTCTTCACTCCAATCCCATCATGTTGGCTTTTTCCATGGCAACATTCGAGGCAGAGCATTGGCTCCCCGTACGGAACTTCCTTTGGCTTGTCGAAGTGTTTACAGTCACAGGTAGTTCCATCGTTTAGGGTCTTCGTACATGTTCCCTGACCTCTCTCAGGTAGCGGACTCATGCTTGTAACTGGAGAGGAGGGGGGAGCAATGCAACGCAACAACGATTACCATTTTTTTTGGATTCAAAAAAACCGTGACTAATATGACATCATGAATCAAAGTCCATCCTCTCCCTCGCCATAAGTGTACCCTCCCGCCTATGCGTGTATCCTCTAGTAACTTTGAATAGTGCTGTATAGAACTATTCACATCAAATTAAGTTCAAGAATGCACAAGTTGAGGAAGAACTCACAGATAATGGTCTTTATAGATGTTTTGCCCCTTGCAAGTGAACGGTGAATTAGAATCGAGTCCATCTTTTCCCAACCTTAGGAAGTATTGCATAAAGCTATGGAGATTAATTTAAGCCCAAGAACGTAGAATTCGGGCGAGAACTTACTGAATAATATTGATATTATCCTCTAGACCTATTTTTGCCCAATACAAGTGAGCGACGAAATGCAACGGATGGGAGTATCTTCTCGTAACCTCGGGTAGTGTTGCTTACAGTTAATGAGATTAATTTGAGCCCGAGAACATAGAAATCGAGCAGGAACTTACAGAATAATATCAATACTTTAAGACCTAACTTGCCCCATTACTAACGGAATGGAATGGCTAGGCGAACCTTCTCATAACCTCGGGTGGTGTTGCGTAGGGCTAATAAGATTAATTTGAGCCCAAGAACATTGAATTTGAGCGAGAACTTACTGCATAATATTAATATTATCCTTTAGACCTATTTTCCCCCAATACAAGTGAGCGACGAAAGGGAACGGATGGGTGTATCTTCTCGTAACCTCGGGTAGTGTTGCGTACAGCTAATGAGATTAATTTGAGCCCGAGAACAAGAAATCGAGCAAAAACTTACTGGATAATATCAATATTATTTAAGACCTAACTTGCCCCAATACAAGTGACGACGGAATGGAATGGCTGGAGGCAAACCTTCTCATAACCTCGGGTAGTGTTGCGTAGGGCTAATAAGATTAATTTGAGCCCAAGAACATAGAATTCGAGCAAGAACTTACAGAATAATATTAATATTATCCTTTAGACCTATTTTCCCCCACTACAACTGAGCGACGGAATGGAATGGATGAGTGTACCTTCTCATAACCTCGGGTAGTGTTGCGTAGGGCTAATGAGATTAATTTGAGCCCGAGAACATAGAATTTGAGCGAGAACTTACTGAATAATATCATTTATTCTTTAGACCTATTTTGCCCCAATACAAGTAAGCGACGAAATGGAATGGATGGGTGTATCTTCTCATAACCTCGGGTAGTGTTGCGTACGGCTAATGAGATTAATTTGAGCCCAAGAACATAGAATTTGAGCGAGAACTTACTGGATAATATCAATATTATGTTTAAGACCTATCTTGCCCCAATACAAGTGACTGACGGAATGGAACGGCTGGAGGTAAACCTTCTCATAACCTCGGGTAGTGTTGCGTACAGCTAATGAGATTAATTTGAGCCCAAGAACATAGAATTTGGGCAAAAACTTACTGCATAACATTAATATTAGCCTTTACACCTATTTTGCCCCCAATACAACAAGCGACGGAATGGAACGGATAGCAAACATTCTCATAACCTCAGGTAGTGTTGCGTAGGGCTAATGAGATTAATTTGAGCCCAAGATCGTAGAATTTGAGCGAGAACTTACTGAATAATGTTGATATCCTTTAGACCTATTTTTGCCCAATACAAGTGACCGACGAACGGGAACGGATAGGCAGATCTTCTCGCGGCCTGAGGTAGCATTGTATAGAGCTATGAAGATCGATTTGAGCCCAAGAGCGTAGAATTAGAGAAAGAACTTACAGAATAATATCAAATATTATGTTCTGAACGTGTTTGGCCCCACTACAACTGAGCATCGAAGAAGGGACTGGCATATCTTCCTGTAACCTTGGGTAGTGTTTTGTGGAGCTAACGGGATTGATTTGAGCCTGAGAACCTATAACTCAAGCAAGAACGTACATCGCATTTACGACCCAGTGCCATCATGCACCCTCTCCCGTGCCGTGTTTCCTGCAGCCTCGTTCATGTGGTCCATCACACCACTAGTCTACCCTCCACATGTCCAGCTCCTTCCGTCACAAGGGATAGCCGTTGGTGATGTGTTTCCAAGGAAGGGAGGTGAGTGGAGGGCAGAGGGCAAGGGTGGTTGAGGTCGACGTGGCATGTTCGTGGTCCATCGTCGTTGTCGTCCATCCTGGTCACGGTCGTCATGGTCATGGTCACGTTGTGTTGGTCCGGCGTCGGCGTCATCATCGTCTGGTCGTGGTTGCGATCATCCGCTGTCTTCGTCTTCACGTCGTGGTGATCGTGGTCCGTCGTCGTTGTCGTGCATTGTGGTCACAAGCGTGTGGTCGTGGTTGCATTGTGGTGGTGCGTTGTTGCCTGTGGCGGTGACTGTTGCATCATGGTGGTACATCGCTGTCTGTAGTCATGGCCGTGGTGGTTCATTGTCTTCGTGGTCGTCCGTCGTGGTCCATTGTCGTCAACGAAGAAGGTCCACTGTCGTCAATGAAGCAAAGAGTGGGGAGGAGAGGGCTGGATAGATACCATTGAGGTCTGCTGTCTTCGTGGTCGTCCGTCGTGGGCGCATGGTCATCCGTTGTGGTAGGAAGAGGATGCCGCGGTAGTATTCAACGTGTCGGAGGCTGAGGAATGATTAGAGAAGCAAAAAGGAGGGAGAGGGGGGCCACTCACGCTAAGGTCATGCAGAGATCGCCGTTCAAGGGATGGTACTCACCGATTTATCGCAGAGTTTTCATGCCCGTACATTCGCTGCTGCCGTCATTGTCGACCATTGCCTGTGCACACCACCTTCACGTCGTCGTTCCAGGTCTTGAACGACGTTGAGTATATGTATCGACGTCCGCCAAAGGGGGGGTACGTCGACTCTGCAAAGGTACGTTAGTTTCCATGAGTGTTCAGGGTGGTAACACTGACTTGGTGAACGTTGCTTTTGCGCTAGTCATCGTCAACGGCGTTGACTATACGTATCGACGTCCGCCAAACGGGGGTACGTCGACTCTGCAAAAGTATGTCAGTTTGTGCCAATGTTTAACGATGGAAAACTTACTTCGTGAAGCTGCATCTACACCCATGGTTCGTCGTCGTCAACGGCGCTCTCAGCCCCTCGCATACCCACTACGCAGCTTGAAGACAGGTTCCACCGACATTCCGGCTCTTCGAAACAAGGAGGAAGACGTCCGTTTCGCAATTGGTTGGCAGGCGGTTTGCGGTGGGCAATGGGAAGAGTCAGAGATGCTGATGCGTTGAGACGAATGAACGCATGGAGTGGTTATCGATTCGAAAATGCTGGAAGGTGTGTTGAGAGTGAGTGGCGGGCGACGATCTGCCGCTGTCTTTCTGCTAAGGCTTTGTGTATGTTTCTTTTTTTCCGTCCTTGCATTCAGAGTGTTGATAGTGCGGAATTGTTGATAGTGCGGAACAGGCGTGGCTTGTCGTTCCCAGGTCGTTCTTGTTATGCTGAGGTTGTCGAGATTGGAGGGCGGCCAAACAGGTTCACGACGAGTCCATGCCTTTTGCCTTTGATGGAGTCGTCAGAGCCGATTTCGCGGTGGTGGGATTCGACGAGGGATTGGAGGAGGCTTTTACAGTCTTAGGGGAGGACGATGTTGGCGAATGCGTCGTTGTTCCAGTCTACGTCTTGGATCTTCTCGACGTCGAATTGCACTGAAATGCAAACATGAGGGTCAGTTACTAGGAAGAGGGAAATGAACATACATCAGAGTTTAAACGTTTATCGATATATTACTCAAGCTGGGCCCATACATGACCGTAGGCATGAGGATAAAGATATCAACTCTCGTCCGTGAGCGCTCCACATCCGTTTCGCCGTCTTTGATCTGGTTCTGCACCTGGTTGGCGGTATGTCATTGTTTGGCAGAACCATCTTGCTCAAATCACAATGAATACACTACACCCTCCAACCACCCTCTACAGTCTGCCTGAGGCACCCGGCCGTTTTCCGTTACTCATCTGGCTGTGAGCAACGCCAGTGAGTACTAGGACTCGGAGGGTAGGACCACTCACAGAAAGCAATGTTTCCAATATCGTCACCCCCTGCTCATTAACTCCCCTGCTTCCACAACTACGCGCGGGTGTTAAAGCCTACACTTTGCTCCCGCAGCGACCTTGCCGAGCACTGTAGCGTGAGGGTCAGCTGCAATCCCTCTCAACTCATCATCATCATCTCTTTCACACACAGCCACTCTCATACACACGGATGAACAGGAAAGGGAGAAGGAAAATGTGTCACATACCCTGAGGAAAAGTACGTTCTTCTGCTTTCCAATCGATCGTCTCCCGTAATGAAATCCATCCAACAGCTACATGGGTTCCTATACCCCTAACCATAGTCTGCAAAGCTCGTGTCTCACTCCCACACCCCGCCCAAAATGCCACATTACTCACCCATGATGCATCATGCTCCCGTGGCCCCGGGGACGGTGTTTCTCGATGACCCAAACATCTGGGACTTCAAGTCCCATTGGTGTTTTGCCGATGCTGCGAAGTGCTATTTGGACGTGGAATGCCAGAGGCCTCAGCTGAGCGTGGTGCACGCATTGGACTTCCTGGCTGGCTTTCACGCTTCTCAGGGGGATCAGACACTTGGGTTTCTCTATTCTGGTCAGTCGCCTTCTCACTTTGTGAAGATGCTCTTTGAAGATAGAGATTGTGATACAGGCACGACTGCCCGAATGGGTCAAGCCCGTTAGTAGTTTCCCTGTATAATCTGCAGCGCAATGTCTCTAAAACTTTTTCATCACAGTGGGTCTAGGTGTTGATTGCCCGGACTGGGTCAAACTCGGTCTCATCGCCGAGACTGAGAGGCTTGACTGAAATTGGGCGCACTGGACCACACTCGCACAGGTTAGTCAATCTTTCATCGCTCATGAATGACCCTCTTACATTTTCTTAGGACATGTGCTGGTCCCTGTACGTGGGACGAGACTTCTGTGTCACGCCCCCAATGAATTCACCTGTCCCTGTCGCTTTTGTGGACACGGATTGCGCTGCATGCTGCGACTACTGCTGGTTACCCCCCACATCTGCATTCGCCTCCTCTTTCCCATCCTTGTCACGATACCACATGGCTTCACACGGACACACATTCTCGCCCGATGCCCTTGCTAGGAAGCTGCAGAATGTTCAAGCAGCTGAATACCCATCTTCGCGATTTGCCCCTTCGACTTCACCTCCCTCATTTCAGCAACCACATCACATTCCATCCTTCGCATCTCGAACATCTTTAGAGACATTTAACCCTCCTGGTGCCCTGAGAGCAAGCAGGAGTCGGAGTTTGAGAGACCCACCACCTGCCTACACACCGCCGTCACACAAGTCACCATCCAGCCCTCCGCCGCTGCGTATAGACTGTATCAACCACAGCTGTACCTCCCTTCCCCCATCACCATTACGAGGAACAATACGAATGGCTCCACGAACCTCCACATGCTTACCTCAGTCATGATATCGTGCCCTTCTTCCAATTGAATCAGTTTCCACTGCATCTAACCAACATATCGCCTCTTTTATCCACCACATCGGCATCCACATCGCGCCCCACCCTGCCTAACCAACCGCATTGAAGTTCCATGGTTTACGATTTGTAGTACCTCGTCCAGGCCTCTGCCGCTACCATGTGTTGGGCAGCTGCATGTGTCGATATCTCGCCACTGGCACTCCCATCACCAGAACATGAGCTCACAGATCCCATGCATGGCGTGACTGCCTCCATTCCTGGCTCTCACTCTCGCAGTTTACTCCTTCGCCAGCTCTTTCCTGGTGGGCTGGTGGATATTGCGATTGAGCTGAGAGAACCACCATATACCCTCCCCACAGATGAAGAATGTGGAGGGATAACGGGCACATGAGGGTCAGGTGTTTCTCGCGTCATTGAGAGGTCTGAAGCATGGCCCCGGATCTTTGCAGCTCAACATCCACGTCTCTGTACCTTGTCATCCGAAAACGTCCGTCCAAGCCATATCCGCAATCTTCGCCGTGAATGTCAGTGACGCGAACCTCGACCCATTCATCGTCCACGCCACCTTGATCTGCCCTGGGGCTACACACCAAACCGAAGCTGGGCATCTGTATCGTCTGAACATCCCAACGAACGACATCAGGTGGGAGGACACTGATTAGACCAAGAACGTACTTGGCTTCAACACCCGAGGAGAGGTGGTGGGGGAGGGGTCGAGATTGGGAGGTGCAGGCACATTGCCGGAGCGGAGGAGGGTGGAATTTGAGGGAACTGCAAAGGCCAGCTGTGGCTGACCATTGGCTGCATTTAGGGGAAGGAGCAGGCGAATGTAGGCATGCAAGCAAACACACTCGGACTCTAGTAAGTAGTAGAGTCATTCAATAAGTCACCTTCCCCTCCAAGTCCACGAATATGCACATCTTTTGGCCCACTGCCAACCTCAATTGCAAATGCGGCTTCCTCAACAATGTCATTTACCCATTGCCTGACCGAGCCACTAAGTTTCTTCAACAAACCATGTTCGCCATCATCCTAAGTGTCGCTAACCTCTAATAACAGTGACAACTGTGTCATGCAGTCCAGAGCTCGAACCCAAACTTCGGCTCTGGCCCTCCAGACACCATCTGGTAAGTTTACACGTAACTCTTTCCGTTTCCGTCCAGTTCTGAGCAGCTCGAAAGCTGGATATTCGCCATCTTCCCACTCATCCTCGCACATTCCGTAACCTTTTGGAACTAAACCTAGTTCTTCCACCTGACCAAGACCTGCATAAAAAATTGGTTCGTACTCTCCATCGAATGGGCAACCGTTAGTGGGAACTTCTGTTGGGGCATGTCGAACGTGATGCTCTTGATCTGCAGCAATGAGATCTTCAAGACTATCGGGCTCTAAGTCACCATTGTCGTCCTCTTCCTCAGGAGGATTTCCGGCACCAGTTTGATGAGGTGCGCGGATGACTCGGTGTCTCGTGGTACCATAAAATCTCTCTAGCACGCTTGGGCGAACACCTTCAAATTCATCGTCCAAATAAAGTCCATTTTCTGTTTGACCAAGAAAGCGTAGATCCTATCCATGATATAAATGAGCAGTGATAGATTGTTTAGAGTCAGGGACCTACATTTGGGCTGCGATCATTTGTGTCAGGTCCTGAAATTGGGTGAGCATTCCACTCATCTTGAAACCGGCGGCAGTCCTTCTTGATTGCAGGTAAGAAAAGCAGGTGCAACAACCAGAGATGATGAGGGTTCTTTCTTTCAAGTTTGTGGAGACGCTCAAGCCTCGAAAAAAATCCCCTCCAAGCACGGGCAAATTCTCTTCCGACTTCAACCCACAGACGTTCTATTCTTGTGTTACGAGTGGACCTAGAAATGGTAGGTCAGCTGTGTAAGTAACTTGATTAAATATATAGCACTGACGATCCCCACATGAAGGATGCTCGATTTGGTCCTTTGTGGACAATCATATGGACAGCAAGCTCCATGTTCTCGCCACCCTGGTCCCCACGCATTCGTGAGGGCATTCCAAACTCTTCAATAGCATTACGAAAAACAGAGAGTACTGTCGATCCACGGTTGTTGTCATTAGCGTCCATACCTGTCACCTAGATCGGATGTCATCAGCTGCCGGTGCACTTGAAATCAGCAAATCTGGTTGTTGGAACTTACTGTCCGACAATAACCATCAGTCATCCTGTGAATTACGATGCCCCAGTGAATGAGTTTGTGGTGTCCATCGCAATGCCAAAGTGCATTAGGCCGTGGAGATGTATATATTCGCCTCTGAATGGCAGCTCTTTGGCGTAAAGTTTGGCCAAGTCCATCGATTCGACGAATAGCTAGGGAAAGGCGCTTCCGCTGAACACGAATGCCTCGCGTTCGAAGTGAACCCACAAGATAACGGACCCCAGAATCTGGTTTGCTCCGCTTGTACTGTCTCACCAAGTCATCGAGTTCGATATTCGACATGTTGGAAAAACTGCGGTGGATTCCGTAAAGTTTCATGTAATATTTGAGGGTATGACGATCGATGTTTAGCTGCCTTGCTAGCTTTGAGACTGAGATGTTTCGTCGAGTTGTCATAGCTTCTTTCACATATGCTGGATCCACAACTTTGCGCGGTCGCCCTCGACGACGATTATGCACCACAGTGACTGGTGCGAGGTGTCCAATGCGTGTAGAAGATCTTTGTGGACTGATTTTAGCAATCAAGCTTGCATTACGAAGCAAAGGAGCATACAAATCATTAACACTTTCAATGGCAGCTTTCAGGTGAACGGCCAATAGGCCCAGAACAATAGTAGTCTCCTCAAGCCAGCCCACTGAAATCTGCTCCATCTGTCGGCTTTCTTCCATTGCCACCAAAATAGGAAGAGTGTTGACAATGATCTCAAGATGAAACTTAAGACGAACCGGATCTGCCTCCTGGCGCAAGACAGTGTGAGCACGATCATATGCATTTTTCACGATCGCCCTTGCTGCTTCAGCATTGGCTGACCAAGGCGGTTGGTTTTCTCTACGCACAGGGAACTTTGGAATGGTTGCCGGTAATGCAGGAAGGTCCATTCCATTAGCTGAGAGACCAGAGTCAACGCCGAAAGTGATCGACGAAAGTGATCGACGAATCATTACCAAATTTTATCGACTACTTACTACACCAAAATGTCGCTTCAACCCACCGAAGCCAAAACTACCGATCCATCAGCGCCAAAACGATCAGAGAGGTTCTACAAAGAGCACGGAAATGTGATCATATGTGTAAGTCTGTCTCAACCCCCAGAGAAAAGTAACTTACCAGAAAATATAGGTCGAGAATGTATTATTCAAGTTGGAACGAGGAGTGCTGTGTGACCTTTCACCAGTTTTCAGAGATATGTTCTCCTTGCCATTGCCAAATGAATCCATCGTTGGGAGCATACAGAGGTCAGGTGCATTCCAGGTGGAGGGAGGGCAGGATGAGTCCCCAATTCACATTCCAGATACCACTGCAGAAGAGTTTGAGCATCTTGTCATGTTTTGTGTCTGCTTCACGTACGTACACACCTTTCGCTCCTCCACCACCTGTCAACCCTAATCCTCCAAGCTCCAGGTGGACCGAACCCCCTCTACCGGTCATTGTATACACCGATGTCTTGAAGCTCGCACACAAGTTCCAACTCTGCGATGATGTCAGAAAGAGCGCGATCTATGCGCTTGGCCAATATAAGGAGAGAGACCTGACACCAATTGAGCGCTTGCGACTTGCGCGTCTCTACGACATCCCATCCTTCATTCGGCCAGCTTTCCTCTCACTCTGCCGTCTCTCCACGAAGTTATCTAGTTTGTCCAACCTCGACATCCATCACATTGGCCTGCCAATATTCGGAGTCTTGGCAAAGGTTAAAGAGGCAATATCTCAGGAACGGTTGATAATCGCCTACCATGCACCCGCAGTTGATGCTCTGCCAGGGCTTTCAAATGATTGCAATGAGAAGCAACATGTTTCCTGTCTCAAGATCTGGAAGATAATGTGGTGGAGTCGAATTGGAAGGGGCATTCTACAGCCATCGGCACTCTGGGCCATGGACTTCCCAGATGGCGTGATAGACACCGTGAAGGAGCTGGATTTGACAGGGATAACACCGAGCTGTGGGAAAGCATTCGTTGACTTTGTGTGTGCCAGAGCTGATGCACTCACCGGGCCCAAAAACTACATTGAGGAGGGACTTGTAGAACTGGAGAGACTTCTTTCCCTAGGGCAGTTGTAGTCGAGTACGATACAGAGTTTTCGTGGCTGTGTTCTCAACTTTGAAGCTGCGACCGTGACATCTACAAACATGTCAGATTCTACGGAACTGAGCAGTACTGCGACAGCTTGAACGTATCAGGAACACAACAATGTACCTAGTCTCCCTAACTGAGAACAGCAGACCGAAATCTGCCCACCCGATTATTTTTTTTACTCACGCAAGTTTTTTTTTTGCGCGGTGATTTAATTACCACTTCAAACAGCATAGGTAGGGGGGTGTCAAGCAGGACTCTGAAAAAAAAATAACGAGTGTTGGTCTCTTTTCCACATTCCGCCACCCCCTTGGAATTGGAGCGATTTTTCTCTGGAGGCACTCAGCGGAAGGGTCCCAATAAAAGCAGGCTACAGACAGCTGGAGCTAAAACTCCATTGTTTAAGCATTTCTGGAGGACCGTAGAACGCTCTGCTCATTCTCTGAAAGGAAGAAAATGCGCCCATTATAAGTATGTAGATTCGATTTTGTCGGCAAACGTTTAGTCTCGACACCAGCCGTTATTGGGATCGTATTACTCACCATAACATTACCCGCCTTATTCTGATCAAATCCGGACTCGTCCATCGAAGCCCTCTCCGTCCCTCCCCTAGTACTTAACATTGTGAATTGAACCCGTTAGAGACTGGTTCGAGTCTAGCAAACGTTGGCATACGAGGCTAGATAAAATTTGGCCTTTCCACTAAAGATTATCCGTGAAAAGAATTAGAGAAATTGACCAAAATTCAACCGATTTCACTGGGACGGTGCTAATGCATATACCTAAAAACGCAGCCCAGGCCTTGTGTTCTTATTCATTCGAGAATGACGTCTCCAAAGGAGCTCTGCAATCGGTCAGTCCTAAATTTAAAATTAGCACCACTGCGGAGACGGGGTGATTTTCTTAGTGAGTAAATAATTGGACACATGACGATCAGAGGCAATGATTTCCTTCACATCTGTACGGCGAGTAAATTTTAAATAAATCTTGTTCGTTTTTGTACGTAGTCAATACGGTAATGTAGTCCATAAAACCAAACCGTTGAGGATACGCCCGGCTTTGCGGATTAAATTTGTACAAACGACAAGCTGATATAGGAATCAATTTGTGTAAGGGTTTCCTGTCAATAATACGCTCGCTCTTTCCCGTGAGCAGGCGCGCTGGAAAGCGCTAGGAGACATCGTCCAAATGACTAGAGGAGGTAAAAAGAAAAGACGAGAGCTGACTCCACTGCGTGCGGAAGGAGTGTGAGAGATTGGGAACTTGCTGAATGCAGCCACGCACGTTACTTTACATATCTCAAACCTTTCCTATATATCCTCGTCCCTTTCTTCCCCTTCGTATGCAAAAGAATTGTTCGATTTAATCTACAGGATCCGTATGGTACAGGTGAAGGTCCGATAGATGTAATTGTACGACAAGCAAGATACTACATGGTTCCGTGATCGAAGGAGTCCGTGGCTCTATATACTATAGTTCAGAAAGTTCCTCAATCAACATTATCAGCACCGATCCAACCCCACTTAACCATCCTAACTACACCATCATGCCAACTCTCAACTCTCCTCTGAGCAATGAGCGACATAGTTGACCCATGGTTCCCCACAAATCCCAAGCTGCCAGATTGAACTACTGCATCGATAAACACCGGGAACCTGTACCACGACAAAAACAAGACAAGAAACGTCATCCATCCATCGGGACTTTCAAATCGGATGAGAGAGAATTGGTGGAAGGACGTACCATTCACTACCAGCCCCCTCATCTGCCCTCACAGCGGCTAAATCCATCCTATACCACCCCCGCGCCTGAACCTCGTCCCACCACCCGACATCCTTCTCGTCGCTCGTCATAACCACATGCTTCACATCCACACCCTTCCGCGCAAGGATCTCACTACGCACCTCCTCAACGCGACGCGCGATAGCCTTGATAGGGGCAAAACACCTCGTGAGGAGTTGATGTGTCGTGAGGTTAGGCGAGCACGCGCTTTTAAAATCACCGTGTCGTGCGTGGATCGTTATCCACTGATTGCCACGGGTGATGGATGCGTTAAAATTAAATATGAGGAATGCTGAAAGGCGCCCGAAGAACTCACGGGTGGTGTAGGCGTTTGGGGGTCTGTGACGCCAAAGGCCCGACGGATATATTTATCTGCAATTTGTTCGATCCTGGGAGCCCAGCGCATGTATTGCCCGACGAACCGCCACGCTGGGGAGTAGTCAAACTCGAACTCGAACGCCTAGGATCATCAGTGTTTTTCTTCTCAGGAAGAGTATACTGGGACTGACCTTACTCGCGCCGACATAAAACAAGTAATCGTAACAGAGCATCTGGTCGTCTGGGGGCAAGGTCACCTTTCCGACGTCCGAAGGCATTGGAGCGGCCAGTGCAGATGCCTCCGCGCGTCCATGGGGAAATCCAAGTGATGCGAGGGGCCAGAATGTCGCGTGCAAACCGTCTTCGGACAATGGTTCAAGTTTGACATACGGTGGAGCTTTCGTGTAAGAGATATCTGTCGACGAGGGTCGTGAATAACCTCAGCGCAAAAAAATATGGCAAGACTAACCCAACGAAAGCATCATCGGGATAAAGCTATTTCTTGGATCCTTGTGCGCCTCCCTTACAGCCTGCCAAACGCTCCAACAGCCTAATTCATCCATCTCTTCGACATTATTGGGAAATGGGCGAGGCCACCCCGATATATTTTTGACCTCGTGCCATTCTAATATGGGCATACGCAGGGCTTGGCTGAGTCCCCGAATATCAAAGACCTCGCTGAAAGCTACGGGGATGGCAGAGTTTTCGTCGGTGATTAGGGAGGGGATGAATGTGGAGAGGACAGGGATGCGATTGGTGAGCATTCCTAGGTAGATAAGGTTCATCTAGGGGGCATGGGTGAGAGGTGTCGTTGGGGATCGGGAAGTATGGGGACTCACGAAAGTCATTACGTCGTTAGCTTCGATACGAATGAGGATTAGTAGATGAGAGAGGAGATGAATATGAAAATCATACTCCATCCCGCCGATATCCAAGATGTTATGTATTTCATATCCGAGCGCAGGTTATCTATGTCCAGCCAGTGAGTAAGATCACAAACTAAAGATCCCCTCACATATAAGATCACCCACCGCGAAAGTGATGCGTCGGCACCCCATTCAAATACCGACTCGAGTCAAACTCAAACCCATCTTCAGCCTCTACGATAACATGCGCCGTAGGCTGGCCATTCAGGGAAGATAAGATGCTTTGCGATCCGAGTTTTGAGAACGCAGAGGTGTGCCCAGTGATGATGAAAAGAAAAACGGATACGACGCACGTGGCGAAGATGAGGAACCGGCGGGTGGGGAGGTGGGTCATGGAGGAGGAGGAGGAGAAGGAAAGGAATTTGGACGGACAGAAGTCATGAGGCTGGGGTATGGCACTAGTAGGGCTGTGTGAAAAGTGTGGGAGAGGCCGTTGTTGATCCTAGAAGTGCAGGCGTTAGCAAAATAAAAATAAATACGGATCCACATAGATAGACGTGAAAGTAGTCAAAAAAAATGTAATCTCTTCAGAAAATCTGCTTTTCACGAACTTGGAGTACATAGTTGAGCCGTTGAATTATTTTTTTTTAAAACCGATAATGAGAGTCCGAATAAAGCCGTGCTCATCCATTACGTCAACTTCTGTAGCCTAAAAATAAATACCGCCAGGTCGACTTCTGAACCTCCGCCCGGTGGCTTTGAAAGAAAAGGCGCCAAATGTATCTATCAAGTACGTTACATACATTAACTGATTTTCTTTTTATTTCTGGAAGGACCATGATAACCCGAACAATGGATATTAGGGCTACATATGGACATAAGTATGCATAAAAAAAGAGGTTATATAAACCAGTATGAACAATAAGCAAATACTATATGAAAAAGAATGCGGAGGGCATATTGCCTGAAATATTTTTAGACTTTACATATCGAACAAAGGCAATTCTGAGATCCAAACGAAACAGCCAGAAGCTGACCTTGAAGCAACTGAGTACCGTACGCGCGTAATGCCCTCGGCGACGAATGGTACCAGACCTCGATCTACAATTATTCGGATGATTTAGAGAAGAAGGTGGTCTAGAAGCTGATCTACTACCGAATGACGAAGTACTTTACCATGTCTTGTCGAAAATGAGTCTCGCGGCCCGGGCGTGGGCGTGTCATATTTTCACGGAGCGGAAGATCCGGTTCTAGAAGAACGCCAGGCAATTGTCCCGCTAGTGTTCGTTGTTGAGTATATCTCGGACGTGGTGTCGTCACACAACCTTCAAGAACGTGGGGACGTTAGTACCGTGACGGCTTTGCTTGTCAAAGCCCTTCGTGAGGATGAACAAAGCAGGTGTTACTCACCAAGATGTGGGTTTGCGGAATATTTTGATTGGGTCTAGATGGGCGGTTGTAACTTGTGGTTGATTTTGAAGACACGAAGACGCGGCCGCGGGGATGGATGAACGCGCTATGGGCGAAGGATTGCGGTGAACTGATGAGTCCAGAGTTGATGTGAAATCGGACAGGACTGATATAGTTTGACTTGTGATTCAAGTCGAAGCGGGTTTATTCAGTGCTTGTGGTATGCTCATTAGAGCCCGTTCTTGCAAAATTCAAAGCTTTTTATTCCCTAGTGAGCAATGAGTATACGATGGACTTGGAGGACAAGTTTTCTGCATGGGTATTATGGAGTCGAAATTCCCGGTGACCCACGAGTCATAGCTTGTGTTCAAAAGGGATGACCCAAATATCGTAGTGTTATAATTATTTGACTTGGATTCGAGTCCATCCTGGTACGAGGAAGACGAACGAGGGGGTGGAAGACTTTGGTCGGCGAAGTGAAGGCTGAAATTGTGACTCGTTTCTGCTAGTCGGCCGCAAGTCGGCCGCGAGCGCGCTTTCGGCCGTTGAGAACGCCGAGGAGGACGTTTGGATATCTATTCCAGCGGGTCAGTTAGTGAGGATACCGTTTCTTAGGGATGACTCACAAGCCCCCGAGGATATCAACTACACTCCAACTTCCTGTTGGATGGTGTTCGAACTTCGATGGACATCTAAAATAGAAAATGAGTTGAAAGAGGGTTGCGGCGAGGGTAACGGCGCCGGTCTCCAGGGTTACGATAATGAGGCAGTCGACAACGCGTCTGGTCGCATTGAATGTGTATTCGAGCTTTCAGGGAGCGAAGGTGGTGAGCAGATATACGAGCTTCAGCGATAAAGATTCACTCCACGGACGATGGCAAACCCCGACAAAAACCAAGTGACGCGTTTGGTCTGCTTGATTGTTGCGAGCCATCACCCTTCTAACATTCCTGCTCCCTTTGAATGTAGGAATCGCTCAGGCTACGTATCCGCCTCCTAACTACCGTCGCGATTACGCTTTGAGAGAATTGACGCTTGTTGCCTCTTCTCTAATCACCTTCACTAAGAAAATTTGGGTTGGTGCATCTGGATTGCTCCTCTTCGTACTAAGTATGCTGTTATCCGTGTTGAAGAAAAAACGCCACTGACGACAACTTGGTATCTGAGTGAGGAAGAAAGGTTATAGCGGCGCCGTCGCGGTGGTACTTAATCCGGGAATCCTCAGCCTCCAATCTCTTCATCTCCATTCTCAGCATCGCCAAAATAAGAAAAAGGGCCTCCGTCTGGGGGAAGGGATTCTGGGTGGTGAAAGTAGCGAGTTTCGAGCTCCTGAAAACACGACTTCTATAGGTGGTGAAGATAGTCTGAGTTGAATTGTTTGAACAATCAGAGAGTGATTTGGTCTTCGGAGAGTGGTTGGACTGCAACAACTTCCCGATTCCTCCCGGATTCCTCAATGAAGTTTGAATCAATAAGCGCGTCTACGAACGCATCGACGAACCTTCAACCGAGGCCCATGTACCACCGTTGCTCCCTGACCTCTGCGTTTGGAGGAAGATGTGTAAGAAGTAGGAGTGATAGAGGTAAATCGTCAAGGGCGTCTTACCCAAAAATGCTGAGCCCAGAATGAAGGGCGAGGAATGCCTACAATATCTTGATCTTCTTCACTGTGAATTTCGATGCTGGAACCAGAAGCGCGTCCGCAATGTTTTGTCACGGAAAGACGGTCATGGCTTCTCCAATATCAGCCATTGAAAAAAAGGTTAGGTCACCGAGCCGTTGATAGCTTTCCGAGGGTTTCTGCTTGTGAGTATTAACGTTTTTCATGAGCGAAGACACCACTAAGTCGAATTGTCAGTGAAAGACGAGACTAGGGTCGTCGCACTGTCACATGCATCATTGCAACAAACCCAAACAACTTTCCTCTCTTCTATGGTCAACAACTCGCATTCAAAATGTATGACTTCATTCTATTCAAAGACGACAGAATATGTATAACCATGCCCAAAATCTGCCTTGAGTGATGCAACTCTGGAGCGTCGCCAGATGCAGGTGAACTCGTCAATGATTCTCACTACTAGGTCGAAGCCACTTGGTCTGAATCTTAGTCTCGACAATGCGTTTAACAGGGAAATGGTGAGAACCATCCACTCCGCACTTTCCAGCAGTTGTAATTGACCCTATCTAGCGATACCGCACATGTCCGAACCCGCGCCCCTCCCGCCTCGACTTCTTGACCGAGTCCCGATTGTGTCCGTTCCACACAGTTTCGTTACGCCGGCAGGACTTCCATCGTTCTCCCGCCACCCATCTTCGGTTTTGCGGGTAAGAATCCGTTGCGAATGTTCAAAAAGAACTGTGTACTGAGTATTGACCAGGATTGTGTAAAAGCCGAGTTCCATCAGATAACTCCAGGATATGCGAGAAATCTTCAACAATGAAGACTACCAACATCACCAAAGGGAGATGTTTATGGCGACAGCCATAACGGACGACGAGTGCGACGTATCTACTTCACACTGCACGGTACACCCTGGAACCCTCACGTCTCCCTACCCACACATCATCAGGGCAATGCCAATGTCCCTCTTTAACTGACGGCACTGGGTCAGGCTTCGAACATCTACTCTTTCTACTCCATTGTTTTCATGCACCTCAAACATCTCAGCCCCCCTCCAACTCGACACGACACCAGATGCTTCGAACATCTACTGACCCCACTCTATCTTCTTACACGTCGAAGGTTTCAGCTCCATCTAGCTACATATCGTCACCCACGTCGATCTTGCTCTTGAGCCACCATAACAGGTCCTCTGTACTCTCGCGCACAGCCCCGATCTGATCCAGTGGTGCAATTAGCGAATTCATGAATTCTTCCCGCCGTTCACGACGAACCTGTTCATTTGCAGTGGTTATCTTCGAGATGCTCCCAAGAAGAGGTTGTGTCACTCCGTTACTGATCAACAACCACAACCGACCCTTCTTATCTTTTCAACTTTCAACCCTGATTCGTCATCGCACAGAGCACCGTTCGATTCCTTGGTTGATTTAGGAGGCAGCTGCTTCCTTCCTACAACATCGCCCAGCGGCCGGTCCTCCCCTTCTCCAACCGTCTATTCCAGCTGCAGCTCAGGAGACCAGTAGTTTACAGAACCAGTGGACGAACTTGGTTTTACTAGACTTCAGCTCTCCCTTGACGCTTGCACCTTGCGAGGTTTCAAATTTTCAAAGATCGTCTTGAAGACTCTCATTCGGATTGAAGGAGGTTCACGCGGAGGTTAAGGTCAAGCCCCTCGTTGCAAGGGTCGAAACATATTCGGTCAAGCCCCCTCGACGTCCCAGGCGTGTTCAACAATGAGTGAAGGGGGACTTCCGACGTTCTGCGAAAGACGGTGGGTGGGCATACTACTGAGGGGTTCTGGGCGTGGAGAGAGTTGGGGCATGGCATGTGGTGGTTTGAGTAGAATTTGGTGGTTCCCATGCGTTTCACCTTCGCCATTGCTGGAGTGCTGATCTTTGGTTGCCTATACTGGTTCTGGGAGGGGCGGCTCTTGTGCTTTCTAACTAAAAAAACCGTTAGTCTTTCATCTATGTGCAGGGAGGCTCTTGTGCTCACGACCCAACCACATATGTTAGTTAGGTTGTTTCGGGTCGAACCGCCGAGAAAACAACGATTTCGATGAGGTATCTCTGCCGTCCTTTTTGTCACGTTCCAAGGATTGACTACAGTCGGGTTTTAGGACCATTAAAGGCTCCCTTTGGCGAGCATTCTGCGATGCTTCTTGCAATGGCTAGCCGTCAAACGGAAGGTCACTGTCTTTAGACATTTGTTTGGGGCGACACACAGGCTGCATCGACGGTCTATGCTCTGATAAATGTGCAAACTCTGTTCCAGAATACTGTACAACATGTTGTCATGTGCGTTGATAAATATATCTTCAATCCTCGACAAACCTGTCCCTATGAGCTATAATCAAATCTATTGCTTCCTTTGAGCGAGGTTTTATGGTGCACTTGAACGGTACCGGACGCCTGTCCACACAAACATCAGTCACGGTTTTGAGGAGGGGATATGAAAGTATGTTTGGAAACTCACATGATAAGGCCTGAAGTATATTCAAGCCCAGGTTCAACCTCTTTCCCAGATTCATCAAGCCCTTTGGTGATATCAAATGTTGCCAGCATTGATGCGGCAACTAGCCAGAGGGTGGATTGCGCGATGTGACTTCCAGGGCAGATTCTGATTGAGATCATGTTAGCGGAGGCTCAAAAACGTCGGAAGGGGAGATGGGAGGGAACTAAACTGTGGAACAAGGGGAGACAACGAGGAAGGGAAGAATCACGCACCTTCTTCCGAAGCCAAACACCATCCGGGCAGGATCCAAAACATTGGGATCGAGCTGCCCATCTTTGTCGAGGAACCGATTGGGGTTGAACTTCTCCGGTTCGACATATTCATTATCGTCATGTAGCATTGCCCTATATGAAGCATCAGAGTGCCCCTCCAACAAGGGTGGGAGTACGTCCGTACCAAGAATTGGCAATAATAATGGAGTTTTTCGGGATGTGATATCCCTCATATACATCGTCTTCACTGGCGAGATGGGGAATGCCTAAGGAAAACATGAGGTGGGTGCATCCCGATGATACTACTCTGAAGTCGGAAACATACCAATGGGCGCTGAGGGCCGAAACCTTTTGAGACGAAATGAACGTCAGCAATAATCAACCATCAGGAGAAAATTTGACAAACGAACCTGAAAACCTCCTTGACCACAGCAGAAAGGTACGGCATATCCGCTTCATCTGCAAAGTTAGGTAGTCTGCTTCGTTCGACAACCCGATCCACCTCTTCCTGTGCCTTGAGTTGAATATCTGAAAAGTTGATCATTGCCAAGATGAAAGTCTCTACTGCGGACAATGTTGTGTCGGCTCCACCTTCGGAGGAGCAATCAATGAGGGAAAGTAGAAGGTGAGAGGGTCATACCGCCGAAGACCATCGCAGATGTATCCTGTATAACCTCTAGCTGATGTTCTGCATCCACCGAGTTCCCGTCCACATTCTCAATGCACGCGGATGTGAAGCATGACTGCACGGTGCCTGCCGCCTGAATCAAAGGCATGAGCGGTCAACCCGGAGCAAATGAAGGACAGTCATCACTATTTCCTTCAGGCAATCATCGAAAGGACGCTCTCTGAATTTCTTTTGTAAAGCGTGCCATATTTTTGCTTGCCTTTTGAAACCTGCGCCAGGCATCCATTCCGGAATATGCTTAAGGGGTGGGATAAGGTCTACAAGTACCCGACCGCTCACAGTCACCTGCGTAAACGTTCCGAGAGCTTCTTCTGCGATGCGGATGTGTGGATCCTCGCGGGGTAACACTTTGATTCCGTACGCTAGGGAAAGGGCCATGCCGCCTATGGTACTATTATCACACGGCAAAAATTTTAGCCCTTTCCCATGATGACGGGAAAATCGCAGTATCTCACGCACTGTTTGAGAGAATCCGCATAGTTCTCGGGATCAGCTAGAAGCTGCGGGAGCAACATACCACGGATATATTCGAGTTGTCTTGGTTGGTGTGTGGTGGGTTTTCCGGGGTGGAAGTAAGATTGGAACAGTCGGCGGCGTTCTCTCCAAGATTCACCGTATGGCATCGCCGACATGAGCCAACCCCATCCCATTCTTCAGGGTTCTTTTCTTAGTGCGAGTGATAGAGGGTACAAGGCGTTAACTCACAATTCGGAGATCATGGTAAACCTAGTCCTGTGAGTTGCAGGGGGTAGTTAGACCAGGTTGTACTGAAGACTTCGATACCCACCGACTAGAGTAGATTGCCGACCGTTTATCCAGGAGCTCGTTCGCAGCCTTGAACGAGTTGAGAATGATGATGTCCACGCCTACAGCTTGGATGTGGAGGATATCCGAGTCTAGCTACGGCGTCAGGACAAGGAAGTTTGAAGACGGGAGTTTGAATACAAACCATATTCCTTACTCCAGCGAGCGTAAGTGATCCACTCGAAGGTGGTAGGTATGTCCAACAAGTTTCCAAGAATCGGGAGCTTCTTCGGACCAGGGGGTGTCGGCAAAGATATCGATTTCTTCTTCAGAAGCCCCCACAAGGCGATAGCTACAGCAAGCCCAGTCGCTATCACCTCCAAAGAATGCATCTTCCTAAGCGCAATAGCAAAAGAAGCGGAGAAGAGCAGCGTGGGGACGTGCGACCGTGGATGCGTAAGCCAGGCACGTCGTTGTTTTGAGAGCTGAGTTACAACTTGAATGTGGTGAGGACCCACTCGCCACTAGAAAGACTCACCCCGAGCGGCGAGATCGGCCTGGACTGAGGTGGTATTTTTTCGAAAATTCAGGTGCGATGGTGAGTCGTTAGGTGACATCTGCGAAATAGCGGTTATCCCTTGGAAAGTTCGCGCCATAAACGTTGGTAGGAGTCAGGTTATAGATTTGTACTAATAGATCCATAAAATCCTCCTCAGTCCAGAGTCGGGGAGTTGAGTATGTGCACGTGACATGATTGACATCAGGAAGCTTTTATCGTCATGAGCCTAGAACTTGCCTAGAACCTGCATCGCTTTTCTAGTTGCAGTTCAGCAGGGCCGCAACAACGCATGTCAATCTGGAAGTGGTGTGATGGGAATTCAAGATATATATGTTTTACATCAGGCGTTTTCACTGATGCGGAGCAGTATTTTTTTTTACAAGAATATTGTACTAGATTAACAAATTGAGGCGACAGAGCCCTAAATGTAGGGTACGGAAGTTGTGGAATATGAGAGGCATCGTGAACAGTATTGGAATGCAAATAAGAAAACAATGGTTTCATAGCACAACGAACGGAAGATCAACGCTGTAATCTTCGAGGTCGGCACCGTCGAGCTCCACGCGCATTGACCTTAGTTGATCGATCTCAAACTGCGTCAAGCATCCCGGACTACAGAAACTGGCCCACGTCGCCTGCTGCTTGCCCATCGCCTGCTGAGACGTGTTCTCTGACCGGCCTATGTCGCGATTAACTTCTCGGACGTTGAAGACGACGCGATTGGCCAACACGCATGACATGGCAACAGAAAATCCAACCGGGACTTCCAACAGAGACGTCTGTTCATCAACAAGTGCATTATATATCAAGTAGGAGAGTAGGAAAAAGGGTTCTTACGGGACCAATAATCCAAACGAGGAGGCAAGTCGTATAAGTTGTGCAAATTCTTTGAAGAAATTAATTAGACGTTGAAAAGCAACCGTCAAGGGACGCACACTAGAAAGTAGAGAATCGAGTCTCTGATCAGGATGCCTACAAGATGCCGCCCATTTTGATAAAGGGTACCCTCAGATCTGAATGTCTGAAAGCCCCGAAAAAGAGCCAATCCGCAAAGTAGGCACTCAAATGCGAGCATGGGGATCCAGAATATGAAAAAATTAGTTTGCACTGTGCCCGGCATGCAAAACGTGCCTCCGGGTATCTTGATTGCCTTGGCTACCAAAACTCGATTCAGTTCGAAGATTGAAGGCCAGTCATTCAAATGCGCACCATTTACTGAACCAACAACGGTCCCCATTATCCAAGCTGATGTTGAGATCGATGCAATGAACGAAATTACCATGCATATGAGAACTTTCTTGTTGAGTGAATACATTGCATAGATCCGCATTTGCAGAATCACTGCGGATTGTGTTTAGAGACGAAAGAAGCCCACGGGGAAAAGCTTACTTTCGGCGATTATGCATGCGATGAGTCCCGTCCATCCTTGCCATTTGAAGAAGTGAAGACCTGATCAGATGTTAATTAGCGTCACAGGAATGTTAGCAGGTCACGTACAACTGAAGGAGAGGCCAGGTTCCTTTGATGAGTCGTGGGGGTAAAATCGAAAGGTTGTGCTCACAACTGAATTGCGCGCCAGTTAGCAGACAAGTCATGAGACGGAATTATTTTCACCAACAGAATCAGAGAGCGTGGTTGAAAAGAAGCCTATCAGAAACGTTGGGATCAAAAATTCTCCGACGGTGAGATATAAGGCGCAAGATACCGTAGTTGTTGAAGCTGAGGCGGGAAATCCTTCAGCTTGTGAATCATGATTCGGTGGCCTTAAACTCACATGACAGAAAATAGGGAATAATAACGGTTCTAGCCAGACTTCAGATATTTGCAGGACCTCGAATAGCTCAACACTCACGATCAAGAATAAAACCTTTCCCGCCGACCATGAACTGCTCTAAAACGTCACGTTAGCTCGGTCTCTCCGATCGATGTCTGCCGGTGTCAAGTACCCAGATCAATTCAACCTGTGCGAGGAGTCAGAAACTGAATCGCGTTCGTTAAAAGGCGCAGAATACCTCCTGGTCAAAAGTAACAACTTATTCCAGATCAGTGAGAACCTCTATCTCGAAATGAGGTAAAATATGCTTACCATGGTCGTAAACGATGATGCTACTCGAAGCCACTTGGGGAAACCTGTTCAATACGGGATCCTAAGAAATCACGCCTAAAGGCGACGCACATTGAGCATATCGAGTGGTTTGGATATCCCTCAATCCATCCAGAATCATTTGAAAGAAGGAGGCCATCGCGAATGTTGGGCGAGGGAAATGGCGTAACTGAGCCTGGGGTGAACGAAAAGAGGGTGTGATCGGAGGAGAACCATCCAAAGGGTAGGCAGGAGCTCATGAGGGTTCTTGTAAGGAACCTTGAAGGAACCCTGCCGTTGCTGTGGGCTTCCTTGAGAAAACTCCGGACACTCAAGATTATTTATTTTTTATAGGTCCCGATATCCACAAGCCCTGGGATTTCGTCTTGTCGTCCTTGTGCGATCATCATGAGGCATTAGAGGGCGTTCCCGTATTGGATATCCGAGGGCCGATCGATCCTAAAAACATCCGTTTTGAGGTTTAGATGACCGACTTACCGGCCATTGGAGGGGGACGTGGGGATGGAGCCGTGATTAATCACCACTACAAGGACGGAAAACCCGAACTTCCATTAATGGGGATCGACGTCTGCTTTGTTCCCATTGTTTTAACATTATACTAGTGAGTGAGTGACGGCGTTCATGGGATGATTTTAGGTTGGCGGCCGCTAGGTCAGCATGGAAGGTCGAGCGAAAGCACATTGCAAAACAACGCTGTAGCGACGCAAAGTATGATAGTAACGGGCACTTGACAACCAAATGAGATTGCGGAACAAGGGCGAAATATTGAAGGTGCTTGGAGGCTGGAGCCAGTTGCCCCCTGGAATACGTTGTCACTGTGTCAGAGCCCTGGATATTTCACGTTAAAAAAAGAGAGCGCAGCATTCGTCACTCAGCGCCAATCACTGGAAAAAAAATGAATTACAGGTCCCGCTGAGAAAAGATATTTGATGCTTACTGAAACCCAGCTGGGAGATCATACGCAGCACCACCTCTACCGGGCACATTTGTTCCGCACCGCGATGGACAAAAAGAAGGTCAAACGCACTTGGAATTTGAACGTGCAAGATAGAATCAGTCGGACCTTCTAACATCCAGTGATTGCCATGGGTGTTGGGAAAGGTGGCTTGGTTGATATGATTTTATTGACCCAGAATCCAAAATGGAATATGAATGATACAGATCCTAGGGTTGAGGGATGATGTGGTAGAAGGTTGTTATTACGTTGAAAAGCGGCCAAGAATCGCCTTGAGAGCGGTCGTGGAAATGGACGCAGGAAGGAACCCGGACGCACTATAGCTTACATACCCCGTCCGCAGCAGGAATCTGACGGGATTTATGTTTGTAAACTTCCTATCGATCTAGGGGTATGAAGCCATCCCGAATCCCTCCTTCGTTGGGGATTGAACAACTTGGCGATTCTTGCTGATCATGATGTGAACCGATTGAGGCCGAAAATTCTGTATATCGTCGACCGAAATGCTTTTGAGGACTTGTTGAGGACATGATATCATACTCGAGTCTTTTGGAAGTGGTAAGGATATTGCAACCTTCTCGAGGTACCGATCTGCCGACGACGGAATGACATGAATCAGGATTCAGACGAGCAGTCACAAGTTACTGTCACTAGTCACGGGGTGGGGTAGTGACTCGGATTGATCCGCACAGGTATTTTCAAGATAACAAAATCATGGAACTACTTAAAATAAACATTTGAAGTCATATATTGGTCTCGTTATGTCTGTGCGTATGTACGAAGGAGAGTGCGGTACCGTCGTTTTCAACGTGTGCTCTCGCATCTTCTATTTTTCCTCTAACGTTTAGATTTGGTTTAGATAGGAATTTACTCACTGGCATGAGTTGGGCATTGGTTCAATTTGGTTGGGCACGAGTGATTTTCGCCTTTTCTCTTCTTACATGATGATACATCCTCTTTTTGATTGGGCAATTTGTTGTTATAGGTACCTCCCCTGTAAGAGAGTAAAACATTGACGGCTAGCGTTGTACGGTCTCCCTTGGTTCATTACTGCACTGCGAAAGCCCGCAACCTAGAACACCGTGTTTCCTTTTCACCCTTACTAGAATCAACCACTTAGCGCACTCCTTTCTCCACGAACAATCCCTTTCCGCGCATCCTTGTGTACAGATATGCCCCTCTATCCTTATTCCCAAAATATCTCGCCAGAACCAACGAGAATTTGAAGGACCCTATCGTCATCGTTTATTTTTAGACCGCTATCTATATCTCTTCCACACTCGTCTCTACTTTGTACTTCCCATGGGCCCTATCATCTATTTATATATCATTCTTCTACTACAATTGGTTCGGGCAGCGATACCTTGTGACTGTCTGTATCATCAGTTGTCAATTTTGTTTACGTCTCGTATACTTATAAAGGCATCCTTGAGAACAGAACCGCAACCTTTCACCACGCCCCCCCATCTACGTTTCATTCACCCAAGTCCCTGAGTATTTCTCTTACGACGGGTCCGTTCCCTCAAATTTATTTAAGTCGGCGCACACGACTCGGACAGAGTAAGCTCTCTGCTTTGGCTTGTCTTTCATTTTTCTCCTTGATTATTTCGAGAGTATTACACGCATATACGCTATGTCCCCGCCTTCCATTTTCTCTTCGAAGGAACGTACTTGAGTCTCTGCAGTCATTCTTTCGGCCCTCCCACGCACCCTTCAATGAATCCTCCAAAATCATATTATAACACAACGCTACGACGCATACATTATATGTCCGGTTTACTCCTTTCCTCCCCCTTTCTCGCAATGTTGACACTGACAATGAGATTATTTAATCTAGTTACAACAACACAAAAAGCCAACATCGTTCAAAGAGGGCTATAAAATGCAAATTAACAAAAAGAAAACGCCCACTCATATGCATCATGCCTCCGTCGCAACAGGCGCATTCTTCTCATGAATACTACTCGTGCTTGACCTCTTCTCCTTCACCGCATGATGGTCAGGCTCCCGTGATCCTCCAAGGGCAACAGCACTTGTATCAATCGCATGCCCAGGCTCCTGATCAAGTCCAACATAATCATACGCAAACTCTCCCATCTCCGCATCGTCAATACCCAAGATCTCAGCTTCCTCAGAGGCGCGCAGGCGGCACCCAGGGATAAAGTGTAAGACCCAGAGGATGATAGTGGTGACGACGAAGGAGTACGATGCGCCTGATACAGAGTCGGCCACTTGGTATCCGAGTTGGATGTAGTGGTGGTCTAACCAGCCGCCAGGAATGACGGTGACGCCGTCAGCGCCCGCAACGCTGGCTTGTGCAAAGAAGGCCGTGAGGATGTTGCCGACGATACCGCCGACTGCGTGGGAGGCAAAGATCTGGATGAGGGTGTGAGGTGAGAAAGGGGGATGGAGGGGGATGGAAGCAGACTTACATCCAGGGTATCGTCGAAGCCCAAGACGAACTTGAGTTGGGTTGCGAAATTGCAAGCGGTACCTCCGAGGACACCAAAGACGACTGCTGCTGGTGAGCCGACGAAGCCTGACGCAGGTGTGATGGCGACAAGGCCTGCGATGGCACCAGAGCAGAATCCGACTGCGCTCCATTTCTTTTCCATGCGATAATCCTGTGCAAGTAAAGGTCAGAAAGAGGATGCAAGAAAAGAACAAACAACATACCCAGAACATCCAAGTCATACCGCCAACGGACGCAGCAAGGTTGGTGACGATGCAGGCCTGGATAGCACGGAGGTTGGCAGAGAGGGCAGAGCCACCGTTGAAGCCGAACCATCCGAACCAGAGCAGAATGGTGCCAATCACGACGTAGGTGACGTTATGTGGTTTGTATGCGAGCCGTTCGGTTCCGTATCCTCGTCGTTTGCCGAGGTATATGGAGATAGCGAGGCCAGCCATACCAGAAGAGATGTGCACGGGCGTTCCGCCTGCGAAATCAAGCCCGCCAAGGACGAACGACCACCCATTGGAGTTCCATGTCCAGCAGGCGATGGGGTCGTAGACGATGGTGGTCCATATGAAGATGAAGACCATAATTGGGCCGAGACGACCGCGTTCAGCGATGGCGCCCACGGCGAGGGCGGCGGTGATGGCAGCGAACATAAGCTGATAGATGCAGAATAGTATGGAAGGAATGCGTGAGCTTCCAATTGATGGTTGTGCAAGAACGCCCTTGAGACCAAAATATTCTGACGTGCATCTCAGGACGTGTTCTCCGACATGAACGGGGAGGAAGACTTACTCAAATCGCCAATGTACGCGCTCCCAGTCTCACTGAATGCCAGTGAAAAGCCCCAAAAGAACCATTGGAAAGAGACGATGCCTATGGAGACCAACGATGTCCATATCATGGACAAAGCGTTCTTCCTCCTGAGCAGACCCGAGTAGAAGAAACCAACGCCTGGAATCATTATCCACACGAGCGCGGTCGCTGCAATGACGAAGCCAATATCGCCGAGGTTGTATACGACGGTTTTGCCATCCCCGTCTACCCAATTAAGGTCACCAGCTACGAAGAGGTGGTCAGTGAAAGAAGGGGGACAATGACCAGGACACTTACAAGCATCGTATGTAACGTTGACCATGCTGGCTCAGCGATGAGTGAGCAGGTAAAGGATGGCTGGTAACGCGACGGGGAAGGAGGAAGAAGAGATCGAATCTTCTTTTTAAGGGAGGTGAGAAAAGAAGCATCGAGGTTTTATATGTCTCCGACAGCTTTTTGCCCGATAGCATCGTGAATGATAGAGACGCGTTGTCCTTTGTTTGTCCATCTCCATAACTGATTGCTGACATAATCTCATTTTTCTGCGTCTATCGTCCAATCACCATCCAGAACTCTTTTCTTATCTTCACCAACATGGAGTTCAGCTTCAGGAACGCTGGAGATAGATAGTCTATCGCCTGCACTGGTACGAGCCAAGACTTTTTTCTATCTTCTTCCCATTGTTGACTGTGATTTTTAATTTGCAGTTTCAGGACTAGTCACGTTTAGCTCATTCAGACGCACCTAAGCCTCAAGGACAGGCATCTGAAAGTTGATACGGTCAGTCGAGCAACTTGACTACCGCACCGCAGCAAGTCCGTCAATTGATTGCGAGCATGGTCAATTTTGATTTCTTTGGTTAAAACCACTACCTGTGCACCCCGATTACGTTTTCGTTTCAACCCTTCATCGAGGAAGTCGGCTCTTCGGCTGCCTGTCCTCGACTTTCGCCTGAAATCTCATGAAAGAATGGACGTTAACCTCTTTTTCACATTCGAGGTCGGCCTTCCGAGACTCCAATAGCGCCTAGTATCTGCCATCTGTAAAAAACCGTCGAGCGCTGTCCAACTCGGATCACTCCACAAACCTGATAATCTCCACCTGCAACCTCCCGCAACTCGTCCGAAACGCGTCCCTGGTGATAGATAGACGAACGTGGGATGCCGCGCAATGCAAGCAAAACGGCCAGTAAATTCGTCCTCTCGCGGTCCACATGCTACACTGGGGTTAATACAGGTAAGTCCTCGACCCTAGGACCCTGGAATGTGCCCTCAGAGGCCGTATCCTTGGTGGTGAAAAAATTCCCACGGATTTCGAGTTTATCTGTGCATCGTTTAGAAGGTTGGGCGTCCTTTTCGAAAAAAAAACTGATGAAAAGGAGCAGTTTCTATCCGGACTTCGCCCAAAAGTGAAATTTCTATCCGGTCAAGTAAATTGGACCCTGAGGGCGCATTTTTGAGTCTTTTTCTCCCAAACCTTGCCCATGGCTTCCTCCTATGTATACACTCATCTTTCATTAGGATACTAGCACAATTTCTTGTTGAGGTCGTCCGCCAGCGTGCAATCTTTGCTCAAAACTGATCAAAATTTCTCGAATTGACCCGGATACGGCCTCTGAGGGCACATTCCAGGGTCCTTCGACCCTGCTCGCATGTTTATGCAGTATCGGTGGAGCTAAAATTTGTGATATTCAGCCTGGAAAAGAATCATTACGACGGAATTTCCTCACAGCTTGAGAAATCGACTCCCTTCCGCCGTTCAGCCAACATCTCAATATGACCATTCCACCCTCCGCAGCCAATTCACACAGTCTGTGCACATAGAAGATGCCAGTATGACAAAACTCCCCCACGCCGAGCCCAAAACCGCGATAAGCCCTTCCCAATTCGTGAAACCCCCAAAACTCAAGCTTGGATCTCTGACAGCCAGCTCCCGTCTACCCGTTGCCGAAGCGCCAATCTATCAAGTTTGCTTTCGTACTAGGGTTGTTATACCCATTCGTCCAAGTATGGGGTAATAATGGCTCAAGAAATATACGTACACAAGGTGCGGCGTATTCATTCTGTGCTGGGGTATGCAGTGTTCAACGAGGCTCCAACTCCCACCCTACTTTTTTTTCCTGCCCACCTTCTGTAGGGTAAAACTCGGGAATATTAACTATTAATAATTTCTTCAAACCAGAGATGTCACCGCGTTATGACTAGGCACGAACATAGCGCCAATCATCCCATTGAGAAACCGTGCGTCGTCCGAAGGTGAAGCGGTATGTTTTCCCGAAAGACGCCCCAGGAACACTTTGAAATTTTTTCGGCTGTTAGTCAGGTCAAGCATGAGTTCGTTCCAGTTGAAGTAAGTACCCTCGAAGCGCCGGGACAGGTAGAGTTCGTTCGACGTGCTTCAAAATAGGTCAAGGGGCTGTGGACATCTGAAATTTTAAACGATGAAGTTTTAGAGTTGACGCTGAGTTAGTTTACCTGCTTTGCTAAGTCGAGTGTCATTCAATTTGGGGTACTTACGAATTTTTTGAATTGATGAGTGTTGACATTGTACTCAAAATACAATCACATAAAATAAATATCATATCCCCCTGTACCAACAAGATGTCAACTCCTGCTACGCCCCCACTCTTCCACAACGAAGTACATATGTAATCCTATCGTCGGAAGAGCATCCATGCATGTTATCTACCAGGAACAAGCAAGGAACAAGCACAGCACGGAATGGGATTTGGTCGAGATAGCGGAAGATAAACTATTTTTGGAAAATGATCGCCAAGATGTATCGGGCCATGTTCTGCTGCGGACACAGAGAGATAAGATGAAAAGATTGCAAGGCGGCCTGGCGGCGCGATAGGTAAAAAAACCCTGGGACAAATTGACATGACCGAATATTTCTGCAAACCACCAAGACGGGGCGACGAGGTTGATCTAGAACGACGAATGGAAGTTATGCATTAATGACTCCACGTACTCCAACTTTGAACTCCACCTGGTTCTAGAGTGGATACCACGCCGCACACGACCTCCAGGCCCTCCTTCACACGGGAATTGTCAACACACGCAACGATCATGGGGCCAGGAATTGATCGAGTTTTCGGATTTGGAGTGACCACGGTGAACTTACCGTCGACCCAGGAAAACGGTCCCGAAGGCGACAGGCTGTACGTGTGTGGGATCGTCGACGTTATGACATTGAGTGTTGACGGCGATTCTCCCCCTATCAGGAGAAATTTCTTAAGTGCATTGGTGATATCCAACGAGCGCGAATTGGTGGCGTTGGCGGCGGCGTACGCTTCGTTGTCGTTGGAGATTATCATCATGTAAAATGGTCAATTCAGTGGATGTCGCTCATCGTAGACGTACCAGATGTTCGAGCGTTCTTCTGCCTTTTCAATGCCTGGGACAGTGACTCGGAGCCTACAATCGAATCCCTAGCGTGTTGAAACGGCGTCGGTATGATATAATTCAAGTAGTAAAAATTCCTCTGCTAGACAGGATGGAGGAGAAGAGAAGAAGCGGAAGTTGAGGAAAGCCTTGAAGATAATTTAAACGAGGGTCATCTTTATCGGAGGTTCATGAATTTGTTTGCATCTCCGATGCACTTGTTTGATTTTCTTGAGCCAAAGCCTCTTGTTACGACGTTCTACCATACCAATAGTTTTTTCAAATCACTAAAAAGAGATTAGAATCTATAATTTCTGTTTCTATGAGATTTTGTATTTCTTTACAAAGAAAACAGTTCAGCAGATGATTATGGCGACGGGTCGTTGTTGAAATTTACTATGATTTAGCCAATATTTAGCCAATATTCAGCCGTCAATAAACGTTCAGTCAATCAACCCTTCATCGAATATCATTTGATTGTATTTTCGGTGAGTTTTAGTAGGTTACGAATCCAGAGGATTCGTTTCTTCTGGTCATCTTTTTCGGTGTCAGTTCGGAGTCGGATGTTTGTGCGTTGTTTGTGGTATTGCTTCTGCGCCCGTGCTGCGGCTGTGGTTATTTATAGACGTGTTGTTTGCTCCCGTATTCTGTCGCGTCTTAGACGCGCTACCCCGGAGACCGTTCCGGACAAGAACTGCTTTGCGGACTGTGCCACACGTAGCGGTGGCCCATACCAAAAAGTGCATGATTTGCCAGGTCTATAAACTACTTGGACCCATACGTGCGTATTTTTTGCGAATTCTTTTTGCCAAGGTGTAACTTCTCTAAGATGGCTAACCGCGACGTAGCTCCGCAAAATTAAAAGGTAGGCTCCCATGGGTCTATCACGAGTCGCGTTCTATAATGGGTAGCTATCTTTATTGTGATGGTTGAGGCTTGAATACCAACGTGCCTCTTCATCTGACAGCCATGTCAAGTTCTCCTGTTATCAGATCACACCAAACAAACGCTTTCATTTATACCCCCATGCCTGTCCTGCTTTTCCCAACGTTCCTTTGTTTCTGCCGATATCAGTCCTATATCGCCTACTTAGCATATCCCCATGGCTCACGCTTCCGACTCCTCGTTTGAAAAATTGCTTGAAGCTAACGCTGCATGGGCACACGGCGTCACAGAAAAAGATCCAAATTTCTTCAAAAAGTCGGCGGAGGAAAAGCAAAAACCGCACGTTGGTTGCTGGTCCTTTTTATGCTGTGAATATCTGCTCAGTTGAACATTCCAGACCCTCTGGATTGGTTGCTCCGATTCTAGGGTTCCTGAATCTGTCATCACTGCCGCTCGTCCAGGCGACATTTTTGTGCATAGAAACATCGCGAAGTAAGGCGCCTTATTAAACATCTGACTTACTTATTCATGGTGAATTCCGCTATTCGATAGCCAGGTGCACTTGCACGATTCAAACGTCTTGTCAGTGCTGAAATACGCTGTCGATTTTTTGCACGTCCAACATGGTACCTTCATCGTCTTTCCCCAGATTGATACCGCTCTGACCGAAATCCTTCTCTTGTACAGTCGTCGTCGTCGGCCATACGGTATGCGGAGGCGCAGATGCGTGTCTAAACGCCGTGAAGAATAATTACCCCGACAATCAAACAATCAACACGTTGCCCGTCGAATCTCCTTTGAACATCTGGTTGACGCCTCTCACGAAATTTACACGATCATTACCGCTTTCCGTCACCCCTCCTGATAAAGCTCTTTCTTTGGTTGTTCATGAGAATATCAAGAAACAGGTGGAAATTTTGGCACAGACTGATACTATTCGGGATGCGTGGGCTCGTAAAGATGAGGTTCAGATTCACGGCTGGGTTTATAATCTTGCCACTGGCAGGCTTGACGATCTCCACATTACTCAAAAACACCAGAAGTAAGAAAGCCTTGAGCGATCCATAGGTCGTAAATCATAAATTCAAATTGTACAATACATATGCTCTTTTATAAAAAACTATCCTGGTCACCTCTTTTCTCTGATCGAGGAGTCGTCGCGACCGAAGTAAGTGTTGAGCTTGCGCGAAATTGACGCAAAACTTGTGTACATATACTCAGTACTGTACATAGCCGAAAGCGCATAGTCCGTCACTTTTAAAATATTTCTGTCTTTACATTCTGTCATAATCCTATTTTTTCTTCTTTGTCTCTGTGAAGTGAAGCTGAGTGTGATGATGATTATCCAACACGTTGGACTTCGCTTGATTTTGAAGTCATGTTTGGTCCATCGCCCATTGCCAAACAACTTCCCGTTCCGGTGACGTGCAAAAAAGTTGCACCTCACCTTCATCAACAAATGGCCAGCTTTGCAGCGAGGAGGGTTCTATGTAACCTCAAAACTCCTACGCTTACGCCCATCAGGCAAAGGTATGCCTTTGAGTCGCGAAGAGCTCTACACATGACCCCAGTCGGTGAGTACCTTGGCTGAAATTTTCACCAAACGACGTCAAAACGGATTATGACAGTGCAGAAGAAGAAGAACGCGGACTTTGAGGACCTCTTCGCTGATGAGGGAGAAATTCTTTCCGAGGTACCAGAGGAGCTCAAGGCACCCGTACCCGTCGCTTCTACTTCCGATGCAATGCCCGCATCAGCACGACGTCAAGCCAAGTTCGACGAGCTTCTGGCATTCATGAAGCCCAAGCTGGGGAAGACATCCAAGAAATTGCCATTGATCCGGACTAGCGCTTGGTCGGATCTCTTTAGCCTCGCAACGACGAAAGAGCAGATGGAGGCAGTTGTGGAGCTCATGCCTCAATGGCAAGCCGCCGGGAGAGTGTTCAGAGACTCCAATTCCGAGCTTTTCATTCGTAAGCACTTCTCTTCGCCCCTATGCACCAACTCATTTGGTCCAAAGGCCGCTGTGAACAACTCGACTGCCCCCAGCTAGCCCTGACCGTTTTCGGGAACTACGCGAAATACAATATGCCGCTCACCCTTACTGGGGCTAACCAACTCCTTCACTCCCTACACCTAGATCATCCCATTGAGACGCTCGTCACGGCCGCAGCACTTTATCCAGTCTACGGTCTCCCACCGGCAGGCACAGTCCTGACCTCCGCATCCTTGCTTGCCGCGGCTTACGTCCGAGTACACGAACAAAAGGACGCCGCGCGGAAGGCGCAATTGGAGGCGCGCAACACGCTTCTGGAATTGCGCACTGGACTGGAAGCCTTAATAGCGAAACATGGGTCGCTAAAGAAGATAAGGAAGAGGATGGATAGCAGGAATCGAGAGAGTGCGTGGACGCTGTGGTCGTTGGATAAGGTGGACAAGGCGTTGGCATCGACGACGGGGGAAGGATTGTCGAAGCATCCGAAAGTTTCTCTAGAGGCGACGATGGTGTAAATATCGTTTATCCTTTCACTAGACATCGGCAATGACATCGATGATACCTCCTTTCTATCAGATCGAACCACATATTGTTTTGAAAGGCTACATGAAGATTTTAGCTGGTGTTTGGCGTATCCAGCGTACTGCTGAGTTTCAATCGCACTGCCTTTCGCTCTTCGCAGTCAGTAGATGATGACGTACCATGACCCCTACACGGTGCAAACACACCGTCGCAACACCGTCAGGTACCACCTTTTCAAATGCCAACCACCACCATAGCTTCTTTGCCTTACGATGTTTGGGCGAAGATCGTCTCCTTCATTCCCAAGCATGTCCTCCGGAATCTCTATGCGGTTAACCAGGTTTTATTCAACTTCGCAATGGAAGAACGGTATAAATCAGCCTATATCCACCATTTAAAAGACCCTCTTACCATTGATTGCATCAATCGGCTAAGGTGAGCTTGTAATGTGCGTCGGATTTGGCTTAATCTGAGTCGCTCAAACAGTGACCCGTTTCGCGCAAGCAAAACTCGAGATTTGCATCTGCGACCAGGTCCACTGGGTTTCTTGATTTCTGAGGTCTCACAGAAGAATTTGCAGTCATTGAAGGGGAAGATTAAACGTACTGCGGATGACATTTTTGTCAAAACATTCCTGAAGGCGGATACCAAGTCTGAAGAACAGCGAGAAGCTATCCGATCCCTGCTCCAGATCGTTACGGGGCTGAATGGGGTGCAGACACTTCGCGTTGAATTATCCTCGCCAGACCGTTTGAAATCTTTCCGAATGGCGACCCCCCTCATCGATTTCGCATGGCAGGCATGTTCCCCCGCCCTGCGCAGGGTTCACTTCGATTTCCCCTTGGATGTGATGAAATGTGTTCTCACATCTAATTTCCATCTCCCCAACCTTGAGGAACTCTCTGTCAGGTTTTCCATTACATATCGCACCACGGATTCCGGACAAGTCATAATCACAAATCTCGTCCCCTTTGTCAACAATCACCATCTAACGTTGCAAAAATTGACGCTGTTTACACACGAGCACTTCCACCTTGCACCGTTTTTCCATCAACTTTCTCGTATGCCTCGTTTAGCGAGTTTATCCGTAACACAAGGCTACGTCAGCACCCTGCAAACAGATACGTCAGGATTGCATAGCTTCCTCACACTCCATGCCGATACCCTCACCTCTCTGAAGCTCGTCTTCCAAGCTCTAGGGAAACCATACGTTAAAGACCCGCTGATGGAAGGGTGGTTCAAACAGCCATGTCTTGAAGTTGCGTTGCCTCACCTCCGCACGTTGGAATTTGGGTTATGGGACTTTCCTTCCTCCATTTCAACTCTCTTGGACACGTACCTGAAGCAATACAGCGATTCCCTGACGTCCCTCATCATCAATAATAAACCTCCCCCAACGTACGAGGACCTCAACAACATCGTTACTGGGTTTGGTGCATCTGGCGTTTTGAGATACCTTGACATTGGGGTGTCCACGGTGCCGTCTAAAATCTTTGACCTGCTTTCTATCAATCTTCCCAGTCTCCACGCGCTCAGCCTGGCTACTGATGGTTTTCTGACCACCAAAGACGTATCCTACCAATCCACCGACATGGTGATGACCCAGCGCTTCAGCCAGGAAGGGGTAGATCTTTCTTTATTTTCGTAGACTGTTGACACTGAATTTCGTTATTTAGTTTTGCGCAGAGATGAGACCCCTCTCTTATCCTACATGGGATTTACGTCATCTCACGGTCACTTTCAACATCTGGTCAGCAGATCCGAACAAGCTTTGTGTATCCGCGATTTTGAAGGCCCTCCCGGGTTTGCAAACCTTTAACGGAATCCCAAAGCAGAACTATTTAGATCAACTTAGTCGGGAAATGGGAGGTGCGCCTCCTCTCTCCTCCTCCCCGTTCCCCCTCACTTGAATATTTGGACTAGTATATAAATACAGAATCGAATAAACCGCACTCTTTCGTTGAATTTGAACTATGGACATTCGCAGTGACACGGGTTGAACACGGGTACCAATTTTGTATTACTATCATTTACTCAGGACTTTGTTGTCTGGACAATTTTTACTTCTATTCCGCGCCAGACATCTATGTACTTATTCAATTTTCAACACAAATCTCAGAAGGTGGATTCAGAAAGCACAAGCAGTTAGAAAATTAGAGTAACCCTAAGTACTGAGGCGCAATCATTGAGGCGTGTTCTCTTCAAAACTTTTCTGTCTGTTTGCTTCAGATCATGGACATCTCAACCTCGGATATCATCGATACACTGCCCGATCTCATATCCTCTTCGTCCTCGTCAAGGCTTTGCTTAGATGATGGCTGATTTCTCGTCGATGCCAAAACTATAATGTCGGGTCCACCTCAAGTTGGGCCGAAGTTCAAGTTCCTTCGCGGTCTCGTGGTGACCGAGTTGAAGTTCTGCCTGACGAGTTCGATCCTAAAAAATGAAACACATTGAGCTCCGCCAATGGCTCGTCTGACATAAAATATTGAAAGTCGGAATGAAACTTGCATCCAGAAGGTTCCGAATTTCGAGAGTCCGAACCGCCGCCGATCCGCCTGTCCGCTGTCTGGTCCGCACGGCACCTGCCGCCACCAAACACGGTCACGAGCCTCTTCACCTTTGCGCCAACTTTGCGCCGTTCGTGCAGCGAGACTTGACAGTCACTGTGGACCTTCTAGTGTTATCCGCCGAGTTTCCACTACAAACCCTAACATGGGTGCCAGAAATCCAGTGCTACGCTCAACCTGCGACCCTCATCGCCAACGCGAACCTTCGTGACCAGCTTGGCTTCGATTAGAAAGGTGCTGATGGCAGCGACGTATGCTCCTTTCGTTCTGTTCAATGAAAATGCTGACAATCTTCTATTGGCCTCACAATACCGGCCCAATGCTCACATATCTAGCATCTTGCGGGTCGACGACCCGTGACAACAAACCGCCAAATGGTTTAAGATCCACCAAGTACGTCGTGCTCCTGGCTCTAAGTTTCTCCCGAGTTGCGCTAATGATCCCCGCTTATGTACAACAGTGTCCGGCTCCCTCCCAAGCATACAACTCCCATCCAACCTCGCGCCAGGAAACTACCTCGTCTGCCACGAAGTCATCGCTTTCCATATCGCTCTCCATCTCGCCACATCACTCAGCGGTGCGGAGTTCTATCCCGCCTGTTTGCGGCTCACGGTTGGCGCATCGGGCACTGGAGTCCCTGACCCTTCGGGGTTGGTCAGTTTGCCAGGCGCGTACAGACAACAACTCTGGCATCTTTGATTCCCAGGTGTTCGATGCCAGTGCACCATACACCTCCATGGTTCTCCTGTCGCCTCATTTGTGAATGGTGGCACTTCCACTCCTGTTAACGCAACCACGACCGCATCCTCAACGGCAACGGCAACCCAAACTGGTGGTGCCACTGGGACATCGACGACCTCCAAGGGGAAGATGTGCAAGCTCAAGAAGGGCAAGTCTTCCTCTTCGTCGGTCGTTCCATCGGCCTGCGCGGCGGCAGCAAGTGCCATCACCACCGACATGTACCCCGACACTTCAGCAGGGTCATGCGCAAACTTGCGCTCGGCTGCAGCATCTAATACGCCTCTGGTTATGATACCCCACGACATGCATGCCCGCGATTATGACTACTATTTAGATCCCGCCTTGTGTTGTATTCATACTCAGTCATTCATATTGTGGGCTGTGTGGTACATTGCTATCATTGCAATAAAAAAATCGGTTGCTTGTTCTTGATGTTGGCACAGACGCGAAGTTCACTCTTCAAGCTCAAGTAAGGTTACTGAGACTTAATGGAAGCATCATTTATACTTACTCAGGACTCTCCTTGGACCTGAACCACGTGGCACCCCGACTAGGACCCCGAAAAATTTGGGCGACTCGTCGATTGCAACACGAAATTCTGGCCTACATACAGCTTTCAAAACTTGCTATACTATTATCTACCCAGCTAATAACAAACTCAGAGAATGTCTGGGACCGGAGCGAAGCCTAAAGGCCAGCCTCCACCTCAAAAAGGTAAAGTGGCGACCATTCGACAAAATCGAACGGCCGAACCAGAAGTACAGGAACGGGGGAAGACGAGAGCCACGGGGGCGGTGGACCTAGATGAAGACGAACAAGAAATAGGCGACTCAGAGAAAGGGAGGTCTTACCTCGAAGAGAAACTGCTCCTTGTCCCGTCGGGCGCTCTGCTCACTTTGGGCACACTCGCTACGACACTGCACCAGATTGCGGCTTTGCCGGGAGTCACCCTCCCTGTAATCAACGCAGTTCGCGCGGTTGCTTTCTTGCTGAAGGAAGTCGAGCTAGGGGCAGTAGCAGAAGATATCAGGGACATCGCCAATGCACAGTTCAACGAGATGACCACAGATTTGAGGGAGTTCACGGAGGGGCTCAGGGTGAAGGTTATGGAAGAGTTGGAGAAGAAGACAGAAGTGTTGAAAGAGAAAACAGTGGAACTGGCCGAGGTGGTCGAAAAGGCGGTACAACAGGCGGGGAACGCAGCCAGCTCCCCGTACAGGGACGCGCTGCACAGGGGACTCTCTGGGGCGCCGATGGATGCTAACCCCCGTCTAGCTGCGAAGGAAAATATCAGACAACGTCAATCGCTGGTCGACATACCACAAGGATCCAGCCTCAAAGACTGTGCTAACCTAGTCCTGGTGGGCAAGTTTACGGAGGCGATGGGTAAGGCGACAGCGCAGAAACACAAGATTAGAACGGCACTGAGGCTCCAAAACGGCGGGATCTTGGTTGAAATGGCTACGGACGAAGGCGCAGCATGGTTAGCTTCCAAGGACAATGCAGCGGCCTTCCTGCGGGAACTGGGAGAAACTGAGGCCTCCTTCAAGAAGAGATCGTACAACGTTGTCGCCTACTATGTGCCACTAACCCTTGACCCCGGCAGCGAGAAGGATAGAAGAGAGATAGAGGAATCAAACAACATACCTGAAGGCGGTCTGACGAAGATGAGGTGGATCAAGCCCCCAGCACGACGAAGGACAGACCAACGCTTCGCTCATGTCATCGCCACCTTTTCGGACGCGGACGCGGCCAACCGGGCAATAGTAAATGGGCTGACGATCTGCAACAAGAGAGTATCAGTGGCGAAGAGCAGGAAGGAACCGATTCGCTGTCTCAAGTGTCAAGGCTGGGACCACATCGCGTCGGAGTGCAACATCAAGGACAAAGAGGTAAACGTATGCGGTACATGCGGGGGAAGGGATCACTGGACCAGTAAGTGTCCACAGCCAGGTGTCACTTTCTGCTCTTCTTGCAGGACAAGCGACCATACCAGCTGGGACCGCGAGTGCCCTACTTTCCGCAGGAAGATCGAAGACCTCAATGCCAGGGATCCAGCAAACGACTTACCTTTCTTCCCAGCGAAGGAATCATGGACGTGGTCGCCGTCTTATCCAACGCAAGGACGTCGAGTTCCCCCGGCAGAGATCCAGGTCAATCCGATTCAGCCAGCTACACAGAGGAACAGGTATCGGCAAACACAGATCAACTTCGAGTACGCGGCTCCAGGTGGAAGACCGTACACCAAGGAGTCACGGTCGAGCCAGCGCTCGACCCCTGCCGTAGCTAAGTCACCCCCTCCTCCTTTCCCCAATCCAGAGTCAACAGAGTCTCCAATAGCAGCCCCCATGTCGAGTAACGGCTTAACGCCACCCTGATAGCACCCAATCTCTAACCGTGCCCAATGTCTGAACAACCACAACCATCGATAACAAGACTACGGATACTTCAGATCCACCTCAACAAATCGTCAAAGGCGCACCTGGAATTGTACAACAGAGTATCGAAGAAGGATTGGGACCTAGTGCTGGTGCAGGAACCGCACGTGACAATTTTGGGCAACATCAGGACGCCAAACGGCTTTGTCGCTGTGGCCCCAGTGGACCGATACAAGGACGAGGCGCTAATGACAAGAGCAGTGACCTGGGTCAGTTCGGACCTCGCGACCAGTTCTTGGAAGATACTCAACATGCCAGGAACCAACGACACCGTCACAATACAAATGGCTGGCGCCTATGGACGACTAACCATCATCAACACCTATAACGACTGCAATCACTCAAGAACACTACGCGTGGTCCGCGAGTTCTTACGCACAAACCGCGCGGAAGTTCTGTCAAGGGAGGACGACCACCTGATATGGGCCGGTGACTTCAACAGACATCATCCGATGTGGGACGACGACACGGACGACAGGCTCTTTACACCAAGAGCCCTAGACGACGCGAGTAAACTAATTGAATTGCTTGCAGACCTCAACATGAAGATGGCCCTACCAAAAGGGCAACCGACACTAGAGCATCAAGTTACCAAGAAGTACTCGCGCCCCGACAACTTCTGGTGCACAGAAGAGATTTACGACCTGCTAATCCGATGCGAGGTCGACCCCTCGATCAGGCCACCAGCGACTGACCACTTCCCGATAGCAACCTACTTCGACCTGCCACAAGAGCGTATCACCTTCAAAACATCATACAACTACAGGACCACGGACTGGGAGGACTTCCAAGAGAACTTGGCCATTCGACTACTCGACATCCCGCCTCCACAGCCACTCACAACAAGGCAACAATTCCAAGAAGCCGCAACGGACCTTACAGAAGCTATACAAGACGTCATCCGCACCAGGGTC